ACAATGCATGGTTGTTACCAAGAGGTTGGACCCAAAGTGTGAATTGCAAATCGGAGATACCAAAATAAAACAAGTGCAGAAATTTAAATATCTGGGAAGTGTTTTAACAGAGGATGGAAAATGTGACACTGAAATCTGAAGTCATATTGGGATAACCAAAGATGCATTCCAAAAGTACGAAGAAATAAAAAAAACTTCACTAGAAACAAGGTAAAGAGTACTAAATTGTTACATGATATGGCAGTGAGTGCTGGACAGTCCCAAAGATGAGAAAGAGACTTGAAGCAACAGAAAAGAGGTTCTACAGAAGGATGCTGAGGATACCATAGACTGAACATGTGAGCAACAACAAAGTTTTATAGAAAATGGAAATATAAAGGAAACTTATACTTAACATTAGAAAGAGACAAAGTTTCTGGTGCACATAATGAGAAAAGAGGGCTTGGAACATCTGATACTCATGGGATAGAGGGCAAGAGGGACAAAGGAAAACAATGCATAACATAACTTAGTGAGTGTGAGTAAATGAATGCTGGAACAGGGTTTAGGAGGAATAACAAAAAGACAGTTTATTAAGTAATGAAAGAGAACAGGAAGTTGTGGAGAGCTATGATCGCCTACATCCTGAAGAGACATGGCAGATAAATAAGAAGAAGGTGAATATGTATAGGAAGTGCTTTGATTGCTAGATCAACAGTAAATTTCTGAACATGTTTTTACATTTCACTTTTCTTGGTAGATCTCCTGCTAACATGATCTGGGATACTTAAAAACAAAAACAAAAGCATAGGGAAACTCAATGAGATTAGATAGACTCTATGTTGAACAGTGTTTACACATCTTCAGCATTTTTTATTATAACAATTATAACTGACATTTGCATTTTTATATCTTCTATTTATACCTCTCCTGCACACCTATATATATATATAATATGTGAAAATATATAGAAAATAGGAAGGAACTGGTTAGGTAAATAATCCAAAGTCCCTTAGTATTTTAGTTATTATTTTTTAAAAATAGTGCTCGATACAAAAGTAGAGCATAAATATAATTATTTATTTAAAAATATGATTCCAAAACGCGACATAAAAGTCTCATGTTTTTTAACAATTTGAAATTTACGTAAATGATTTAAATTAAAACACGTTAAATTTCTCTGAAACACGTTATTCCAAAAAATTTCGCTTGAAGATGGAACAGAGCTTTACTTTAACTCAATTTAATTTAAATAATTATATTGAAGTTTTCGCTTTTGTTTTGAAACATGAGACTTTTATGTCGTTTTTGGAATCATATTTTAAATAAATATATATATATATATATATATATATATATATATATATATATATATATACAGTGTGGCAGAAATAACTCCTACATAATGCTAAGTCATGAGTACTAGTGGTATCTTTATGTAGCTAATGTTTTACCATTATGTGGGAGGTATTTCTGCCACACCCTGTATAATTCTATTAGCAAAAACATTAAACCCTTCTAGAGGACAAAAAGTGTAATATAACTTTTCCATTTTGTCATTCATGTGCCCAACATTTTTTGTAATATATCAAAATTTTATATATTCTCCCATATATTCATGAAGGAATGAAAGCAAATATCGTGTCTAATGGTATGATGTCAGAATTCTTTGATGTCAAAAATGGCACCAAGCAAGGTTGTGTCATGGCCCCTGTCTTTTTTGCCCTTTTCTTCTCAGTTTTGAACAACTGGTGGTCTCTTCAATCATCAGCGCTTCAAAGCCAAGACCCACCTTCGTACGCAAATTATTTGATTTATTGTTTGCTGATGATGATGTAGCGACATCCTTTGACATCTAATAAATAGTTTCTCTGCTGCATGTAAAGCATTTGGTCTTACACTTAGCATAAAGAAAACTAAAGTAGTTCACCAACCTTGTGCTACTCCAAAGCAATTCTGTGGTGAGAAACAAAAACCAACAGTCTACAAATTTCCAGAGAAACCATTGAAAGTAGAAGACAAATCCCTGAATTATGTAAAGTCTTTTACCTATCTTGGTAGCAAAGTCAACTACAGTGGAACTTTAGATGATGAAATCATGCATCGGATTGCTAAGGCTACCAGTGCTTTTGACAAACTTCACTATCGCTTGTGGAAATGAGCAGGGTATTTGACTAGATACAAAAATTCAGGTTTACAGAGCTGTTGCACTAGCCATTCCTTTGTATGGTTCAGAGTCGGGGACTCCATACAGGTACCATATATGCCAACTGGATGTTTTCCATAAAAGCTGTCTGCATGCAATCTGTGGAGTTAACCTTCAAGATAGGACATCTAACGTAGACCTGTTTAACAGGTGTAATATTGGAGGAATCAAGACTTTTCTCATACAGTCTCAGTTATGGTGGACTGGTCATGTCTTGAGAATGTCTGATGACAGGATACCCAAGATCCTAATGTACAGCCTGTTAGATCAGGGCTACAGGAATGTAGGACACCCATGGCTAAGGTACTTGTCAACTGTCAATATACCACATAACACCTTTGAGTGCTTAGCCTTGGAGCGGATAGAAAGGAGATCAACATGTTTTAATGGACTCCAGTTTTCAATCTGCTTGTCTGAATCATCTTCAAAAAGCAAGAGTAAGAACTAAAAGGTCAGCCAATCTAACAGTGATTTCATCCCAAAATCCTCACACTTGCTCCATATGTGGCCTCCTTTGTAAATCACTAGCGGGTCTTAAATGCTACTTAAGATTATCGCACAAAATTTCATAATCGAATCAACTAAGTCAGATCCTCATACATCGAAACCGATGGGAGAGTCCATTATTATTATATATATATATATATATATATATATATATATATATATATATATACAGTATGTGAAAAGATTACTTAACTTTTTAAATATCAATTTTATCCTGACATCAATGTTTCTTACTAAAATTTCAAGTCTTCAGGGGTTGGGGTTTTGAACAGCATTTCCAATTTACCACTCCAAACCACAACCCCTGAAGTCCAGAAATTTTACTAAGAAACATCAATGTCAGAATAAAAATTGATATTCAAAAAGTAATCTTTTCATAATAATGCCCTATTTTTAATATTATTTTAATATTGAGCACTATATATAAAAATATCTGCTGCTTCTTAAATCTTTATATATATATATATATATATATATATATATAAGTGAAAATTGAAGTTAACACTCAGGAACGCAATCATCAGGCCAAGTGTTGATTTAAATGTTCACTTTTATATTTACATATGCTCTCTAATATTTATCCCATAAATATAACATACTTTATCTCATAAATATATATATATATATATATATATATATATATATATATATATCACTCTAAATGTTATTTTTTTTAATGGATACTCGTATTTGAGAAGGCAAATTATTTATTAAACTGTATATTTGTTTATTTTCGTTGACCAGCCTGAATGTTCAAGAAATTTTATTAAAGAAGAATTTGCACTCTCCAACAGCATTTGAACCTTCAGCCCTCAGAGCAGATGAAGCTACCATTAAGCCCAACACACCTTAACCAACTCACCTTAAAAAGTAGTCAAAGACAAGGCCAAAAAGAGTATTCAAGTAAAATTTTTATCATCATTGAATCTCTTGAAGTTCTTTATATCTGTACAATTTTGTACTCAAACATAAGCAAAGAGAATTTTTAGAATGGATTTTTTATTAATGCGACAGAATTTTGTCATTTTAATGTCATTATCACTTAAACCAGTTCAGAGTTGATCAGAGCCTATGCCAAAAAGAGGAAAGTCAATAATTGGTCAATAGTTTGAAAGATCAGACAGTTCATCCAAATTCTTAAAAACAGAAACTAGAGAAGAGGATTTCCAAAAAGATGGAAACCAAAAAGGTATTTATTCTATAGCTTAGAGAAAACAGAAGGAAGTTCAGGAGCACATACCTTTAAGAAAATTCCAGGAATACCATTGACTTTACATGCTTTGTGGTCAAAGTAAAAATTGAGTCAAGAGTAGAATTGGAAAAGAATTTACAAGCAAAGCATTCTGCATTATCAGTATAATATTATAACACTTCAAGTTGTGTTAATTAGGAGGGGCTGAGGACTTAAGCTTTATTTAATATACTATTACAGAGCTGCCAATGGCCATGAAAAACTAAAATTGTGAGAGGCTAATTCTATCAGCAAAGACTCAAATGCTCATTGAGGATATGGTTGTAATTATGATGAGCCCTCACAAAGAGTGCCCTGTTGTTATCAGAGATATCATGTTGAAATAGCTGAAAAAGTAATTTCTGTGGGCTATAGCAACTGAAAAGGCAAGTATTAACCAAGAGGATTGTGGTCCAACTGGTATTTCTGAAATGGCATAAAAGCATCAATGTTAGCTTTCACTCAAGAAGAAACATCAATGGCACAATTTTCAATTCATTCCAAGAGCAAAGACAAAAGTGATATCAACAGACACTACAGCATAATCCAAATTGTCAACAGAACAGAACTGCGATTTTTAACAAGAGCCAGGACAAGAGGTAAGGTACAAAAGAAGTACAGAAGCATGTTCATTAGAAAATTCTCTGATTTCCCTGATATGAAACCAAAATTCCTAATAATTCTTAGATTTATAAACAATTTTTTAATTGCCTAATTTCTGTGTTTTCCAAGTTGGCTAAGAACCTTGTCATTGCTAATTTTGTCTAAAACATTTCTGAAATAGAGAAATTTACTCAATATATCTTGGGCCTGTGTATCAACAAACGGTCAGGTCTTGGGGTTCAACAGGTTAAGCGCAAACAGGTGGAACAAACAATTATGGAAGACATAAATTCATCTTTATTTTAATGATCTTTTTAATCCAATCAAATAGTCAAATAAATATTCACTGTGAAAAACTCCTTTCTTGTCCAGAAGGAAATAAAACCATTTTCCTTTTATTTTAAATGGTATCTGGTTTTTGGCTGTACTTCGTTGTTGTAGACAATTGATGGAATCCACTGGAATCAACTCTACCGTCCGCCGACCAAAAGTGGTGAGCTGAACTATTTTTCCTCCTTTCTTTAGGACGAGTGACTTTACTGCACGCTTTGGGAATATGACACTTATAAATAACACAAGGTAACCTGAAAGAAAAGAAAGAAAACTGGAAATGAAGGAAAATATTTTCCCTTTGGTTTCGGTGAAGATTCAATACACTACTGTAATACCAAAAAAAAAAAAATAAAAAAAAAAAAAAGTGCTGAAAAGTCATATAATCTGGTTCAGTGAAAGAAATTGAGGAGTGACACAAAGGTGAACAAGACTGGTGAATATTAACTGATAAGAGTTATCTCCCCTTAGCATGGAAAGTGCAATGGGAACAATTTACTCTCATGGATTAAATAAACATGCCAGTTCAAAATTTCAAGAAAGTTACTGATTACAAAGACAGATACCTGAAGAAGGCCACAGCATACAAAGGCTAAATGTGGTGAATATAACAACCAAGAATGCTGGTCCAAGTACCAAAGCATAAAATAATGATAATTCTTAATCTCAAATATTTCAGGATAAAGTTTGTTTTTTTGCTGATGCAACTCTTCTAATCATTATGTGAAATTTTCTTGATTATAAGACACAAATTTACCCAGACAATTACATTTTCTTTTAATGATCAGCAACATCCCTTTATTTTGAAAGTATTTACAAAGTCAGTCTGGAAAGTATTGAAATGTTTTGAATCCCTCTCTCTTTCTCTCATCATCATCTTGCGGCCTCAGCTGAGATTGAACTCAATAATACTTTGATTGGTGTAGTTCATAATCTTGTCAAATAGCTGAATTCTTGATGCTTCGCTAGGGCTATCAAGGGTGTTTTTATCGTGACACCAACACTAAATGGATTGCCAACCAAGGCTCAGAGAGACTTCATTCACCCTCCTCTAAGAGCAGGTTTGAATTCAGAGTTTTCCTTCTCCTAGACCAGTTGCCATCCAAGGCTATAGAAACCAGTCTGTCCTGCTATTTACCCATAGCTGGAGGGAGAAGAAAGAGGATTCACACCTTTCCCAAGGGTGTTAGCACATAAGTGAATGTAATGGATTCGACTGGAATTCGAACTCGGCACTCCGATTCTTCAATCCAAGCTGCTATCCATTACTCCACCGTGCCTCCATACTCCACCATGCCCCTCTCTCTCTCTCCCCCCAAAACCAGTTGTGTGGCCTTAATGTAATTTGGCAACCAATCAGAGGAGATTTTACTGAACAGCAGGGTTGTTCTATTTAAATCAAACTGATTTAAATCACAATTTAAATCAAATGATATTTTTTTTTAATCACTGATTTAAATCAATTTTATTGAATTTTATCTTTATTTAAAGCAAAAGATTTAAAAGTAAAACAATTTTTTTTTGTTTTCATGTAATTTCATGAAAGAAGAAAAGTGTTAAACATAAAATTCTAACCATTAACAAATTTAAAAATTTAATGTTTGAAGTTCATGGATTTAAATAAAAAGATCGGTTTTATTGCTTTATCTGTACCAAGACGGTTTCTCAGTTTGGAATGCACCAGTCCATAGGACAAGAAAACTCGTTCAATACCAGAAAACTCATTCAATGCCAACAGGAGTTACTTAACCACAGAAAGTATATCACTGCTCAACACACTTGATGTGAATGTCACCATTCAATAGCAGAAATTGTCTTGATTATGGAGTTTGCAAATTTAAATGCCTGGAAGGAAGGAGACCTCGTTTCTCAACTTCATAATGCACAAGTATGGATATTTCAAGAAAATTCCATTACAATATTAACTTCAATTGCTTAATGATTTTTCTTTTAAGATAACGATGAACCATGTTGTCAATGCCAACTTTGTGGATGACTTGGTTTAACCATTTCTATCAAAGTTTTATTTTTTGTTCAGGAGCTTTTTTCAACATTTTTGAACAATTCTTTCCAAATATCCAACATATGTCACTGAGAATTTTAGGGAATTGTTCTTTCTTTTGCTTTTTTATTCAAAGATGAAATTTTCTTTTTAAATCCAAAAATTAATTTTGAAAAAATTCGATTTTTTATTTTGCAAATAAACAGAGAATTAAAAAACTTATTTCCTGCAGCATTAATAATAAGCATTGTTGTCATCTGCCATTTCACATTACTACAAATTAGTAAAAAAAATTACAAATTATCTAAATAAATTAAAATAATTTGTTTAATTATTTTCTTAAAACTATACAGAATTATTTAAACAAGTGAAAAAAATAGTAAGTTTTATGAAAAAAATAATTTCACTTAATTTCTATTATTATTATTAATACATGATTTTTAATTAATATTAATAAAATATTACCAAATTATTTAAATATATCAAATTTTAATTTCATTTTAACTGATTTAATTTAAAAAGATGTATAAACCAATAGTTTTTTTTATTTAATTGAAGAAAAAAATTTATGTCAATAAGTTAAATTAATCTGTTGTTGAATAAATTTTATTACCAATAAAAACATTAATAAAACCATAGATACCAAAATCAAACAAGTGCAACAATTTAAATATCTGGGACGTGTTCTAACAGAGGATGGAAAGTGTGGCACTAGAAAAGATGACTTCCAAAAGCTAAGCAAAGTATTAAGAAACAAGAATGTTTCATTAGAAATAAAGAAAAGAGTCCTGAACTGTTATGTAATATCAGTCCTACTATATGGCAGTGAATGTGAAATGAAAAAGAAATTTGAAGCAATGAAAATGTGGTTCTACAGAAGGATGATAAGAATGCCATGGATGAAATGTGAGCAACAATGAACTTTTAGAGAAAATGGAAACAAAAAGAACACTTATAATTAACATCAGGAAGAGGCAGTTGAAATTTAAAATTTCTAGCACAAATAATGACGAAAAAAGGCTTGGAAAATTTGATATTCACAGGACTGATTGAAGGCAAAAGAGATAGAGGAAAACATTGCATAATTTACCTGGTGAGCTTGAGTAATATAGATGGCAGAGCAAGGTTTAGGAGAGATAACGAAAAGACAAAATTTGTTAAGAGGTACAAAGGAAATTGTGGAGAGCCATTATCGCCTACATCCTGAAGGGATACGTCACATAGAAGAGGAATGAGCTTATGTAAATGGATGGCAGAGCAAGGTCCAGGAGAGATAACAAAAAGACAAAATTTATCAAGAGCTGCAAAGGATAGGAAATTGTGGAGAGCCATGATCACCAACATCCTGAAGGCACATAGAAGATTACAACTTTTCACTAGTAGGATAAGTATTCAGCTAGTATTATTATTAAATCTATAATTTCATTTTACAGACCAGTAGTCCCAAACAAAAAGACATTGTTCAACAATAGCATTTATCATGCAACAATGCTTTTCATGTTGCTAAGTTGTTACAATCACTCATCACACACTGCAAAATTAACACCTCAATTTAATATTTTCATCGAGTCTTAATTCATATTTTTAGCAAATAGCCTGACAGAAAATTAAATTTGCAACACTGTGGATATATCTTGGTTACAGTAAATCATTCATCTCAATGTATACACATGTTTGAAAATAAACAATGTAATCAGACACCAAATTAACACACTGTGTATCCTCCTTGGTGTGCAGATGGCATAATGATTAGTGAGTTGGAACAAAAAATCACTAAGCTGAGTTCAAATTCCACTTGAATTCATTACACTGTCACACAAATACCCTTGAGGAAGGTATGAATCCATCTCTTCCTACTCCAGCTATGGGTTAAATAGCACAGCACACTGGGCTCTTTAGGCATAGTTGGCAATAAGTGTAGGAGAAAGATAAATCTAAAATTCTTTTATTTTGTTTACATCCCAGCGTCAGTCACGTTCCCATTGCCATAACATAGCTTTCCTGTACTTTTTCTACAAATATTTTCATGCTAATTTTTCTGATGAGCTTTGAGGAGGCACGGTGGAGTAATGGATAGTAGCTCAGATTGAGGAATCGGAGAGCTGAGTTCAAATTCCAGTCGAATCCATTACATTCATTTATGTGCCAATACTCTTGGGAAAGGTATGAATGCTCTTCTTCCCCCCCACCTATGGGTAAATAGCAGGATAGACCAGGTTCTATAGCCTTGAATGGCAACTGGTCTACGACAGAAAGAAATGGCAACCTACTGCATGAAAAATCTGCCTCGTTAGTCATGTATTGAAAGATACATGATCGCCTAAGCGTGTATCATGCATGACACATAACTGACTGACTAAATTGGTCTCAGCATTTTGCAGTTGAAATGGCTAGATATAACCGTATGTCCTATGCTAACAATTTCTTCTCTTACACTTCTCACTTGTTGAACTCTCTTCTGACTTTGCTTTCACATCAATTTTGATCTTCAAAAATTTAAATACAATGTCAATCGTCATCTTCCGTCTTCTTAATTCCTGTTCTGTTATTATTCTCTCTCCTTAATAATGTTTTTCTTTTTCTCATATTCTCAGTAACTCCTTGCTTGAAGTGAAATGAAAAAATATATGGCCCTGACAAAATACATATATATAATGAAAGGATACTTGATTGTTTTTTATGGCATTAACAAGGCCTATACCCTTGCATGCAAACCATTATACTGTTGAAAATCCTGTGAGAAAATATTTTTTTCAGATCAACAGGAATCAAGGTGAACATCACTGATACATATTCAAGATAATAATTGATTGTTTTTTATGGCTGATCAACCTTTTGCAGGTTACTTAAAACCAGAAAATATTTTTAGATCATAAGAGCATTTTTAAAATAATAATGATTTACTGATACCTAATTAACCCATAGCTGGGGGGAAGACGGACTCATACCTCTTCCAATGTATTGCAGAAAAAAAAAGTATCACTGATGATGCCAGAGCATCTGAGAGATGTATTTCAAAAAATGTTTATATGTATATGTTATAAACCTTTGTGAAATTATCTAACAGCCTGGTATTGAAGTGTCTTTAAATACAAAAAAAAAACTCACAATCTGATTCCTCTGAAAGAGCTCTTTCATCACACAGAACCTTATTTCAGTATGCTTCATAGTCTAAAGCTCTGTCACAGACAGTGCACTCATATAATTGTTAAAGATTCAGCAACTTCTATACTAAAAACCACAACCACGCTCCTGATTATGCAGCTATTTCATGCACGAAATGCATCAACAACATGAAGAGAAAAGCAGCAGAAACTTATATTTTTTGCTTTGTGTTATTTTTTTCCTATTTTCCCACTTGTGCCATTATTACCTTAATTTGCCAAACTCTGTCAAAAGTCTTCACAATATCCAAACAGCCTGAGCTTAACCATTCTTACTTGATAGACTCTTTCTTTTTTTCTTATACTTAGTCTAACTCAAACTAAAACAATTGAATTATCAAGTTTATTTTTCCCCACAAAACAATTGAATTAAATTTCCTAAACAACACTGACAAAACTAATAATATCATGCTTTAAAAAAAAAAATTTAATTAATTATAGATATCCTTGGGTTTTTTTTTTTATTTAAAAATAAAAAAAATAAGCAATAGAGTTCAAAAGCGTCTCAGTCCTTCTTGTGGGAGGAGAATTATTTTCCCCATTCTAACCTCTCTCTCTCAGGACGGATGTAGTGAGTCTATATTGCTACTATCATAGAATGTGCTCGGACGAACTGCATCTCCTGGTTCAACCAGGTCAGATCTACAAGGCTAGGATCCACCATGCCACATTTTCTCCATATTCCATCGCCGAGAAGGAAGTTCCCACGAACGACAGCCCTATGGAACAGACTCCCTCCCGATCACTACAATCTTTCTTTAACCTGTTCAAGTCTAGAGTCAACCATTATCTTTCCCTCTCCTACTTTTATGTAGCACCCTACCTCGAGTGGCATCTGGGCCTTGTACAGAGTGAACCTTATTGTAAGAAAAAAAAACACTTTTTGTATTGAAAAAATTATTTATCAAAGACCAGTTTCAAATTATCTGAAATCTACATTATTTACACAAAAACAAAAAAATGACCATTACTTGACGTGTCGATATTTGGGATATAATCCATTTTAGCGTTTCAAATGATTCCTACATTTGGGGTATTTATCTGAATTATCTCCCTTATATTGCACATAAACTTGAAACTAGTCGTTTTCTGGATATGAAAAGTCATCCAGTTGAAATAAAACGAAAAATATCGATAGAAATTATGAAATAAAATATAATTTATTTGAAGTATTTTTTTCTTAAGCAAAACAAGATTAATTCAACATTTGTGACCAATAAATCTCAGAAGTTGAAATACAAAATAAATTGCTTCATTTCCTAATCCTAGGCTTGCATAAATACACTACACACAGTTTTAGAAGACAAACTGACTATACCTCGTCCAAGAAACCCAATTTTTGGTAGGATCCTTAAGAAATCTTATCATTTGCTCAAATAAATTGATTTTATTGACGCCCATCCCCGAAGAAAAAAAAAAGCCACAATTAATTTCCCGTTTTATGTCAAATGCACGATTTTTAATATCTAAAAATCCCACTAAAGGAGAGCTCGTAATATGAGTCCCGTTCAAGAAACTTAGTGCGATGTAAGGGAGTTAAATCCTGTTTGGTGAATAGTCTGGAAACGCTAAAATGGAATGTATTCAATAATTGTTGAATTATATTGCTAGTATTTATGGAGCGCCCGGTACGGATCGAACTAATTGACAAAGGATTACAAGAAAATATAAAACACGGATCCTGCATGGCGCTCTTTTTCAATTATGAAAAGACCTCTTCAGTTTTACTAAAATACAAACTATTTTATTATTTTACCTACCTACAGAAATACACAATACTGCCATACTATATCGGTACTTGTCTTCTCCCAAATTGATTCGTTTCCACCAAGAGGATTTCTCACCAATGACTTTTTTTTGTCGTTCGATGAGTGGGTCAACATCCCGAAGAGTCGAGTAGGAAAATCCTGCCAAGTGAATCCAGAAAAAAAACTGCACAACACCAAAAAAGGTCAACAGTTTATAAAACCTATCATTATTATAAGAATAAATCAAAATATCTTCTTTTATGCTCCGTTCGTCGACTGTAAATGGTAGTTTGACCTTGTCTTGAAAAGTTTTAAACGAAAGAGCAGAAGTCGTAAAGAACTTGTGCTGTTGTTTTTGAAGCGATAATAAACTTATCCTCTTTACTGGAGAAAAACGACTTGAAACAGACTGTTGGGGAAAATCGTAAAGAATTTGTGGTCTGGAAGATGACCAGATGCGGTGAATGGACCGTAAATTAACAACTTGTCTTCCTAAGAAGATATTTTGGCAAAATATACTCATCTTCGAACTGTGTCGAAATTGCTACCGGGTTCGCATCAAAGGGAGATAACTTCAGCTTTCTCCGAACGGTGTCACATCGATATGAAACTGACCCTAAGTAAAAGGCCGCAAAATGTAACACCTGACGAGGGTCGAACTCACTAACGTCAGCAATCCTAGCTTACTACCCACTACTCTACGGCGAGACGCCCAAATTACGGTGCAAGACCACAAGTGTAGGACGTCTAAATGGGAAACAAACTCGCTAACAGTCTACAACTTTAACTCTACTACACTACAGTGTAAATGCTGCTTTCCTAAGTGTTGGGGTTACCAATGTAAATGGTGTTTTGTTGAAAAGATTAATGTGGCTGCGTGTTGAAGAGCATTTAACATTTATACATTTTTTAAAATCAAGGAAAAACAATGGAAAACCGATTTGTGTTAAACGATAAAATATATATATTAAAATCAACAACAAATACAAGGTAATTTTTGTAACGTGTGAATAAGGAGAAAAAAGTTGTCTCCCTTTATCTGTTAGTTGAATATGGTGATATTTAAATAAGCAAGTTTTCTGAATATAATGTTCAGAGTTCTGTGTTAAAATAGAAAGTGTATTCAGAAGATCGTACAGTTGTGTGTTTTGTAACTAACAGAGTTGTTGCAACTTGGCTTGTACACAAAGAACTGATGGTGAATGATATTCAAGTTCTGTGTCTGTGTGTGTGCGTGCAGAGTGAGTAGAATGAATAATCTGTGTAGATGCATGTGAGTAGTTGAGTTCTACTGTCTTCAACTCTACTGTTTAATTTGGGAATGAATCCGGACTTATATTACTATCGGTAGGCTCCCAGCACGAATGCAGGATAAATTTTGAAAGAACATGAAAAATATCTGATTGAATAAAAAATTAACCAATCGATGATTTTATAACAAAAGCATGTTTGTGAGTTAACGGTAGGAAAAATTCAGTGTGGTGAATGCGATCAGTAAATTGTCCTGTGATATTTAGTATTTATTATTTGACCAATCACAGTTGAGAAAAATGTAGGCGTGGCAAACATAGTAGTAATCACTACAACAGCAAAAAAAAGCAAGACACCCAGGTAGTGTTGAACTCACAATGTTTTGCAAGGTAAGCTTGCTAATCACTGCTCCACAAAAATACCCCCATCATTTAGAAAGGTTTGCAGTGTAATACAAAAATCTGCAGTAAACAATTTAAATCAAATTGAACTTGGTGATTAACCCTCTAATCAAAAACGAAAAAATAGCATCTGAAATGCAATGTAATTTATTTAAACTATTGTTCTGTAAGTAAAAACTCAAAACAATACAACCACTGATCAATAATCAGGAATTTGTAAAAATATAAATAAATAATTTACATTAAAAAAAAAAAAGCTAGTGAGTGTGAAATAATAACTCCCCTCACCTACTCCCCTCAAATTTTGAGGACTGAAGAAGAAAATAAATTTGAGAGCCTATGTGAAATTGTTTTTGCACCAATGAAAACCTTGCCAGTCACCCAAGAAGAAGAAAGAAAGAAATTCACAAGCCTATGCAAAATTTTTTTTTATATAAAATGAGGAGAAAAATTAAATTAATCATAGAAGAGTGAAGTCATGTGAAAGGTTTCATTTCAGTTCTTCTCTTTCAGTTTCATTTGAAGGACTTACCAGTGTAAAATTGCTCACCAATTATAATATCAGCCTCTAACCAGTATGCAACACTTCAAAGAATTTTCTCTCAACAATCCAAGAAAGCTAAGTATTTCAAACTATCCCATTTTGTCTACTTTTTGAATGTATGCAAACAATATATCGCTTCAGTGTGGAACAAACTCAATTACATATGTCTTGAACATTTTTTAATATTATTTTGTGTCAGATTATTTAATCTTTTTACAGTGTAACCCGGATATAAGAGAGTTGTCGGGACCAGAGAAGAAGTCTCTTATATCCGGGTTTGGTCTATTTTATATACATTAACACAGGCTCTAATTTGGGACCAGAGAAAATCTCTCTTATATCTGGGTTTCTCTTATATCCGGGTTACACTGTATGAACATTTCCTCTTCATGACAACATTTTAAAACTACAAACTTCATGAATTCTGAATTATTTTTCTGAAACAAGCTACTCACACTACATAAGGAGTGATTAGCATTCTGTTACCAATTGATTTTATATTATTATTATTATTTTCGATTCAGCAAATACTATTCATCAAAAAAGATTTCAATGCATTTTTTGTAAGTTTTTTCGACGGCAATTTTGTGCAAACTAAACACCAAAGTGGATCACAGAATCCTTAAATAATTCTCCGACTCCTGATTGGCTAATATATGTGAAAAATATTACAACACCTACGCAGTTGTGTTCAGAGTCAATTTACTGCCAAAATCTGGTTATCTTTTCTCAAGCATATCACGTGATTCACATTACTTATAAATACTTGGACACATCTTCACTCTTTCCTCGTCTTCTTAGATCCACTATGAAACGTCATAACACACACGTACATACAACCATCACACATCTATAAACATCTACAAACATTCACTCCTTCAACCACAAGGACACAGAAACTTATCAACTTCTAAGTGAGATTATCATCAGCAAACAGCACACCACCAGAGCACGTATAATTTTTCAACACATTCATTTCAACTGATTTCAATCCTCTATGGTGAACAAATTTGAGTGGCAAGGTCTTTCAATATATTTATACTGATTTCAATTCAGAAGCATTAAACTAAAAAACTACATTTTTAGTACCAAATACTACTTCTCAATTTTCAAGTGAAGGCTACAATTTTCTCTCACTCAACAAGTTTCTGTGGATTCATCTTACAAACTTTTCAAGAATTATCTACGACAAACTTTTTGTGGAAGAACAACACTTTCTTCTTTGAAAACTTTTCTTTCAACTGGAATCTACTTTTGTCAAGTAATTTTAAACTATTATCTTATTTCAGATAATAAAATATTTTAAACACTTTAACAGACAAAAGTAGACAACTCCTACCACATTCTTAATATTAAAATTCTTAACTAAAAAGATTTGTTTAAAAACAGTTTGTTTGACTCCAAACTGATTTATTCATTACAAATTGGCATAAACTTTGAACAGACTAAATAAAGACACTTTTACCTACCATAAAAAACATTTTTTGTGTATGAAACATCAACTTTAAATTCTGCGACTCAATATAAATTCCCATCATTCAATCTTGGATATTGTAATATAAATGCTTTTTATTATTTATTGAAAAAATATTGTCTTATATTTGTGGTGTTTGACAGCCTTGTGCCATACAAGTAAATTAAAATGTTTGTGGAGATGTTTTTGTTCCCGTAGCCATAAAAATAATACCTTCTGATCTACATTTTATTTAAACAAACTAATCACTCCACAACAAGTGAAAATTTGTGAATAAATTTTTTCTTTTCTTAAAATTACCCATGTGTCTCCTTGTCGTTATCATCCTTCATTAATCTTCTTGATGTGGGTAAATCACTATTTACATTATTCGGACTATTGTCCTCATCTTTGTCACCATATTTATTACATTTCAGCTGTAGTATGCTCCAGCCTTCTTCAGGTGGTTGGAATGTCAAACTGAACCATTTATTTCGCTCACTGGGAGAGACTGTTCTAGTTCCACGTGCCATTTTTAATGGATGTCATCTCAGAAATATAGATACTGTGGGTAAATCAACTGTTCACTTTAAGCCACACCACTATAACTTCCTTACCTTTGGATTTGAAAAGTCATGCCCCAAACTAATATTTCCCCTATTGCATTAAAAGAAACAGGGCCAGTGTAAACCTTTGATGCCTGAAGGATTGCAATAGGGAAATGCTGAGGGAACTGGACAAGTAGTACCTTTTCCATTGAACTGAAAGAGGGAAAGTCAGGGTTGATCACTGATGCCAGAAGCATCCCCAAAGGGAAATGCTTATGGAACTGGTATATTTTTGATGGTAACTCTATTGTTCTGTGGACAAATACTATGAAAAATACAAAATGAAAATAGTATTTAAAAAGGTCAATCTACCATATTTTGACGGCATATAAAACACACAGATGTATAAGACACTCCACCATTTCAACAGAGCAAATCAAGAAAAACTTAGTAAAATTATTAGTAAATGGTACAGCCTAGGTTATATTTATGAGATGTTATTTTAGTTAAACAAGCCATGATTACAATTAAACAAAAAATAATAGGAAAAAAAGAACATGAGACTATAAAAACTTTATTATATCCTTTATATAATCTCTACAACCTGCGTCTTGTAAACATCTTATTGAAATAATTAAGATATAAAAATTCAGAAGTTATTGCAAGAAAAATATTAATGAAACAAATATATTTTACAAATATATAATTTGAATTTATTGCATATTATTTTAGTGAAACAAAGTACTAGTATTAAACGTGATAAAATTAATATAATGAATATTATCAATGATAACACTTTTAATCTGCATAATAGCCTTTTAAATAATGACAATAGGTATATGAAATTTATTGTAAAGTCTAAGCTAATAGGAGTTGCCAGGTAGCTAATTTCAGCCAACTATTGCAAATTTTAAACCTACATATGGAATATAAGATGCAGGGGAATTTTATAAGATATTTTTAGTAAAAAAAGAGTGCTCCTTATATGCCATCAAATAATCATTTTTTTTTTTCCTTTTCTTCTTTTCTTTTTCTCTATGGAAGAAAAATTCATTCATCTAATTCACCGAATGATATTTGAAACCATAAAACTCACACTAAGCAGGGAAAAAAAAGTCTTGATTTTTCATTTTATTTCTGATGCATTAATTTTCAAATTCAAAAGAGGAGTCAGAATACAAGGCTAGTTAAAAACATCTAAGGAAGTTAATTCCATATTTGCTATACAAAAATTATTAACAGCATTAAAATCAACAATATTGTGAAATCCATCAAAATAAAAACAAACCTGAAAACAATTGTGTACCTTAGACTAAAACCAATTTATTTAAGAGATATCAAATCAAAGTATCATCAATAATTTCTTTCGAAGAGGCCCCATGCCTTTAGCGCCTATTGGGACTTTAGCTACATGTGCTATCCACTTTAGTTGTTACTGCTGTTGGTAGTCTTCAAGTGTTGTGGCTTCTGCTATTTGGTACAGTTCTTTGTGAGCACCAGTTCATGAGATTTGATGAAGGATGGTCTTTGCCAAGACCTTCAGGCTTCACTTGCACTTCTTCCCCAAAATATGTTTTCGATCAGTCAATGTATGGCTATTTTAGAAGGTGTGACAAACAGTCTAACAGAAGTTACAGAATTTTATAGATAGATAGAGTGTATATATATATATATATATATATATATATACTAGCAGTAGAGCCCGAGAGATAGATCAAGTATCAACCATCATAAGTTTATTGTTTAAGGTTGACGGCCACGCATGTCTTAATTAGTTTTTTTTGTTTTTTTTATGAATTGGTCAAACCAAAACTCAAACAAAAACATTGTTTTCAATCGTTATGAGTCTACCGATTGAATAGAATTTTATTATAAACAATTGTCTTGTAAATGGAATTTTTAAAGCATTCTGAATGTAAAAATAAAGAAAAAAAGTGTGCAAGACAATAAAAAACACTACCTGCCAAAAAAAAAAAAATAGTTAAGTTTTGTTGAAATCGGTTGAAAAATGTAGGAAATCCGATCCCATATATAAATGAACACACACACAACCTGGGTTTTATAATAAGTAAAACTTGATATGAGTTGTCCCCCTTTCATTCTGCAAAAGCGATGCCTCTTAATCGTGTTTTCAAATTGATTTCGTGCAAAAACAATTGCGTTTTTCCAATTTTTGGCGCTGTCAGAACCACCGCAAGGTAATTTTACGTAGTCCTGTAAAGTTTTGTTGAAATCGGTTGAAAAATGTAGGAAATCTGATCCAATATATAAACGTACAGACACACACAACCTGGGTTTTATAATAAGTATGATACACACACACATATATACATACACTTTTAAACAAGTTTTATTAGACTTATAAACTTTTTAAAGTTTTTTTCCGCATGCTTTAGACTGTACTCAAAAGTACTTGCATTAAAGAAAAAAAAAATAACTTTGGAAAGTTTATAAATTTTCATTTTGACATAAAAAAACTTAGCACAATTCCCCATGTATAATACGCCTTCATCCATAATACGCACCCCTAAAATTGTGCTGAAAGTGTGGGAAAATGCTTCTACTCATGCATAATACACAACCCTTGTTTGGTAATCACATCCTATAAATTGTACCTCTCTAATTTCATTATGGACAGCGTTTCCTACTCTTATTAAAAAAAAAAAAATGGTTTCACCCTGAGTTTCATAGATGAACCTTTTATAATCATTTGGTCCACTCATCAGGAGAATCAATTTTGTTTCTAAATTATAGGAAAATTCTTCAAGAATTACAAAAGAAGTAGAAATTTGATTCTAAACAACCTATAATTGCAAATGTTGGGTAGCCATTACCTCTCTCTCTCTATTATATTTATATATATATATATTATATATATATCCAAATGAGAGAAAGAACAGATAGAATAAAAATCCACTGTTCATAGCATTTACTTTTAAAAAGTGCTCAATACAAAGTAGAGCAATATATTATTATTACATTTTTATTATAAGAAATTACATTAAAAATATAATATATATTTTCAAAATTCCAAATTAGTTATTTTATGTTATCAGTAAATTTGCCAAAGTTCATATTTATTTTAAAATTTTTTTTGAGAATTTTTGAATGTTGCTATATTATATAAATATATATACTTACTTACGTACATAAAGATTTTTTTGAAATTATAGAAAAATTTCTAGAATTACAACAGAAGTAGTGTATTTTATTGTAAACATTAAAATCTATCATTGTAAGTGCTGTACAAGAAGAACACCAAAATATGAAAAACAAACTTTTTTCACTCGTTTATTTAATTAGTTGATGTCTATATGCATGAAGTCTTTTGATATTCGCATTTACATTAAAAATTGAAGTCATTTTCCGAGCAGCAGTCTGGAAGAAAAATGAATAAATAAAAGTAAATAAAAATATGCACAGACACAAGCATTTTATATATTACACACACATACACACAATATGTTAAAAATATTATTACCTGTCCCATAATAGTTGCTACATTTGTATGCACATTTCATTGACAAAATGTAACAATTATTACGAGACGGTGAAATATGGGAAAATGATATATATAATTTTATTTTTATATAACAGTCAGTTAAACATCATACGTGGTACACACTTGGGCAATTATGTATCAAAAGATACATGACTGATGAGGCAGATGTTTTCTCCACAGTAGGTTGCCATTTCTTTCTGCAGTAGACTGATTGCCAACCAAGGCTAAAGAACCCAGTCTGTCTTGCTATTTAACTCATAGCTAGGAGGAGAAGACATTCATGTTTCCCAAGGGTATTTGTGCATAAGTGAATCTAATGAACTTGACTGGATATTGAACTTGGATCTCCGAGTTCTTACTCGGAGCCAATATCCATTACACATGCACATGAAGGAGAGGGGATGCTGAAATTTTAAATTTACATCTTTAATTACACAGTGAACAATAAAATTCATGCAACAAGAACAGGATTTTGAAATTGTTCTTTCATTTTCAAATCTATTTTCATAAAAACTTAGGAAAAGAACTTTGAAAATGATTAATTCAATGAAAAAAAAAAAGCTGAATTTAACAAAATTGATTGAAAACCAATTCTTAATAGATATCAATGTTAATTTTTTATTAAATCCAAAGTTTTAGTACATATGTATTTAATAGATCCTTTAAAATTATACTACACATAATAAAACTGGCCCAAAATGTATGGAATTATCAACAACAGCTATTAGAGAGATGTGATAAAATATACTTTAATGTTTAAAAAAAATTTATTCAGTATTATTATTAAGTAATAAGCACAAATAGTTATATATGCATTTTTTTATATATTTATGGTTATTTTTTAACTTTTAATATCTGTTAGTATCCCATGGAAAAGGCCTGATATAAAAGAAATAATATCACATGATGCAATATTTGAAATACGCTTTTTTGTTAGAGATAAAAGATTATCAAAATCAAGGACTGTCGCAAAGGACATTATGGTTTTCTTCTAAGTCATGGCTAACATAATTTTGATGAAAATGATGATAAAGATTTTAAAGCAACCTTAAGAACTACACAAACATTCTGGCTCTTCTGACTTTATTAATTAATAAATTTAAAATTATACATTAATTACTAATTTTTTTAATTAATAACTATTTTTGATCAGTTGTTGACATTAATAGCTATCTGCTGAGGTGTTAAAATTTTAGAATAATGCAATAATAAAAATTTAAATTTCATGTTGTGATCTGTAAACATAGGTTTGCCTATCACTCCGTTCACTCTCCTCCCCCATCTTTTGAATTTTATCTGATTCTGAGCACCCACTTCCAGAATACCATCCAAAAATACCAGGGTCACAAAACCTCTTTTCTCACCAAACGAAAAAAAAAAAAAAAAAAAAAAAAATGTAGTTTTCGTAGCAGCCATTTCTGATCCACTGAAATATTATTTGAAACTTACCTCTATTCGCCAGACAATATCAACTTCCCACTTATGTGCCACAAGGGACAAGACATGTGAATTCTGGGAAGATCCAACGCGTCCCACTCGTCCAACACGATGAATGTAATCAGACACAAAATTTGGAAAGTCATAGTTAATAACCATGAGAGCCTGTGGAATTAAACAAAGCAAAACATTGGATAAATATTAACAAAAAAATAAATACAAGTTTTCAGGGCTGATTGGGGTTCCCAGCCAGGGTTTTGTGCCCCTCACTATCTTAGCAATATTTACTTTTTTCTACCTATATTTATATATGTTACAAATTAAACTAAGCACAACTGACTATTAAAAGATTAAAATTTTCAGATTTTGATGTTATTCTGAATTCTTTTTTTTTGGTCCAAAACTGAATTTGTTTTGCTCATGTCAAGTCTCAAAAAAAAAAAAAAAAAAAAAAAAAAAAATATAAAAAAATTCACTATTTTTTAGCCATAATGTTGAATGTGTTAAAATTATTTAACTTTTTAACAAGAAATGTCTCAAGTTGATGTAAAAAATTGCCACAAAATATTGATTTATTTAAGATGGAATGATCTATTATGAATTTGTATTTAGATCCATTGTATCTATTTTTGATTTTTCTAGTTGAAATGTTCACCTATATTGTACATAATTAGGTTACAATAAAGTTTGTATTTTATATGATTACTACCTCATGAAATTTGCAATGTAGTAGAGTGGGAGGGCCCTATATCATAGAATTGGTGGAGGCCCATGGGACCCTTGCACCAGCCCTGCAAGTTTTAAATTATTTGAATTCTGAAAAGAAACATTTTCGTGATCAATTTTTGACAAGTCTAATCTCCATGAACTCATTAGCTTTTATCACAACTTTCTACTTCTGATAAATTATACATGTAGATATATACATCAGCAATTAACCCCAAAAGTCTACCACTCATACCAATCAGGAGATATCAATATTCATGAAAAATATGTGGATATCTCTTGTTTTTATTTTCATAAATGCATATTCCCACACACCCATATCACACATACATAGATTTACTTTTTCTTCTACATTTTAAAATCAGATCAGGCTTAGGCCTGCTACTGGTAATGCATAACCCAGTACAACCAGCCATAAATCAGCACTCCCACCAGCTTTTCTGCTGGTGAGGAGAGTGACATGTCATCCCACAGTATGAAAAACAAAACCTGTCAAAGGGCTGACGAGTTTCTTATAGAAGCCAATGCCCAACATGTGTGTATGCTCCATTTGAGTTAAAGCATTAGAGTTCTGACAGGGTAAGGTATGATACTTATGTACATATATATGATTAAAAATATTGTTTTAAGCTATGCTATATTTATGGATAAAAGTGCTCAATATCAGAGATAGGGTGTATGTAAATATAAAAGTGAACTCTGAGGTCCACACCAAGTGGCATGAGTCTGTTTTATTGTTCAACACATGACCTGAAAATTGTATTGAAATATGAAATAGACTATCACTGCTTAGTGCTGACCTCAATGTCCACTTTCATTTTATATATATATATATATATATATATATATATATATATATATGTATGTATGAGGCTAGGATGAGGTCCCAACCCATGAACCATGAATTGCAACCTTCCTAGAGATGGTAGCTTGATAAAATCACTTGGACTACTATGCATGTCTGAGTTGGGCATCAGGAAAATCATCTGGCATTGTAAAACCTTACATCAAATTATTATGACAAATTCTTTGTCAGACAAGAACCACCTTGCTTTGTACGAGATTAACCTTAGTCTTGCCTCAAAAAAAAAAAAAAAAAAAAAAAAAAAAAAAAAAAACAAAAAAAAAAAAAAAAAAAACACTGCTGTGTATGCATGTAGGTGCTGTGTCCCTTCAGGGTGTGGCCAATTCTGTCTGTTTTACTATCTCCCTCTCACTCTATTCTGCAATCCATTTACACAAATTCATTAGCTAGGTTTCTTTGCTGTTTTGTTCCATTCTTCTTGCCTTCATTGTCTTGCAAGCTTCAAATTTTCTAACCCTTTTTTCCTCATTATGTGTCCAAGAAATTTCAAGTCTCTCTTTGATAAGTATAAATGCCCTTTTTGTTTCCATTTTCATTCAAACTTTCTCATTATTTCCATGCTGTGTCCAAAGTATTCTCAGCATCCTTCTGTAGAATCACATCTCTGTTGCCTCAAACCTTCTCTTAATCTGTGAGAAAATTACTCAGCACTCACTGCCATATAGGAAAATGAATATTACATCATAGTTCAGCACTCTTTTCTTAGTTTTTAATAAAATTTTCCTGTTTCCTTATACCTTAACTTTTTGAAGGCATCTTTTGTTATTCTAATGTGCCTTCTGATTTCAGTGCCACATTTTCTGTTAAAACACTTCCCAGACATTTGAACTTCTTTACTCGTTTGATTTTGACATCTTCTATTCATAACTCACAACTTGGGTTATTTCTCTTACTAACAATCAGACATCTTGTGCTTTTTTATAATTTGTGGTAGATCCTTCCTTTCTGGTTTCTTTTAGTACCTTGTCTAGAAGAATTTCTTGCAGTTTTCTGTGTCTGCCATCAATACAATGTCATCTGCATAGGTTAAGATTATACCTACTGATATCAAATCCTGGTAAGACTTCTACTTTTCTTAACATTACCTCACTGTATATAAGTTAAATAAATCTGGTGAAAAGACACATATTTATCTTATGCCCTTTTCCTTTTTAATAGTTGTTCTATTTGTATATATTTCTTTTGATTACTGACAGCACCTATTATTGTATATATATATATATATATATATATATAGAGAGAGAGAGAGAGAGACAGAGGGATGAGTTTAACCTAAGATAGGGGCAGGCAAGAATTGCCTTGGTGGACCTAACCCCACCACAGCAATTTTTTAGAATTTGCAAAATTTGTTTTTATTTGTAAGATGTAATATTAATGTAAAATCTTTGAAATTTTTTAAAAAATAAACAAAAAGCTTTAAAATCAAATATTTTTATTGACAATATATATTATGATCACTAGAATTATTAGCAATGATACTATGCAGTGGAACATTTTCAAAAAAGAAATCAAACATTACATTATTAGCTTAGAATATGTTATGGAAAGAATGAGACTGTCATATTACTGTATAAAAATATAAAGCTATATATAAAAAAAAAATATAAATTTATAAATCAAGGCAACAATTGAAACAAAAAAAATATACACAGTAAATGTCAAAATGATCCTTTACTTTCTGACATGAATATTAATTACTAATTTTTTATAGATAAAATTTTTTCATGACTAATTTTTGTTGCCCAGCATTCAGAAGAAATTCCTCTACTCAGGCAAGTTGTCAGAATCAAAAAATGCTAATTTTCTATTATTTTAGGTGAGGTCCAGTTTACAAACTGATTCCTGACTTTTTGACATACATGTAGTTTCCTTTCCTTTTTGAGCAAACCACTCTAAGTATTGCTGTTTTAAAACAAAATGTATTATTACTATATGTGTATGTAATGTGTACATTTAATTTCTAGTAGACATAAATGTTGCAAGATAGAAATAAACTCATAACATTTGCTGAAATGCCTTTTCTTTGAAAATATATCTGCATAGGGCTCTAGTAAAATTTTTCTTGAAAAATCCCCATGACCAGAAAAACGTAACATTTTTCGTTCTTAATTTAAAATTATTTTTTTTTTTGAATTTGAAGCATCATCCATATATATATATATATATATATATATATATATATATATATATATATATTTGTGAGGACTTGTAATTTTTGACAGTAGTAATTTAAATAAAAATTTGAACTTCTGTATTTGTTTGAGTTTGACATCTCTAATTCATAATCACATCTTGGGTTGATTCTCTTGCTGACATTACATTGCATTACAAGGTATAAATATACAATTCAATGACCTTCCTGATGGCACAACTATTTACTCCTGTAAGTTTGATGAGTTTGATAAGGTCAAATTGGCAGCTGATCTCAAAAATGACCTCCAACTGAGGCAATGTACAGCTTGTTAATTTTAATGCCTCCAGAAGGAAACTTCTCTCTATTAATCATCTAAGAGACCACTTTCTACCTTCCATCAGCATGGTTAATACTGATCTCCAGAAGAGTGACTCATTGCGCCTGCTCAAGTTAACATTCTCTGCTGACATGAAATGGAAAGATTATATTGAATCAATTGCTAGGTCTGTCATTAGGAAAGTTGGTTCACGGTTTCATGCTAGACAATTTTTCTCTCCAGAATCTGTCTTACATATTTATAAATTTAGAGATTCTTGTTAAAATCCAAAAAGAGAATTTGCAATGTTATTCGTCCTAACCTGGCATCTCAGCTTCAGTCACTTTTCCACCATCATAATGTAGCTTCCCTATGTTTTTTTTCTATAGATATTTTCAAGGTAATTGTTCCAACAAACTTTCCTCTATGCTACTTAGACTAATTAAGTGCAGTACTAGATTGGCAGTAAGGTCACATCAATTTACAATTGAATTGGCTAGATGTAACCATAAGTTCTATGCTAACAGTTTTTTCTCTTGCACTTCTTATATGTGTGACTCTTCTGGATTTAGACTTTCCAGCCAACTTTGATCTTCAATAATTCAGTAACCTCTTGTGTCTTAGTGGCTTCACTGCCTTACTTGGGATGAAACGGAGTAAAAAAAGAATGAAGAAAAAGTATTTTGCTATTCAATCAATAGTCCTAAGTTATTTGATTTTTAGGATAAAATATTTGATGTTTTTTTTTTTTTCACAACTTTCTCAGCTGAATACCTTGTTAGTGTAAGGAATAAATAAGCAATGGAGAAAACAGATTTCCATATTGATTGGAACATAATATGAACCTGTGTTTCTGAAACTAAAAATGAGGAAGAAATTATACCATTGAGTATAATACGACCCCATAGTACAGTCATCACTATGTGAATTTTCTTTCAAAAGTTTTACCATATTGTCCATTAAATTCTCTCCATGTCAATAGAAATGAACTAAATGTTTACCCAGTACTTGTTTCTTCCTTTTTCTGTTTCAAAACTTATTTTCAAATTTTGGGGGAGAGGTGATAACTAGATATACCCAGAGTTTGTCTATATTTCTAAGATGAGGTATTATGTACAGTATTTACATTAGTTGGACTATTGTCCTCATCTTTGTCGCCATATTTGTCACAACGTTTCGGCCGTTGTATGCTCCGGCCTTCTTCAGGTGGTCCTCAAGGACACATGGCACAGTGGATAAAGGCGTTGGTTAGATCCAGTGACAGACCCAAAGAATGTGAGTTCAATACCCAGTTAAGGCAGTGGAGAACTTTCAGAGGGAAAATTAGCAGGAGATAACTGATAACTGACATCCATCAAACATGGCACATGGAACTAGAACAGTCTACCCCAGTGATCGAAATAAAGGGTTCAGTTCGAAATTCCAACCACCTGAAGAAGGCTGGAGCGTACAACGGCCGAAACGTTGTGACAAATATGGCGACAAAGATGAGGACAATAGTCCGACTAATGTAAATACCGTAGATATACCCAGTAATACATTTTAAGGTGTTAATTAATCTATCATACTTTTCTGCTTGATATGACTTTATTATAGTTCTATATATTAATAAACGATGAAAATTTTTAAAAAATATTGTCTTTTGTTAAGAATGCATAAAGAAGACTTTTTAATAAAGTAAGAAAATCAAAATATAAACAACCTTTATCCTCTGAGCAAAACCGAGACCAAAGACATTCAATTACGCTGATTCCCAAGGAACAAATATGGCCGACATATCAAATACCTTTTGTAAACAATTGTTATCAACACCTGCCTACTTTGTGTTTTATTATCTATTGTGCTGAGTGGATTTGCAATCTTGCAATAATAAAGGTTATTTAAGCTGAATAAAAAGTTCTGAAAACATGTACTTGTGTATAATACGGCCCCCTTTTTTGCCTTTAACTTTCATTCATAATTACTTGTATTATGTACAAGAAAATACAGTAGTATCTAATAAATTATTTCAAATACTGCTTCTCAAAGTCTTCAGATAATGCAGAATTAGTGTTAGAGTTATATGTCAATATAAGTATATGAGAAATTGAAGGTGAGCTAATACTGGTTGTTCCATGCCCTACTTCAATAAATTCTAATTAAAATTGATAAAATGAACAGAGTGGTGACATTTATAAAATTAACAGAACGATGACAGTGAAAACTAACCTCCCATAATTCCTCACCCTTATTTTTTTTATTCTAGTTTTAATAATAAAATAGGCCTACTTTACATGGAACTTATTGTCAAATACACAATCATGAAACACTAGAATTTAAGGTCAATCTTCAGAAAATTATGTTAAAGATTTATCCTGTTTTTAAATTGCACTTCATAATTCTTAAAGAAATATTTTCAGATTTATAAACAAAATTTTCCTTCTGTTATCTAAAAAAAAAGACAATGTTTAAAAAAAAAAAAAAAAAAAAGGACTTACATTTATTGTATCCAGGCCTCGAGAAGCAATATCAGTACACACTAATATTCCACCATCTTCTTTGAATAGTTTAAACTGGATGGCTCGAACCTAGATTTTTTTAATTAAAAAAAAAAAAAAAAAAAGGTAAATAAAACATCTGTTTTGTAAATTGACAATTGAGGAAAATTTTTTTACTTTCCATCAGCTAACCTCCAGGTGAGTGGTTCCTTGCACTTTCTCAGGCTAACATTTTCCACTGACAGAAAGTGGAAAGATTATATTGACTCAATTGCTAAGTCTGCTGCAAGGAAAGTTGGTTCACTGTGTTGTGCTAGAAAATTTTTCTTGCCAGAATCTATCTTACATATTTATAAGTCTACCGTTCATCCAAGCATTGAATATTGCTGCAACATCCAGTTTGGTGCTTCTATGTATCTAGAGATTCTTGATAAAATACAAAGAATCTTTGTGTCTTTATTACCTTGATTGGGATGAAATAATTAAAAAAACAAATTTCAGAGTTATTATTAAAACTTCACCTGAGAATTCATATTACAGGGTTAGTCAATATCAGTCATTTATGTGCTATACAGGATACACATTTGGACAATCATGTCTCTTTTGATTCATTTTCTTGCTGTAGGCTACAGTTTCATTCTCTAATAGACTGGTTACCAACCAAGGCTATATGACCCAGTCTGCCCTACTATTCAACCCATATCTGGGAGAAGAGATGGATTCATACCTTTCCCAAGAGTTTTTGCATGCAAGTGAATGTATATTCAATGTGTATTCAATATACTTATATCCAAAACAGATATTTGTTATTTGAATTGTTATTGTGGTTGTATTGAAATTATATCTATTCAAAACACAAATGCTTTTAGTCAGAACACATGATTATCATCAAGTATCCTATTATAATTGTGCTTGTCCCTCCCTTTAGTAGTTCACATGAAACTACATTCAGCAACAAGGCCTCTGATCAGGAGATTGAAGGTTTTGAGGAGTCTGGAACAACCTCCTAATTACTGTTGTTCCCAGGTTTACCCTGACCTGGGGTGGTAGCATCTGTTAGGGCCCCAGCTATGGGCAAATAATGATCCCCCACAAACAAAAACACTATGAAAGTATAAAAATACATTTTAATAGTAAAAAGACCAACATGACAGCCATACATTTTATCTGTAGTTGAAGGCATACAATTGTATTCAAAATATATTTAGTTGAAGCCATAAAATTGTCTTCAAATCATTTAGATTTTGGCATTAAATAATCCATAGTATTTGATATGCCGCTAACCAAACAACCAACATGAACTTCTATAAAATGAATCCATATATCCTACAATTTCTTAAATCAAACTGTATTCCAAAATAAAGCATAAAACGTAACATAAAACATACATATCACTGCCTCTTGTAATCATGTCCACACAAACTTGTATATGCACAACAGCTGAGTATCTACCAAGTGTTCAGTTGCAAAAGCAGAATAACATTTTTATTACTTCAAAGCTCCCAAGAAAATTAAATTCTGGCATTTAATGACCCATAAGGAGCTGATATGCTGTTGAACAAATCAACTAATTCATGCAACTGTTACGCCTTGCCAATACCTCATAAATAATGGACTATTCCGTTTTGATTACATGGAAAAAAGGAAAAGACACTACTTGATTTCAGTGAGAAAATGAAAGAAAAAGAAAAAAGGGATAATTAATAGAAGTAGAGAGAGAGAGAACCAGATAAGAACAGATACTACACTCTTAGCCAAAAGGATGAGAATCGATGATGACTGCAATAAAACGCACCATTTTTTAGAAGCACAGTATTGAACGATGGAAACCAAGTATGGCACTTACTAAAAATAGAGTTACCATAAATAAAATAACATCAGCTACTGAATTATTTCAAAATTATTATGAAGAGAAATTTAGTATCATGTATGGCACATAACTGACTGAATGGTTTAGTGATACAAGTCTTACTAATTAATCCATAGCTGGGTGGAGAAGAGGAGCATTCCTACCTTTCCCAAGGATATTTGCATATAAGTGAATATAATGAACCCAACAGGAATTAGAACTCTGCTCTCTGATTAACAATCCTGAGCCATTAACATTACACCAACCACAAATTCAAGCTTACAGCACCTAGTATTCCCAAGTGGTCACCCATCTAGCTACTGACCAGGCCTGACATTGCTTAACTTCGATGATAGTATGAGGACTGGTGTTTCAACATGATCTGGGCATAAGCCTCATAACTGAGGAAGATACTGAAGAAAGAAAATCATTCTAACTCACCTTATGTGACATACTGCCATTGAGAAGTAGATTGGGGACATTGTTATTACTAAAGAATGTATTTAACCAAATACTAGTAGAATTATCTTTGCAGAATAAAATGACAGGATCTTTCCTGTTCAGGTTCTTTCGAGCAAGCTGAAGAACATATTCTGAAAAAGAAAAGATATATATGTGCATTATATAGATATCACACACACACAGGAATATTAAAAAAAGAAAGAGCAGATTCCAAAAATTAAATAAAAACAAATGCTAACAGAAATATATTCAACACACTAGATAGGAAAAGGTTCAAAGTTATTAAAATAAATGCAAATTTTTTTAATCATGTTTAAATACTTCTTTTTGTTGATTTATGGATTTTGCATAAATTTAAATTGTTATTTGTGTCAAACCTTAAAATGGTCACACTACAAGGAAAGTCATTTTGTGTACTGCAATTTGTGAAGTGTAAATTTTTATCTGTGAGGATATATAAAAGAAAGAATGTTTGTTCTGCCTATGCTTGCTACTCTTAAAGATTTGGAATTGTTGAAGCTGTGAAATCCATATCCACATATCACTTGATATGAGTGTGGCAAGAATTGGAATACCATTTCAATGTTTGTTGCACAACACATAGTGCTCATGTTGAGTGCATACAAGTTAAACAACCTTAGCCGTCAGCTAATAATACAGTTTTCATACTGTCTTTTACCTGTATACATATTGTCTTTTCCTACAGGTTTGAGAAATTTTTCATATAATAACCTATATTGAATACACCACTACCTCAATGAGTAGACACCTTACATGCCACCTATCACAGCGGCGTGTGATTAATAAACATTTATTAAGTCATAACTTCCAAGAACCTTTAAGGAAAAAGTTGATAATACAAGGATCCTTTTCAAGTTACATAGAAGTAGAAATAGTTTTTATTGTTGTGTTGACGGATTCAACCATTTTCTTTTGATTTCTTGATGTTGTATATCTTCATAGGACATTATATATATATATAATTCAGATATAAAATAAAATATATCTGTAAAATGACAATATGAATAAAGACAAAAGGAAAACTTTTTGTCCTCTGATGAACTTTATCAAGGCAAAGATTTTATTTTGCAACATGTATTCATAAACAGAAGTAAAAAAAAAAATGAGATTTAAAAAATTTTTAAATTTAAGAACATTCAAAAAAGTTCTTAAGACTGTGAAATTCAAGGCAAACTAAAAGAAATACTTTCCCAAGCTAACATGATCATAAAATTTTTTTTAAAATTAGAAAACAGTTAAATCAAAATCTTCTATTACTTAAAATAAATGCATAAATAATTTATCAAATTAATATAAAATAATAAATAATAATTATATTAATAAATATACATAAACAAATAAGAAAATATAAAAAAACTCCAACAACAATAAAAACATTTACTCACTTTCGCTTATTCAGCATTAAATTGTACAACTAGAATCCTCCATAGTTTAACTTGACTTTCACAGCTAGCCTTAAGAACATTTTAAGCGCTCATAAAGTTAAAAACTTTTCAAACGTTACAATATTTTTTATTTGTGTTTATAAATGCAGTCATAATAATCTGGGAGACAACTTGCTAAACATTGCTCTCCTTAAGGTATCTGCTTTAACCAACATATTGTTTTTCAAAAATGTCCCTATCTTAGATGGAAAACCTGACAGTCTCATAAAATTTGTAAGAATTCTATAAAGGATTTACCAGGTTTCTGTGATGGTTGAATCCGTAGAAATTTTTGCTTTATATGTGGCATTATGTGATGCAGACTTTTCGTTGTTATGGTTGCAAAAGAATCAAGCTGTAAAAGAGAGAGAGAGAAAAAGAAATGAGAAACGGGTTAACAAACAATAACAGTCAATGCAAGTAGTATTAATTTTCTAAATGAAAATTCTTATTTCTATAGTTGTTTTTATGGTAAAACCAAAAATGGCACACCATAGTGCACTATGATAAATTGCACTATCATTAAAAATAGTCTAACTTAAATAATAAAGCAAATTTATATCTAATTTGGCCACTTATTTCTGAGCAATTTTTAATTATATTATAATTCTGCTTGTTCCTCCATTACTTAATAAGTTAGCATGTGCCATTGCCTTGGATAACTAATGGACTATTCCATTTTGATTGCAAGGAAAGACAAGAAAAAGATATATCAAAATCACTGTTTTGTTTTAGTGAAAAAAAAAAAAGAAAAGAAAACATACATAGTAGTAAGTTAGAGAAGGATGCATTTAACATCTGCTTCAATGAAATGAAAAAAAACTTGTCAATTTTGAATTTTTTTTCAATTCTATCCTCTTAATTCTTTCAATAATGACCTGCATGCATACTTATTGTTATTGCAATATATTGTTAAAGTTGTGAAGCTCCAAATATTTTACAATGTAGCAGGATAATTTTCATGGGTATTTTATAATCATGGAACTTACAAGGAGCTCATTCAATCATAAAATTATGATTCATCAGAAAATTAAAATAGGAAAACCATGAAATTTTCACAGCTAGTTAAGAATAGACAAAAAAAAAAAAAAAGCCTGCTTAAGAGAGATAAATCTAGGTTTATTAACTGCTAATTATAGTTTTTCTTTCTAAAAAAATATGAGGAATAATTAAAGAAAAATCAAACCTATCTACTCCTATTGATAAAAAAATTAAATAAAGAGGAAAAAATAAAAAAGTAAGAGAAAAAATTAAAAAGTAACAGAAAAAGAGTAAGAGTTAAAAAATAAAAAAATTAGAAAAACAAAACAAGATATACCAATAAAAAATTAGAAAAAAAAACAAGATATACCAATAAAAAATTAGAAAACAAAACAAGATATACCAATAAAAAATTAGAAAAAAAAACAAGATATACCAATAAAAAATTAGAAAAACAAAACAAGATATACCAATAAAAAATTAGAAAACAAAACAAGATATACCAATAAAAAATTAGAAAAAAAAACAAGATATACCAAAATAAAAAATAAGAGAAAGAATTTTTAAAAACTAAGAGGAAAGAGAAAACTTTTTTAAAAAGAAAAAATAAATAAAAACGTAAAACAATTTAGAGAAAAAAAATAAATATGAAATAAGAAAAAAGAAAAGAAAAATAATAAATAAGAGAAAAATAAATAGGTAAGAGAAAAAAAAAAGAATAAGTAATAGAAAAAAATAGATAAACTTTAAATGTACAGTTGGGTAATGTTTATCAGCAAGAAAACTGAAATCAGCAGACTAGGTTTCAATTCCAACCAAAGTAGTGGCCTTCACTTCATATTAATACTCTTGGTCTTGTTTTCTCAGCTATGAGTAAAATAATAGGGCAGATTGGCCTCTCTAGTCTTGATAAGGTAACCAGTCATGGAAGACAAATCTAAATTCCAAAGTGTGGAGAAAGCAACAGGAAACCACCCAACTATCTTTTCCAAAAGCAGTCATCTTAAATTTGGGGTCCATGGTAATACTTTAGTGGTCCATAGAGCAATTTCACTTTGGAAAAATTATTACAACTGAGAATTGAAATTTCTCCATTAATCTACACCATATTAAAATACTAAAAATAGAAAAACAACTTTAAAACTAGCAGAAAACACAATCAAGTTAGTGTCCATTTTACTCTGCTGGATGTTTTGATTGTAAAATTTTAATAAAAACTGAGGAGGATATATAAAGGAAGGATTTTATATATATAATATATATAAAGGGTGTTCCAATAACTTAGACCGATTTTAAATGTGAAAGTTTAAGCATCTAATGATTTTTTTTGTTTTTCTTTCAGACTTGGCCGACATTTGGGTGATATTATTTTTCACACATAATTGCTATGACTTAAATAACATGATCCAATAGAGAAATAAATAAATTTTCAACAATAACACTGATTTATTTACTGCTGACTTTGATCTGTCTTCATGAAACACTCCTTATATATAATCCATCTTAATGAAACACTCCTTATATATAATCCCTCTTAATGAAACACTCCTTATATATATATATATATATATATATATATATATATATAAAACGGAAAATTACATAAATATTATTCATTATATAAATTAATTTAATATATTAATAATAAATAATAACATTAATTTTAAATATTAATAAAATAAAATATATTAGTATAAATTAATTAATATAATTAGTAGACTCGACATTATGAAAAGGGGTGAAATTTGACTATCATTGACATCAGTGGAGCCGAATATAAAAAAAAAAAGGAGAGCAGCATCACAGGGATCTTATTGAATAGATTTGCACATTTTTTTTAATTTATTAATTACTCACATATTTTAAAATGGTTTATTATGAGTTATTTTACTAGTGTACATAAATGTTCTATAGAATTTAATTGTTAAATACAAGTTTATTTTCATTAAATTAGTTTTACTTCAAAATAAAGCATATACACTTACTATTTCTATAATACAATTCCTAAACTTATCTATTAGTAAAAAATAAAATAAACTTTTTTTGTCATTGAATGGTTATGGGGGCCCACCAAAAATAATTAAATATAAAAGTGGTCCATGCATAAAAAAAAAAACGGTTGAGAACTTCTACACTAGACCATAGCTTATTAATACAATAATTTTTAATACAGCTATTATTTATTGAAACATGCAGTAATTTCTTCTTATCAGCATATCAACATCAAGCAATAAAAATGTTTAATAAAATTTAAATTTAATTAACTTACAGGCACAACAGATTCCACTTTTTCATCAAGGCTTCGAGGCATTGTAGCACTAACCAGAAGGATTTGTATCCCAACATTATTTAGCATCAAATCTGAATATTCACTGATGTGTCCCTAAAAAAAAAAAAAAAAAAAAAAAAAAAAAATTTGGAATATATATATATTTTAAAGAAAAACAGACTACTTTAAGGCACCATTATAATAATTTATTTCACCATAGCCCTTTTTAAAGGACGCCGGATCATCAGATAGCACTTCCAAAAATGAAATGAAACGAAAAATGAAATTAAAATTGATGGGTAGTGTAAGTTTTTGTAATTTAACAGAGAGTGTAAAAGGAGTAGTTAAAGAGACATGGTAGAGTATAGAGAGGGATTAATTTCATATCTCTCTCAATCATATTTACTATTGGGGGAGAAGGAGTGACCAGACCTTGACCTATTTAGACGGTTAACTTAACAAAAGTGATATATTGAAATAGAAGGGGAGAAAACAAAAAGGAAAAAGAAAGAAGAGGGAAGTAAAGGGAAAGAGGCTATAATTGGGTTTTAGCAATTTATGTAAAGAATAGATTTTATATATATATATTAGTAAAGGTAATACATTTTTGGGTAAATAATTCACGTGGATCCTAGTTAAATAAAACATTAAAATTGATCCACAAATAGAGCTCAATGTATTTATTATTACAGAGCAAATAATTAGTATACAATAAAATCCAAAATTACCTCATATGGGGAATAACTTATTTCAACTGACGTAAAATTTGTCAGTCTTATTCAGCCCTGGCATAGACTGAGTTACAAACTCAATCTATACCATGGTTGAATAAGACTGACAAATTTTTCGTCAGTTGAAATAAGCCTATTCTCCATATGAGGCAATTTTAAATTTTCTGGTGTACTATACATGTGTGTGTGTATATATATATATATATATATAGGCAGCATATCTTCATTCAAAATATATCTCATTGAATAATATAGACATATGTCTATTTTTATAATAATCCTTTCTTGTTCTCTAATGAACTTCTTGATGTTAAGTAGAAATTCATCAAGGATGTTTCATATGTCATGTTAAGAACGTTTTCTTTTTAAGTATTCTTGCAGTTCATGTATTTCATCTATGTTCTTAACTAAAATGAGAATATCATCTACATATCTTAGGTAAATGGAGGAGTTTTTTTTTTAGTAGTGCAAAATATATTATTTTCAAGGTTAGCCATGTAGAAGTTACTAAATGATGGTCCCAGAACTGAACCCATGAAAATGCCATACACATACATAGATAATATTTTGATGTTCATAGAAGGGAACATAAGTGGTACAAGTCAAAAGTAATTTTCGTAATAAATTAGGTTTTTATTTTTAGTGGAGGGAGAGATGGATTGTTGTAAATATTCTTTATAATTATATCAATTGTTTCTCTAACTGGGACACTGATAAATAAACTTTCAACAATATATATATATATATATATATATATATATATATATATATATATATATATACACACTTCCAAATCTGCTTTCTTATATCTTTACTTCTCTTTTTTTCTCTTTCTCATTTCCTGTAAGATGACTTATTAAATAGGTCACCCTTCAATATACAATCTCCTATGAAGAAAGGTACCCTATTTAATGTTGACTGCTTCCCTTGTATTACAATGGCTTCCAGAATTTTAAGCCTTTTTTTTTTTTTTTTTTGCACCGAGTCCTATATAATAATTTGGTGTTGAAAATTGAAATTTCTTCCATTAACATTATATATTATTTTGATTATTTGTGATATGTTGATCAATATTTGCTAGATATGAAGAGGTTAAGATTGTAATGAATGGAGAAGCATTCTCTCAGGAGTCTGTTCTACAAAGTAGCAGTTCTTGGAAAGAAACTGCCCAAATGGCACTTCCTACTTACTAATGGAATACAAAACTAATATACATGATTCATCCGAGTGTATGTAGCATGGTGGATCTTAGCTGTGAAGGTCTGAGCTGCTGGACCAAATGAATGCAACATCTCAGAACATTTGCCATGGAAGCAGAGAGTAGGAGACTTCTAATGTTTTGTCTGTGGGAAAGGAGATGTAAAGTAGAAAATAATCATTCACATGGCCATGTAGACACTTTTGAACTCTATCAAGATTGGAAAGTGAAGACTGGGAAACTCCATCCCAGATATGGCAGCAATACTCCATTTCTGGTCTGATCTGGCTATTGTAAAGATAGAGCATGTCAGGAGGAGTCTGGTACTTTCTGGTATTTAGTCTCTTAATGAAAATGACACAAAGAACTGCAAAAATATCAAGAGCAGTCATTTGCTGAGAAAAATAAAAAGTACTGGGAAAATGGCATTAAAAATAGTAATGGTAATATTAGCCGTTTCCTTATAAAGGAAACATTCAGCATTCATTGACCAAGCAGTTTGTACTACTGCTTTCAGTTGAAACTGATAAAGTCTTTTGGCAATGTTTAACTGTGGTTCCAATCCAATTGGAATGACAGTAAAAACATTCCAGTCTTGAAATTTATAGACAAATCATACAGATGCATGCTGGGATTTTTTTCCTAACCAATAAGATTGGCTACTTCTCAGTCTCATCTGCCATATTTGTTCTTTCTTGTCTTGAAGTCAAAACACTGCAATGACTTGTCTGTATCCATTGTGTGTGTTAACAATATTGTTAGTTTGTGATCCTTTTTGTCTCATTCATTTTTGCCTACTTACATCTTGCATGCATATATATTGTTTGCTTTGTATTCATTTTTGCTTTGCTTTTCTTTTATTGTTTATTGGAAATTTTCTGTTTTTTGACTATTTCTACTCTACATTAACCAACACACCTACAAAAAAAATGGTTATTCCCTTGACACCACGATTACTGTATATGCTTTTGACTCCCTTGGTAATGTTTATTTACAAGATTATAAAAATTTGTGAACCAAATACAATGCGATATCATTTAACTTTATAAAGATTTATTATTTAACATTTTATAAAGAATCAAATTTGAAAAGAAATCTTTTTATTCAAAAATTTATTAAATAATTACAAAATTATCAAAATATGCAAACTAATGATAATGCAATATTTATTATTTAACATCCTCAAATATAATACGCTATATATATATATATATATATTTAAATTTTTGTGTGTGTAACAATTGAAGGCCAGTGTCCAAAATTTTGACACAAAATGCACAGAAGTCAAGACCCCCATTCATGTCCACATTAAAAAAAGATACCATGCTGAAAACTACAAAGAGACTGCCCCAAACAACAGTGACACAGTTCACAGTAAGAACTAAATTCTAACTATCTCTTGTATCCCGTGTTACTAAAAACACGCACACACATACTGAATCTTTTACACAAACGATGACCGACCCACCCAAATTTAAGTTATATTTGTTTTTGAAAAAAAAACAAAAAAAAACACATAACATGCCACTGTTTCTCACATATGTACATAAATTATATTTATTTCTTCTTAATTGGCCTTAAACGGGAATTAAATTACAGTTAAATTTGTAAAACAAATATTCAACATGACTAATGTTGCCTGTAACTCATGTCTGTCTCTTATAATTTTTATTTATCTAAAGTTCTTTTTTATTTCCAAAAACAAATATAGCTTGAATTTTGGTGAGTGAGTCATGATTATTTTACATACTTCCCCTCAATTGTTACACAGAAAAAAATTGTACTTGGATTAAATGAAAACTACTTAAAATAGATATTACATATAATACATTCCTTCTTGCCGTCAATTTTGATGGCATGGGTACACTAGTTTTATAAATAACTATGAAAAGAAGCTTTTTTTTATTTATAATTTTATAACAATGAATTATAAAACAAGAAAATTGTAATAAACATTTGATATTATATATTTCACTTTTTAAAACGAACATTGCCAAGGAAGTCAAAAGTATATACAGTAATAGTGGTGTCAAGGGAATAACCACTCTTTTTTGCTGGCCCATTGCCAAACTTTTTCTTAAAACAATTTTTCAGGAAAATAGGTTTCTGAAGACCAGTAGCTGTTATTGCTCTTTCCAGTATTGATGATTCCATCCTAACCTTTTATTAGATGTAATGTACAATGTTAACATTTTTATTGTCATTATTTTCTCTTCAAGTCATATGTGCTATCCATTTTAGCTGTTGCTGCAGTTGAAAATCCTTAACTGATGTTTCTGTTATATGGTACAGTTCTTTGTTTACAATTCTGAAGCACCAGTCCACAAGGTTAAAAAATAAGTGTGGTTTTCACTCACTCATTTTTAAACATTGATCTTAGAAAGCGGTTGTATACAGCTTGACAATTTAGATATTTCTGAACAGATTTGGTATCAAATTGCCTGAAATGTGGTAGATGACATGAGAATGAAACAGGAAAGTGTTATGGTAATTTATCCACACACACATGGACTCTCCCAGCTATAAATAGGAGCAGGTACTGCCTTTTGGAGAGGGAAGTTTCCAGCAGCCAGCACTGACAGTTGGACTGAACATTCTTGCTGTAACACTCTCGTTTGTATTACTGTTTCTGTTAATATATTTGTTTAACTCATTTCCTCTCTTTATGTCTTTATTTCTGGCCCTAACAAGGCCACAAAAAAAAAGATATCGTTCAATAAATTTAATGTGGAAAATAAAAAGAATTCTTACTTTTACTTAAACAATCTTATTACATTAGCAGATGATAAATTCTTCTGACTTTGAATGAATGATTAAACATACCTTGATCTGATTTAATAAATATTTAATCTCCCCCCAGAAGCTATCATCCAGGAGAGTGTCTGCCTCGTCCAGCACAATTTGAATCAACTTCTCCATATTTATCTGCTCTAAAATATAAAACAAATTTAAGTAATATTATGACATTGTATAGAGTTTTGTGTTTTATTTCTTTTCAACTGGCTTATTTTTTTAAAATACTTCAATTTATTCAGGTACAGTAGATTCTGTTTAATTAGGTTATCAGCTAAACTGTTGGCAATTTGGCATACGAGGGGGGACCCCCAAAAGTAACCAGAATTGTGTCATATAATTTTATTCATTCATTGTTATATATTTATATTCTTATCACTTTCAAAGTATTCTCCATTTGAAGCAATGCACCGATCCAGACGTGTTTTCCACTGTTCAAAGCAGTTCTGGAACTTTTGTGAAGTTATGTTTTTTAATGACTCCATCATTTTCTTATTAACCTTTTCTGCATCTGCAAAACGTTTTCCTTTGAGGACTTTCTTCATTCAAGGAACAAAAAAAAAGTATCGCAGTGGGCAAGATCGGGTGAATAGGGAGGGTGGGGGAAGCGGGGTCATGCCATTCTTGGTCAGAAACTGTCTCACACTCAAGGCGATGTGTCCTGCGCATTGTCGTGGCACCACCCTCCACTTTGACACAGGTCAGGGCATTTTCATTTCACCTTGTCACGCAAATGCTTCAGGACTTCCAAGTAAAAAGCCTGGTTAATAGTTTGATCAGGAGGAACAAATTCTTTGTCAAGAATACCTTTCACATCAAAGAAACAAATCAACATTGTCTTGACATTGGACTTGACGCACATTTTTGGGTCATGGTGACATTGGTTGCTTCCACTGATGTGATTGCAGCTTCATTTCCAGGTCGTGGCCATAGCATCAATTTTCATCACCAGTGATGACCTTCAAAAAAACGTTTGGATCAACTTCCAACTGTTTTTTCAGTTTATAACAGGCATCCTTTCAGCCATGGTAAAAATAGATGAAAAGGTGTGAAGCACTTCAAAACAAATGTGAACCATGGAGCTGTACATCTTCCCACAATGACACCAGTTAGCACATTGATGCCTAAGGGTTGCCTCAAGTGGCATCTAGTGGTGGAAGCCTGAACTACTACGGGCTTGTCACACAAAAAACGATTCCGGTTACTTTTGGGTCCCCCTCGTAGAGTTTATTCTACCACTGGAGATGACTTGAACTGCCAAACAAATGCTTGAAATTTATGGATGTGTTGCCATGCCCTACTATGACAACAACAAAAACAACTTGGTTGGAGTTGAAAATGAGTATGGTGTTTAGGTGGCTAATGGGTGTGGATGGGTAGTTTGTCTTATGACAACGCCCGTTAATGCCATATATTGGTATAATTGATTTGGGTGTATATTCACCTTGTGTAATGATTAAAAGAAAATGCATAGAGTGTTGATAAATACAAAATAAATCTTTGTATAATGCAATATAATAATACAGAAGGATAAGGTGAAAATTGAAGTTTCAAGTGTAAAAGTCCTGGCACATACAAGAGATAGAGAAAGAGTTCAGGAGGAAGAATATGTGTATATGTGCATATATGCATGTATCCAAACATAGTAGTAGTCACCGCTCGACTACATGGTGAAGGAAGGTATGCTTGTTTTCAATATAGCATGGATGGGTTAGCCATCTAAGGTTGCTAGCCAGTCATGCAAATGTCATACTTCATCTGAGTATGTTACAATGACTATCACATCAGAGAATGGACAAAATTAACTTATCTACTCTGATTTTGGTTGATTTTCCATCAGTTTATATACACATCTATAGATACACTTTGAAAAGCTGCTCTCTTCTCATTGGCTGACAGCCTTGTATCCCGTTTGTGATAGGTTTCTGATTGGGTGGTGAAATTTGTTTCCTTGTTATTATTTTTTATCTTTTCTTACTTCCTGGTTGTGAAGCTTTCCGATTGGCTGATCAAACTATGGCCTTGAGCTTATTTCATTTTCCCACAACGACTACCAGGATCAATATATACACCTGATGAAGGCCAGAGGACATTAGCTGAAATGTGATAACAACAACAAAGATGAGGACAAAAGTCTGCATGTAAATAGTGTAAATAATGATATCTCGTCATCCCAGAAATTCAAACAGAAAACTGGTTAATATCAGTAAATGAATACAGCTACAAAATCATATTATGCAGTTATTACTATAGAAATCTCATCATACCTTTCAGATTAAGCACTTACTTTTAGAAAGCAACATTCGTAGTGAACCTGGAGTTGCAATCAAGATATCCATGTTTTTATCTAAAACAATTTTTCTCTGCAAAAAGTAAAAACAAATAAAAGTTATTGTTGACAAACCAAGAACAAACAAAGCAAAAGTATTTTGTTTTTTCTTTCCACAGACATCCAGATTATAAGAATAGAGGGTTGTGAGTGAAAAAAAACTATTTGTTAAATTAGAATGAAACAATTACGTAGATTTGTCTAACCATAAGGCCATCACTACCCTGCCCCTGGAGACGGGGGCTGATTGAACAGTGCTTTTTGACTCTTGCTATCTTACCAACATTTGTTATTTTCTACCTACATTTATAGGACATTACAAATTAAACTAAGAATAACTGAAAATAAATACAAATTTCATTGTAAGCTAATTATGTACAACAATGCATCATATGCAATATAGGTGAACAATTCAACTAGAAAAATTGAAAATAAATACAATGTATCTAAATACAAATTAGAGACATGTCATAATAAATCATTCCATCTTAAATAAATATATTTTTTTCCATACCCTACATCTAATTATATACAATTTTCATAGGTGAACAATTAACTAGTATTCATATAAAATACAAATTTTATTTCCATAACCCCTAATTATATACAATAATAAAATATCATATGCAATATAGGTGAACAATTCAACTAGAAAAATTGAAAATAAATACAATGTATCTAAATACAAATTAGAGATATGTCATAATAGATCATTCCATCTTAAATCAACAATGTTTTGCAGAAATTTTTAACATCAACATTTTCTTGTTAAAAAATTGAATAATTTAACGCATTCAACATTATAGATAAAAAGTACTTAATTTTATATAGTGTTTTTTGAGACAACCTGAGCAAAACAAATTCACAGATTTGGATGAAAAAAAGGCCCCAGAATCACGTCAAAATGAGCAAAGATTTTTCATCCTTTAATAGTCAGTTGTGCTTAGTTTAATTTGTAACATACATAAATTGGGGTAAAAAAAAGTAAACATTGATGAGATAGTGGGGGTCACAAAGAACTGCCTGAGAGCCCCTCTCCTCCTGTGACCAGAAGGACACACATCTCTGCACTCCTAGAACACAATACCAGATCAAGACACTACACATGGCCCTCATTCATTCATTCACTTAACAAGAGGGTAAGTTCAACCACATACATTGCTTCTTTTTATAGGAACCATCGTAAGAACATTCCTTAAATTAGAGAGACTATCATTAAAACATTCCTTAAATTAGAGAGACTATCATTAAAACATTCCTTAAATTAGAGAGACTATCATTAAAACATTCCTTAAATTAGAGGGATTACCATTAAAACATTACTTAAATTAGAGGGATTACCATTAAAACATTACTTAAATTAGAGGGATTATCATTAAAACATTACTTAAATTAGAGGGATTATCATAAGAACATTCTTTAAATTATAGGGACTATCATAAAAATATTCATTAAATTTACACACTCTTTCAAAAATTATCCTTGGATAGACTCTGTATTCAGAATTCTGGATAGAATAAAAAATTCTATTTCATTTTGTCTGATTCTTCTAACCAATTAAGCAGAAGTAATTTTTGTTCAACAGCACACACTGGTGCTGCCAAATCCTCACTGTTCCGCCTTGACAGAGTTCAAATGAATTATTTTCCACCCTGCAACCCTTTTCCCCCACAGATGAAACATTGTTAGCTTCTCACTATTTTTATGGCAAATGTTTTAATGAGCTACATTCTTTAGTCCTACCAGTTCAGACCATCTCAACAAGGACCTGCCATGCCAAGTATACAGAGTTGAATTATCTTCATTCCCTTTGTATTCCATTAGTAAAGCAGAAGTTCCACTCAGCTTCTTCCTCAGAACAGACTCCTGATTACTATGATTTTAACCTCTTCAAGTTTAGGGTCAATTGTTTTCTTGCCTACATGTCCTCATAACATGCACTTCTTAATTCCTCCCTTATGTCTTTACAACAACTTTATTCAGTAACCTATCTTGAATGGCTCTTGTGCCTTGTGTTGGGTGAACAATAGTATTAAAAAAAAATCCCTCAAAGGCTACTAAAAATAACAAGACACAAAGTACTATGCCATTATGTTAGCCATTTCTGAGAGTTTGGATGTGCAGGTGATGTAATTGTTAATGCAATATTCACTTCAAAAAAAATTTTCAGATTTAAATAATCCACAAAATGTTGATAAACCTTAAGAAAAACAAACAAACCAATCAATTTTAAGAGTTTCTTTTGAAAAACCTTACCTCATATTCACTACTGCCAATAACAAGTTGGGGCCTTATCGAACAAAATTTAGATAAGTGTTTTGTAAGGATCTGAAAAAATAAACAAATAAATGAAATTGGTTGTGAATTGTAGCAAAAATTCAAAATAAAGTACCATATATCTATATAATAAATGCGAATGTCAGTGTGTCACTGTGTCACACTTTTTATAACTTTACTCAAAGAGGCCGTAGCCAACATATAGCGTTTTGGAATCAGGCCGACTCCATGAGCAAATCAAAAAATTCCAGGCTGGATCCAGACCCGCAATCCTGAAATTTGGGATTCCCAAGTTTTCATTAGTGCGATTGTTTTATGCAACTTTTTTGTGACAAATTTCTTTTGTACGATGACAATTTTTATAACTTGGAAATAAATTTGAGAATAATCAAAATTAATTGCGAAATCCAGTGAGTCACCCATGAAATAAAAATAATTGTACAGAAAGTAAGGACCTACATACATCAAATTGTCTTTACATTAAGTGGCGGCAGAAGAATTATCGTTGAACTTTTAAAAGGTAAACTTAAATATTAATGCAATACTTAAATGCAGTGATCAATTTTGAGTTCTGTAGTTTATGGTTGCCTATTGCTTCTACTCCTCCCTACCTGTCTGTGTGTGTGTATATATATATATATATATATATATATATATATATATATAAGTACACTCAAGTATAGTGCAAGTTTTTATGATCAGTTTTTTTCCACAAAAATAGGGGATCACACTATAAACAGCTTAATCTTATGGTATCTAATCTTTGTATAAGATATTTTATGATAAGTGTTTTTCCCTCAACATTTTGTGGGTAGCTTTGTACAAAAAAGAATGAAGACCATTTATGTGCTATAAAATATGTCCAGGATGATGCCCAGTACTGCAATATTTGACTATGATAGGCCCACTAGTATTGCTCAGAAGGTGGGGTCACATTGTAAATGAGCTACGTACAAAAATATCTGGTTTTTCACCCCCACCCCCCAAATAAAGGGGTTGCACTCTACATAAAGAATGCTTATACATGAGTATATATGGTAGACATACATTTATCGTGATGGTTTTTTAAGGGATCAAGGCAAATTATTCTGTCAAGAAATACAATTTAATAATAGAATTGCATGTAACAAACATTGTTCAGTTAGTTCAGAAGATATCTTGATATGGATAAGTTTTTAGTATCTGTCTATATTTCTGAGATGAGGTATTATGTACACTATTTACATTGCTCGGACTATCATCCTCATCTTTGTTGCCATATTTATCACAATGTTTCGGCCACTGTATGCTCAGGCCTTCTTCAGGTGGTTGGAATTTCAAACTGAACCCTTTATTTCGCTCATTGGGGTAGACTGTTCTAGTTCCACGTGCCATGTCTAATGGTAAAAAATGGTTGCTGAAGTATACAGAGTTGAATTATCTTCATTCCCTTTGTATTCCATTAGTAAAGCAGAATATACCCAGAAATTCATACACAGATGTCATCAAGGACACATGGTACAGTGGATAAAGGCGTTTGTTAGAGCCAGTGACAGAACCCAAAGAGTGTGACTTCAATACCTCGCTAAGGCGGTGGAGAACTTGCTGATGGGAATTAACAGGAGATAACTGATAACTGGCATCCATTAGACATGGCACATGGAACTAGAACAGTCTAACCCAGCAAGCGAAATAAATAACCAGTATTCCAACCACAAAATTAGGTCTTTAAAGGTCACATGTTATGCAAGTATATACAGTATTTGTCAGGGTCAGTTGACAGTCACAAGTCCTGCAACAAAAAAAGGAAAAGAAGTAGGATGTGGTGGGGTCCCTTCATTGGTCCAGGAATTGATTAATCAGTAACTAGGGTGAAGGCAAAATATCCTAAAAAAACAAAAAAGTACCTCCCTACAAAATTCTCCTTTGAGGATTTTTTTTTTGGTAGCAAAAAATAAATAAATAAATAAAAATAACTGGAGTAGGGAAGTTCTCTCACTCATTGTACCTTCTCTGTCGCTGACAAGTAGTTGGCAACATTTTCCTGCTGGAAACAATAAAAGTGGCTGATACAGACCCCATTGCATTGTGCTATTTATTATTACAAGAAAACCTTTCACTTGGTGAAAAGATGACTTTTGACTTTCAATGAGAAATTGAGATAATGTGATGACTGAGTATTGGCCTGAAAACAGCAGTACAACCCACTACAAAGCAACAACCTTAATTCTCTGAACACCAGTTCAAGTCACATAGAAAGTTATGACAATGTGAGACAATTTGTTGAAATAGTGAGAAAAAAAAAGTAACACTTAAGATGAGGCTTTCTTAGCCCAAAGTTCTTTTTTACTCACGTGGATCTGAGTTGCAAGTTCACGGGATGGTACAAGGATGATGCAGCAAGGAGAGCGAACACTACCCGTATGGGGAAATGATATTTTATGTTTGTTTATCAATTCAAGAATTGGAAGTAAATAAGCCAATGTCTTGCCACTGCCTAGGAATAAAAAGAAAAGATTCCAATCAACAATAGTTTTATAGGTATTTACTTAGTTAGGTGAGGTGCCCGGTGAATATAATGGCCTGAAAAAGTTGCTTGCTAATCATTCATACATATCAACATGCACACAATTATTTGCTAAGATTAGCTTAGTATGGCATAAGATTATAAATTCAGGGTAACTAGTAAGGATTGAACTCACTACTGTAGTACACATATGACAGTTGAGAGTAATGCTTAGCAAGTTAATGTTGCACACTATTTCTAACAGGTTCAGTATTACTAAACTAAGGTGTGTGCGTAAGATGGGATGCAGGTACCAAACAATATTCATTTCAGCATAGAAGGTAAACCATTACTGTTGCAAAAAATTCTGCCCAGTTAGACTTTTTAAAGTGAACTAGGATAAAAACTTTTCAGCCTACTTGCATGCACACACATATATATATATATATATATTTGAGCAGCAATCCCACTTTTATACAAGTTGCATTAAAAACGGCTGACAAGGTATTGAGGTTAAGTTTTTTTATTTTACTTCTTTTCCAGACATAAATTATGTAGAAATTGTTTGAACATTTTTATGTCCAAACACTTTCAGCTATACTTTTAGTTATTATTAACATTTTTTCTTTTTACTTTTAACTGAATTTATGGATTGTTTATATATGTATCTAGAGTTATAAGACTATTCTATTTTTCAAACAGTTGGCACATTGTGTGTGTGTGTGTGTGTGTATATATATATATATATATATATATATATATATGTGTGTGTGTGTGTGTGTGTGTGTGTGTGTGTGTGTGTGTGTGTGTGAAAGGGTGTCATCATTGAGTGTGTGTGTGTGTGTGAAAGGGTGTCATCATTGAGTGTGTGTGTGTGTGTGTGCGTGTGTGTGTGTATGTATGTATGTTTATATATATGTGAAAGGGTGTCATCTAATGCCAATCTTCTCAAAATATGCAACATTGATGGAATTCAGACATTTCTGATGCAGTCACAACTTCACCAGCCTGGTCATGTTACAAGGATGACTAATGACAGAATACCTATGGCCCTCATGTATTGCCAGTGGACAGAGGAAAGTGGGATGGCCTTGTAGGTTTAGTTTGGTTTGTTTTACAGCATATCAATCTCAATGGGTTATTTAATGCCAACAAGATTTTTATTGCTGGTAATATTTTTTTTCAAAAATTTATAGCTGGTAATAATTTTTTTACAAAGTATTTCTGGTATTAAAAACTATTTTTACACTTCATAGTGTTTTGACCCCAATTTGGAGAAGTTAACTATTTAGCCATAGCTGTGACCGTAACAGGTGCTACCACCCTGGGTCAGGGTGGACCTGGGAACACCAGCAATTAAGAGTTAGTTCCATGCTCCTCAAAACCTCCTGATCAGAGGCCTTACTGTTGGATGTAGTTTATCGTCTTACCCAGGACACGGATGTAGTTTATCGTCATAGTCAGGATGGCAGCCTTGTAAAGAAACAGCTGATATTACTATTCATCAGTGTCAGCCTCCTGCTCACATCGGGATCGTCATTATCTCTCCCTCTTCCCTTTCTCCCCCAGGGTGGAGATGACTGTGAATCAAAGAGTTTGAGGCCATTTGCATGAATATGATTTTGGTTGACAACTCTGTATGACAGAGAAGCCTACACACTTGGCCAGAAGTGCCTCCAACACAACTCAGAGGAAACTGAGATAGGCGAGATTTGGTAAACAGGGTTGCATTGTAAGAACTGTAATCTATCTTCTGCCATACCATTATTATTTATTTTTAAATCATTTCACCCCAAGCAAGGTAATAAAGCTACCAAGATGCAAGAGATTACTGAGAGTGAAAAAGTCTGGGAAATCATTATTTAGGAGAAAAGACAATAAAAAAATCATCAGGATTCAAAAAGATAGATGATCGTTTTCTTGATTATTATTATATGCTCTGTGTTTAACATTGAGCTCTCTATGGATTTATATCCTCCTTGGAATTATCCATATGGATTACCAAATTTTATCATTTTTTATATATATATATATATATATATATATATATATATATATATATATATATATATATATGGGGGAAGACATCACATGAGCTAAAAAACCCACATCTACATACATAAAAATTTGCATTTAGAAAAACTTTCTAAATCTCTCATATTACACAGGAACAAAGCTGCCCAAAGCGTTGATTTTATTAATGCCACCCTAATTAAAAAAGAACAATTGTTTATGGAGAAAATTCTTTGAAAACTTAATAATATTATTACCAACTATAAACACACACCTAAAAGATTACATTGCCATCCTTTTTTTCGAATCCATTTTTAAAGAATCTAATTTATGTCTATCTAATACAAAGAGTACATACATAAAAACAGCCCCAGATTAATAGAATACCATCACACAAAAGTGAAAACATTAGAACTCCACCAACTAGACAGATACACATACACAATTATGAATGAACATTGCCATCCAATATCCACTTAGACATATTAGAATTATTTACAAACTTACATACATATAGAATTATCTACAGTTTTAATGCACATGATACATGACTGACCAATGAGAATCAAACCAAACAAAATTGAAAATACCAAAGTTCTGTCTTTTGTCTGTTCTCTCTCAATCTCTGACAAAGTTTTAAGAAAAGTGAAACATGTTAGATTGATAAACATGTCCTCTTATCTCATATATATATATATATATATATATATATATAATAAAAGGATTGCAGCAATTAAATTAGTGATTATCAACTGAGTAAATGGAGCCACCCTTATAAGAGTTGCACCAATTCTTATTGATGCCATTCAGGACAGTGATGTAGTGGATATAGGAGTTTGTTGCTGTTATCTAGTAGTTGAGATTTCAATCATTGGACCAGATAGTAAAACACTTATTCAGTAGGAGCAAACAAATACTGGCATCACACAGAAAAAAAAAACAACACAATAGATATCCCTTGTCAGCCAAACAATGGACACCTGATAATGGTCAGAGAATAACCATTTCTATTTATTTTCAGAAAGTAGTGAAATTCATGCCTACCACCTGTAAGAGAGAATAGTAATCTAAATCCTGGAATTAAAACTCTTGGGACCAATGAAGAAAATTTGTGCATATATTTCTGAAGAACTGATATTTTTGCATTTTCTCAGTTTGCATTGAATCTTTAGTGTGTTGGCTACTTCAATAATTAATGTGTAGGGTTTCTTACAAGACTATTTTAGAATATATGAATTAATGGTGGTGAAAAGGTACATGCATAAAATAACAGACCAATTGATTTGCAATGCAATATAACATTTATTAAACAAAATTAACATAAATTTAAGACAATACTATCCTTTCCTAGAAGTAGATTGTGTACACAACAAAATGTTAATGAACATATTTGAGTGCAACTTACCAGGTGTGTTTTAGTGTGAAGTGTTTACAGCCCTTTTAGCTTCAGTGTGAAAAATTCCTGTCACATATTTCGAAAAAGGAAAACCCAGAAAAGAGAGCTACTTAAGGCTTTGCTTGTTTTTATGTTGATATACAAAATTTATTAAGTGCTGCTACTGTGTTTCTTAAGGCACAACAAATCCAATAGTGATACAAGGCAGATCATTCATGAAGATAGTAAGATTTATACCTACAATATATGGTCAATGTCCTTTAGATAATACCTTGTAATGAGATTAAATCTGGTGGCACTGATGAAGAAATGCCATGCATATAGTTCTGAGGACCTGTGTGATATTTTTGCAAGCTCTGGATTTTCTTACTCTGATGGCAAATCAAATAATGATTCAATGGATTCAGATTATTAACCCTCTTTTCAGGTTATTTAAAGCCAGAAAATATTTTTTAGATTGTAAATAATTTTTTTTCTTTTGGAGATAATAATGATTAGTGATACAAGTCTTAGTAATTAACCCATAGCGTGAGGGAGAAGAGGTGGATTCATACTGTTCTCAAGTGCACATAAGTGAATATAATGAACACAACTGGAATTGTAACTCTGCTCTCTGATTTTCAATTCCAAGCATTACACCACCCACACATTCAAGCTTACAGCACCTGGTATTCTCAAGCGGTCACCCATCTAGGTACTAACCAGGTCTACATTGCTTAGCTTCAGTGACTAGATGAGAACTGGTGTTTCAACATGATATGGCCATAAGCCAGATAGAGATTTAAGATAATGTAATGAAAGCAATTATTTTCCTGAAACAGCTTACAGAATATCTTGCAAGTAATTTCTTTGTTCCTAAAGCAGCTCACAAGAAAGCAGTAAATCAGATAATGATTTAAGCAATTTTGTTGAGCAATGATTTTCCTAAATCTTTTTACAATATATTTAGCTGATGTGGCATTATGCATTAATATTAATAGTTTTTGATAAGCAACAAGTTAACCAACAAGAAAGTGTAGTGCTTATGTGGCCAATGCAAGAGTTTAATGTTTCATGATTATTGGCAGTGGAGATGAAATCTCTCAAAGGATATGATAATTTAGAAACAACTTTGTTTTTTACCAAAGAGAGATTTTTGAGGTTACAGAGATTTATTGGCTATATGGAACACACAAGCAAAAAAGATAACTTGCCACATATGGAAATATAATGCAATTCATCCCTATATGAATCCTCGCATCACAAACAATATTAGTTGTATTTTTGAAGTAAAAAGGAAAGGGTTTAACAGTTACTGCAGTAACAAAATATCAACATAAGGTTTGTTTCAATTAAAATTAATTACATTTAAATAAAACAACTTACCTGTCTCAGCAGCACAGATTATATTCTCACCTTCAAGAACTTGAGGAATTACTTTTGCCTAAATGACAAGAAAGTTGATTAAAAACAATGTTATTGTATTTAGCATATAAAATCATAAACAGAACTATCTTTTATTCCTTAAGCAACATTGAATATTTGTTTCAAATCAGATTAATTAAACTTTAAATCAGCTACTCATCCTTAAATGAAGTTTCTGAAAAATATATTTTATTTTCAACAGATTTTTTAATGAAGAGATTCATTCATAGTGTGTCAACAGATTCACTAATATGGCTGATTTTTAGCAATTTTTACAATTTAAAACAAAAAAATAATTCCAATCAGTTTAAATTCAATTGGAAATACAACAAGGTATTTTGCTTGTTACAAATATTAAATTTAACCTATTAGCTCGAAATTAAAACTAAAACTTCAATATTTTTATTCTTTAAACCTTGGTATCACTTTTCTTTGGAAGTACCTAATCTAATGGTACTTATATTAAAGTTCTAAAAATAGCTTTTTAAAACTATAAAAATTATCAAAAGATGTATAAACAGAAGTGTCAAGAGAAAAACCAGTTTTTGAGAGTACATTTGCTGACATATACAAAAAATGATATTCCAAGGCAAAATGAACATATAATAAAGAAAATCATACGACAAAAATTGCTATGTAAGAAACAAGGACAACGGACAAAGATAGAGTTGTCTCCCCTTATATGTCGTTCAAATTGTCTATAACAAAAAACAAAAAAACAAAAACAAAAAAGAAATCAATTTTTCTTAACGTTCTCCAAGTACAAAAATACTGATGCTGGTAATTCAGATATACCAAAGAGAAATTCTAAAATTTTTCCTTTATGTAAAAAGGTGAAAGTTCACAACTTTATAAGGAAAGAAGAAAAAAAAATTGCTATGACTGTCATATAACTGTTATTATGATATGCTACAATTGTTCTATGTTAATACTAGTTTGATATCTGTCATTTCATTGGCACCAAGGTGATCAAATTTCAAATCTAAATTGTTTGTCCATTTAAAATACATTATGTGTGCATGTATATTTTAATTCAATGACTGACCTAAAATATATTACACCCTATGCAAGGCAGTAAAGCCACTAAGATACAAGAGATGTGAAAGAAAAAGTAAACAGAAACATTATTAAGAAGAGAGAACACTAGAAGAGTAATCAGGAAGACAGTAGATAATGACTGACATTGCATTTAAATTTTTGAAGATCAAAGTTGGCTAGAAAGCATGTGGGTGGAAGAATTACTATTTATTCTGAATAATTTTTTAAAACGTTTAATAAAATCTTATAAATATCTTTTCTTTTAAGGTTTAAATTTTTTTCTTGTCTCTAACTTTATGACTTCATTGCTTAGCCCAGGGTATAAGTTGTCTAGACTAGATGAGAGAGGAATGTATTATTCCAATGTTTTGTTTTAAAATTAGTCAAATTGTATGTATATGTTTGTGTGTATATTAAATGGAACAAGCTTATATAAGTCACTCACACACAATGCAGACATATGTGTATATATTATGTACACACATGCAAAGTCATATGCAGAAAGTGCATGACAAAGCATCAGCTCTTTTATAATATAGATTGCCAATCTCATATTCTGTGTAATTTATGAATTAAATTATCATAGCTATGTGTATATCCTCCCATTTGTACTTCCCCCATTATGGGCATTATTATATCCATGATATAATAACATCATATTTCACAGACGGAATGGAATGGCTGAAAGGAAAAGGAATCACAAACATGCTTTGTTCTCAGAGAGGGTTTTATACTGCTAAGGCATATACAAAATGATATATACATATTTAAACATGTAATATTTAGGATTCCAGATTTGAGTGGGTTGGATTTATCTGCGATGTCACTATCATAGACAAATTCTGGAAACGGCAAACAGCAAGACTTGGGTTTTCCCAAATTCAGAACTGCGAGTCTGAGATATTTCCTGTACCTGCTGAAGGTACTTCCATAGAAAAACAGCACTATAGGTTTGTAAGCTGCCCTACATATCTGGGGGAAGTAGATTTGACCTAAATCTATCCAGGCAAGTAAAGGGCCTCACCCATGCTAAAAAAAAAAAAAAAGGAAAAAAAAAGCAACTGCTCAATTTGACTCCTGGAAGCTGACTGACTTATGAAGTGATGTCAATAAGCAACCATCATATGACTTCATCTCGACCAAAGGGAGATAATCCCCTTTTGTATTCCTACAATAGTTATGTATACATAGGAAAAAATATAGTTTAGATCAAGTTTTGCAGTATCTACTATTCCCCAGTATCCATTGAGGGAGTTTTGTATAACTGAGGAAGATAACAATTGTAACGAGCCAATCAGAATTTAAAAAAAAAAAAAAAAAAAATTTTTTTACCTGTACTTCAGTCGGCTGCTTGATTCCAATTTCCGACAAACCTTTGATAATATTTTCATCTAATTGAAAGTCATGAAAATTTGCTGACTCTGACAAGAAAGACGAATTCTACAAAGAAACAAATTGGAAACATGATATTTATTTTTTTATAAAATACAAGACCAAAATTTTGAGAGATAGCTCTCTGCCTAACAGAAAAAAAGTCATACAACATTCAACATAAAAAAGAGATTTAAAACTATGACTTTATTCACAAGGACTTTTTAGAAGTGTTGTAATGGAATTTCCCACACCTATGTGGACTGACTATATCAGTAGCTATATATATAGTGAGCACAGGATATACCTGGGGTCTTGCTTCAGGAATTACTAGCCTGCCACCCCATTCCCTGTCTTTCAGTAGTGTATTCTCTTTTACTATAAACCTCTCTTCTTTCATCTATGCATGTGTTGCTGTTCCTTCACTCAAGTACCACCTTTGTCTGTCTGTAACCTTTTTAAGGTACAACAAGAAAATGCCTTGAGCTGATTGGCCCTAAAGCTTCTGTTTACAGAAAGATAGCTGGTTAAACTTAATGTAAACAAATTCCAACACATTCAAATGAATTTCATAAGCTTAAAGGTAATTATCCAGTAAATGATATATTTTTCTTATATAGTCTGACCTCTTTAATCCAACACACTGTGGTCCGGAATTTTTTTGAATCATCCACCATTAGCTTGTTGAGCAGCTAGAAGGGCAGTACCATACATTGGTTATAATTTTCCACAGCAGCCAACTACAAGAAAGTGTTTCAGTGATATCATCTTGTTCATTCCTTATATATAGCTGCATATTTACCCATTCAGGAAGTGCATCTGATGCTGCAAAAGGCAAGAAGCATAAGCATGTGAGTACCATGGTATCTGATCATCATCCACTGTGTATGACTTAAAGAAATGAAAGGAGCAGGTTTTTAAATTTTTTGCTGAAAATGAAAGCCAGAAAAATTTGAAGAATCAGAAAGACTGAAAGGCACTAGTTCAGAATTAGACAGTGGGTTAAGCTCAAAAATACTGAAGCTGTAAGCATTTCCGGGGAGATGTTTATGGAGCAGGTCAGTATAGTAAATATATATAATGAATTTGTAGTTTTAGGCTTTTTTTTTCTAGCACCTGTATTGTATAAAACAATAAAAACTTTGGAAGCATTAATGATTGTTTTATTTCTTGTTTTAAGTTTTGTTCTACCTTTGATAATTCAACGAATATATATGTAGAATGAGCTGGCATGACTATATTGCATAGGGTTGTTGCATCCTGTCAGCATTCCCACTTTTTTTAAAAACAACTAGAAGAAAAAAAACTTAATCAGTGTTGTTATAAGACTGATTCAAAATATTCAAGGGCCTCAAAAGCACCCCCCCAAAAAAAACAAGCCTTATCTCAGTTGTGGCTCTGTCTCTGGGCAGACACACAACTGGGGAAAATAAAAACTGTGGGTTGTCTAGTACCTGGAAACAGCAGCCTGAGGCTGCACCTCACACATTACACTAGAGTCGGGGAGTATCAGTAGTCACTACTGAGGCCAGTGCAACTGATGGCTGCAGAGTCTGGGCAATTTTTGTACCTGGTCTGAGTGTATGCGCTCGGGTTCTCCACATAAAGCCTAACCTTGTGTCACATCTCATCTCAATGGGGAGACTGGGGTAAATAACAAGCCTTTACCATCGAGATGACGAGGATCAAAGTGTAGTATCTGTTCAAGCAGCGGCAACTAACAGCCAGCCCACATCTCCAACAATCAGTAGCAGTTCCAGCTAGCGAGCCATCATTATCATCTCCAGCTTGCCATTAGCTGTCGCTCCAGCCATCTCCAGTAGGCCTCGGGCTCCTGCCACTCCAGCTAGATCAAACAGGCTTCCTGCTCCAGCCATCCTCACCTGCAGCAATGATATGTAATAAACTGTCCTTTTCAGGGCAATGCTCTCCAGCAACTATGAAACTGTCCTTTTCAGGACAACACTCCCCAAGGGCTACCAAGACTGTCCTTCTCAGGAGCAACACTATTCTCGCTCTCTACATGAGCTTGCAGAATTATTTTTTGCCTCATGAACTGTAACATTAATTTTGTTTATGTCTTCTTTAACAAAAATAAACTTGGCAATATATACTTTTTTTTTACTCAAGTCTTCATTTTGTTTGTTGTCATCTTCTGGCCAAAATCTTTCATGCATATTTATAAATCTACCAATTGAATATTACTGCCATTTCTGATCTGCTGCTGCTGCTATATACCTCAAGATTCTTCACAAAATTCAAAGAAGTGTCTGTAATGTAATCAATCCTGACTTGGTATGTTGATTTCAGTCACTAACCAACGTAACGTGGCTTCCCTCTATCTTTTCTACAAATATTTTCAAGGCAATTGTTCTGATGAGCTTTCTGCCTTGGTACCTCAACTGCATGAATTTAAGCATACTACTAAATTGGCAACTAGGTTTCACTGTTTTACTCTTGAACAAGCGAGATATAAGCATAAGTTCTAGTCTAATAGTTTTCTCAAACTTCTAAGTTGTGGAACTCTCTGCCCAGTAAAAAAGCAGTAAATTCATCAAGAAATTTATTTAGCTATCATGATTCATACACAAACTGAACAATCATTGTAGATGTTCAAAATTTGCCTGAACGTTCAACACAACACAAAGTGGTAAGCATGGTAACCAGGAGGCAATAGCTTTCCAAATAATGTCAAGAGAAATTTTATTCCAAGCTTCAGTTAAGTTCCACTTCAATGAACCAATATCAACGATGTCACAACGATGGTTCTGCAAGTGAGTTAGGAGTATACTCCAGATACATTAATCTATAATATACAGATTTGGGCTTTTAGAGGACCACTGAGATGGATTTATTAGAGCTGGTGTATTTTCTTGAAGATAAAATTTGCCACTTTTTTTTTTTTTTTTACTGGGCATCCTGTAGTTTCTTGCTTCCCTTCTATCTACCATCTTCAAAAATTTAAATGCAACATCAGTTACCTGTCTTTCTGAATTCTGTTCTTTTATTGTTCTTCCTCTTTACTAAAGTTTTCTCATTCTCTTTCACTCTCAGTGGCCCATGGTATCTTAGTGACACTGTCACTTTGCATGGAGTTGAATTGATTTAAAAAAAAAAAAAAAAAAAATAATATTTGCAATTTTATGTCTGTTTGGAAATGAAATGGTAAAATGTTACCATCAGCTTTATTTGCCAACAAGCTATTAAAAAAAAAAAGTCTATGAAAATACCTAGAAATTAGCTCCTTTAAATCAAATTGGTACTTACTTTATCCCAGTCCATCAAAGTGAAGTGATCACCTACAGCTTTTCTATTCTTCCATCCATAAGAAGCAAGCGACTGAGGACGAAAATCACTGTATGTCTGACCCTTGTGGTGATTGTATTCTTGACGACGACAAGAAATCACTAATGGAGATTTAAAACGCAATTTTGTCTTCTGATTTAGCTTCTGCAATTCTTTTTTCCTCTCAATTTTCTTGTTAAGTTTTTCCAACATTTTCTGAGGAATTGTTATCCGTGGAATTGTTTTTTCTGCCTTCAACTGAGAAGATTGAAACAAAAAAGAAAGTTGTTTTATTGAAGATAAAAATTCAGGACGTTTTTGAAAGTGTTTTCTATGTTTATATCTTCAGATAAGTATTGGGGACTGAAGATTGTTAGTACTCTTAAATAGAATGCTCTAATTATTCCAAATTTTATCCAGTTATAGTGGTGAAATTAGAAATTAGATCATTAGAAATTAGGTCATTAGAAAACCTATCAACAAGAGTGAACATACCATTTTCTATTCTCATCACTGTAACAGAATAAAATCTGGATTAATTATAGGATTCTTTTGAGAGCACTAATAATTAGCCCCCAATAATTACCCAAGAATGAATATATATATATATATATATATATATGGCGGGGGGGGGATTATGTTTTTAAATACCAGAACAATGTACAAAAATAACAAAAACAAATGGAAGCTAAATGAAATTGGCTTGACAATATACCGAAACAAATCTTAAAAAAAAAAATTAAATATAAAAACTTAAAATTTCAGCACCCACTGCCTTATGTATACATGTGTAGCTATATCAACAGAAACATTACTTTAGTCCAATAAAATGTGTCACACAGACATTTTTCCACTTAGTCATTAATCATATATATAAGTACTAATTCACTGCAAAAAGACCATACTATAATGAAAAAATGCCCCAAACTTGACAAAAACTATCTTTTGCCAAAATCTTTATTATTAATAAGAAGAAAAATCAAAGTATATTTTAAATATTTATTTTAATTTGTTAATCCTTTTTAGAACATTTGAAATTTTGATTAAAAATCTTGTTTTTCTTGCATAGTACACATAGCAAATTTTAGCTTTGTTTTTGCAGTGAAAGATGCATTCATTTGGAAATTCTTGGAAAAATCAAATTTTAATGAAGCTTTATGATTTATTCACAAATGAATGGAATTATTCTAGAAATGTCTATTTTTAGAAAATTTCAGTAAAAATATTGGGTGTTTTGTTTTTTTACATATATTTCATCCCACTTAATTTTATGAAAATGAGATAATTCTTAGTGACTATATTAGTTAAATGCAGAACTCTCTAGAGAATTTAAATCAACTTTTTTTTGTAACATTGGACCCAGTCTTACTGAAAAATTTGCTCTGAATCATAAAATAAAAAACAATAAAACTAAGATATTATTTAATTAGAAAAGCTTTAATTGCTTTTACGAATAATAAATACTAAAGATATTATCGTAAGATAATTTTTTCCAATGAAAAAATGAATTTTTACAAGATTTGTTTGCATTTTTTTACAATTTTAGTTAAAATAATTAAAGATTTTAAATCTTTTAAAATTCAGTTTCAATGGTGTAACTGTTAAGAAATATTGTTATTAAATAAAACCATATTTACTAATCATATATCGTAAATCTGACAATGCCAAGTATTTTTAATTGTTTTTGTATGCGTATAAACATGCCAATTTTTGTAGATGCATGTATTCATAGACAACATTATCATAAAATAAGAGTGATAACGATAGTAAATATAAAGCCAAAATTATATAAAATTCAATAAAACATTAAATTACAGAGAATGTTTTCTTAAATTTTTAACATTATCAAGTACTTAAAAAGCACTCACATTATATTCTTCAATTATTTTTCTACAGGTAAAGCTGCCATAGAACAGCATTAGATAAAAATCTGTCAGCATAAACAGCTACTGTCATATTAAAAAAATTCATTTTTGTGATAATTTAAACTTAAATAATATTTGTTTCAAATCACATTAATTATACTTTAAATCTGCTAATATTCCTCAAATAAAGTTTCAGAAAAGTATGTTTTATTTTTGAAAGATTTTTTAATAAAGAGATTTTCATTTTCATAACAGTATGCTAAAAATGGTGCGAAATTCAAAAATTTAAGAGATTCCAAAATGAAAATGTCTTCCAATCAATTTAAATCAGTTTTGAAATACAACAAAGTATTTTGCATATTGAAAAATATTCAATTTATCAGCTTGAAATTAAAACTAAAATAAAAGTGTCAATAAAGATTTTCATTTTTTAAATTCATTTTAAACCTTAAGTATTTCAAATCTGTGGAGGTACATATATATATATATATATATATGTATGTATGTATGTGTGTGCGTGTAAAATTTCAGATATTTCTAAAAATATACCTGTAAAAGGACAATATTAAAAAAATTACTTTTATTTTTTTTTAACATTGAATCACATCACTTAGCATCCTCTATAAATTAGATTAAACTAATGTAGTAGATATTGAATTGATTTGTTTGTTTGTGTTTAGTGGCATATCAACACCATATGGGTCATTTAATGCTAGAATTAGTAATTTCATTTACAAAAATATTTTGCTGGGAATTTTTTTCCTGTGAAATGTATTGCTGGTATTTTTATACTTTGATAGTGCTTTAACCCCAGTTTGGGGGGTGGGGTAGGGGGATCATTTGCCTATAGTTGGGATCCTAACAGATGCTACCACTCTGGGTTAGAGTGGACCTGGGAACAACAGCAATTAAGGTGGTTCCATGCTCCTCAAAACCTCCTGATCAGAAGCCTTGCAGGATGGGATAATGAATTGATTTCTCATGACTGCATGCAGACCATTAAAAATATTTTGCACTTGTCTTCCATTTTAAACTCTTTCTGATTACTCTAATACTTCACTTGTGTATAAGCTATAAGATTTAAGTTGAAATCCTTAATTAAATTAAACTAGTAGATAATGTATTGATCTCTAATGTCTGCATGTAGATCATTCAAATACTTTGCACTTGTCTTCCATGTTAAACTTTTTCTGATTGCTCCAATACTTGTGTTTTAGCTAGATTTTTTTTTCCTATTTGGAAAATAAAATACTTTGCTTATTAAATTTTTCATAGTGAACATTTTATTTCTTTAAATATAATTATTTAAGCAAATGTTATTTATTACTAAAGACCAAAAACTAGTAAACATATGAGTTTTTCTTACATTCTTGATAATCAATTTTTCATCTGACAGAATATCTTCCAGACTTAACTTTTTAAAAGTAATGATTATTTAAAAAAAAATCTTGATAACAACAACAACAAAATTACAGAAAAATAATTAGTTTACAAAATTAAAATATTGTAATACAGGCCACTATACTTACAAACAGAAGAAATTCAGTCCAGAGCTGCCAGCATGAATTTGTGTTGCTGTTGTCAATTGGTAATACAAATATTATCTCATCCACCCAAATTAACCTGACTTGTACTAAATTATATGAGCTACCCAAGTTATAAAAATACATTTTTTAATGGTTTTTAAATTAAATTTGGAAATGTTTTTGGCATAGTTAAATTGAGTAATAATTAAAGTAATTTTCCATAAAATTATTTTGATGTTACGATTATTTTTATTCTTATTTGTTTACAATATCAAGTTTTCTATCAATCAAAAAATGGTCATTGCTGATTTTTGCAGATTCAAGGGAAATTTTTCACTTCATAGCCATTTAATTCAATCTTAATTAAAAGAGTTCTTTGCAAAACACAAATTTGAGGTCTTATGTTTGTCATGAAAGTATGAAAATATTATATGAACTGGTTTTCTTAATTTTTAATTTGTATTTAACACAACATTAAGATTTTTACTGGAGATACCTAAAAAAGCAACTGTATACTTACACTGTATTTTACTGCAGAGTTTTGGAAAATACTACATCCCTGCAGAGATCTTAAGTTCCGAAGAGTAACTGCTGTCAATAAAGACATCTTAGCATTTACCTAAAGTTAGAATAAAAATAGATTAACAGATCATATATATATATATATATATATATATATATATTCATATGAAATGAGAACAAATCAAATATAAACTCCAACATTCATAACATTAGTTTAAAACAGGGCTCAATGCAAAAGTAGAGCTGCATTCTTTATTTTAGGATAATTACATCAAAATGAAGGTCAACGCTACATAAATGCAATTATGTTTCAATGTGTACTAACACAATTCATCAGACATTAGTAAATGACTGGTAACCAGTCATTTACTAATGCATTGCATTTATGTAGCATTGACCTTCATGTTGATGTAATTATCCGAAAATAAAAAAAGTGTATATATTATATATATATATATATATATATATATATATATATATATATATATATATATATATCACTCTAGAAACATAAAAATATACTCATTCAGTTAAAAATAAAAAAGACAATGATAATGGCTAATAGAGTAGCTGAAAGCACTCAGATATATAGAACATTTGGACAATTTTTTACACACTTTATGTCCAGAAAAGAAAACACATACAAATACAAGAAAGATTAAAAAGCTTAATCACTGTACCTTATTTGTCATCTTTAATGAAATCTGTATAAAAGAGGGATTGCTTCCCAAATACACAATTATATATAGACACACACACAACTTATTGGTGGAGTTTTAGATTAGGTACTGTGATTAAAAATAATTATTTTTTAACTTTTTTATAATACTATAGTTTAAGCACTCCAAATCACAAAAATTAAAAAACATTTTAATAAAATTTCATATATGAAGATTCAATTTGCTATGTAAATTAATTGTGAATTGATCATTCAACAGAAAAAAATAAAAGATTATCATACTCCATGTTTCCAAGTGGTTGCTAAATAATATTTAATCATTTATTTTTCAAAACTTTTTTCATCTATCAATTTAACACTCAGATTACAAATTAAAAAAAAAACTTCATTTTTTTAAATTTCAAGAAATCATGTGGTATTAGTATTTTGGGGGAGGGTGGAGAGGCTTCCATGGGGAATAAATTTAGAATGAATTTACATAGCGAAACAGGACCTCCTGATTGATTTTTATAAAATTTAATAAAAAAAGTTTTTAGAGTGTTCCATCTATAGGAAAAAAATGATTAGTTCTGGTTGTAGTGCTTATTCTAAAACTCCAATTTATTAAATAAAAAAATAAATTCGAAATAAGATCACTCCTGAAAGTCAAATTCTAACAAGAAAAGCATTGCAAAAGAGGAGATGAAAAGATCTTGTATAATTATATCTAAAGTGGGAGGAAGGTATACATTACCCTCTCTGAGAGAAGATGCAAATAATTTGCAAGAAGCACTACTAGAGTGATAAAGTCGGAAGTGCTTGTCTACTGAAAACTTTCATTCATGCATTTGCAATGAACTCCAAATGTGCTCCTTTTTTTTGCACATCTCTATTAACCTTTAGCTTCCTGTATTATTAATATTACTTCCCTTTTTCCCTGCATTCTTTTTTAAGGCCTCTCAATTGCAGTATCCTTATCATTAATTTTGCTCAAAGTGGTTTTCTGTTTCCATAGCAGGTTATGATAACAACTATAAAATCCAAACACACTTTTGTTAGGGATAAACCTTTTGTACAGCAAATGAAGTTACAGAGTGATAAAGGTTAAAGTTATTGGGAACATTTTCATGTAGAGAAAATTTCAAGGAATTTTACTGAAAGAAAGTGTAAATTTAAGTAAGCTTTTTAAGTGTATCTGTGAAGATGAAGAAAAACTTGAACTTACTCTGTTGGTGAATTAAAGAGTGATTAAAAAGGTGTATTTTTATGCTAGGAGTAGCTTACTAAAGGAGAACTGATTTAGTGTCCTATCCCAATCTTGGCCCAAAATAAGAGCTATCCTCTTCATATCCACAGCACACATGCTCTCAGTTTTTTCTTTTTATGTATACCCAAAAGCCAAAATGGGGTTACTGCTGCTGGTAGGGTTATCAACACATGCGTGTCAAGTGAAAAGTTTTAATGTCTGCTACAAGTTTCACCAGTTTTGACCATTATAGCTAAAACCTGCGATGCTACATCCACATTCTCTCTATATTCCAATTGTAAGGAGGAAATTCCCCTCAGCTTCCCCCTCACCCCAAGAACCAGTGCTTTATGGAACCAGACCTTGCATAGATGCTTCCCCAAGCATTACAATATTAGCCTCTTCAAATCAAGGGCTGATCATTACCTACCTTATATATTCTGATAACCCTCACTTTTTTTCAACAACTACAAGATAATCTGTCCTTTTCAGAACAATGCCCTTCTTACCCTCTACATGAATAGGCAGAGTTATTTTTTGCATTGATGTACTTTCTTTAACAAAAATAAACTTGCCAATATTTTTTTTTCTACGCAAGTCTCCATTTTGTTTGTTGTTATCTTCCGTCATTCAATATCTGTTTGCAGGCCAAAATACTACCCACAACAACTTCCTACTCTTACATTCATATCACACACCTAATTCAGTAACCCTCTACCTTGAGTGGCTCTTGAGCCTTGTATTGGGTGAACATTAGTAAAAGAAAATGTAACAAGTATCATTGGACAAGTGTTTGAATCTGTCAACCCAGGTTTTTGTTGTTGTCTGAGTGTCAGGATTCCAAACATTTAACAACAACACACCTTTTAAATGGAACATAAAAATGGTTATTTTCTGAAGGAAAGGTAGAAGCAGAACATCAGTTGAAATAACATTTATATAGTCTTCTCAAAAATGTACAATAACAATGAAATGTTCAATTTCACTTGCAGTGAAGATTGTTTTTTCAAATAATTTAAGTGTTCGTAGTACGATATGAAATGTGTGGACAGACTTACTTTATGACTGTCAGCCTAATGTGTTCATGGGTGCGTAGACAAAAGCTTAGTCAGTAGCTGTTGTCCGTCATCTCATGCGTGCAGATCAAACTGGCCTCCATAATTGTTTTTTTGAGTCTCGAGTAGCTTCTGTTTGTCCAAAATTAAATAAAAGTATAAAAATAATAAAATAAACATTAAAATCTCCCAAGAGTCCTCTGACAGGAAAAGACAAATTACGCAGGTGCAAAAATAAAGAATAAAAGAGCAGACGTTTTTTTTTAAAAAGAGAGACTGGCAGACGCTTAAAAGAAGAAACGCTACCATTGACTGGTGAATACGTACCAACTGTTTTTGGGAGGAAATTCCCCAACAAGAGGTCGTTGAATCCAATAGAAAGAAATAAAATCAGTCCTAAACAGTCCCTCCATTGTCTCCGTATCCTTCCGTTTTTCTATCTATTTATTTCAGCAACGGAGGAAATTCAACGAGTTTTTAGGTGAAATAATCAATCCAGTAATAGCCGTAACATCTATATATGTCTGTAAGGGTGAGAGGCTGGAAATCTAATTTCACATAGGTGTGAACAGTGAACTCTTTGAATACAAGGTTTTCATTAGTTAGAAAATATAATTTTTCCACTGGTTCACGAAAATCTTTCTCGAATGAATTGTTATTTTCTAAATTGTCCAAAAAATAACTTACTACTACGTCCACCAAGTATTTGAGCGGTATTTGCCCTTGTAATTACTGTTTAGTGTTTATCAACCATTCCGATAGGATTTTGGTTGAAAAATTACATGTAGGGTTTTTAATTCCTAGAGGCAAAAACAAAACAAAACAAAAAAAATCAGTTCAGAGTACAGCAGAGTACTTCTCGAGTGAAAAATTGCTTGTAGAATGTAAGTAAAATAAGCAATTAAAAGATGAAATGGGAAATATTTCAATGCAAAATATACACAAGTTATTTTTTTTATTCAATCTGACTACTTGCTACTAGCCTTTAAAAATTACACAAGCAAATAAATTTCTCAAAATTGTCTTTTTTTGTATGACCTTTTAAAATTTAGAGTTTACCAAATTTATTTTTAATCGAAAAGTGAGTAACTTTACTAAAATATATTTTTATCGTTAAACAAATTGGAAGCCCAAATACCTAACCTAACTAGGAATAATGTTTAATAATTTCCGAAAGAATTGTTTTTACGCTTATAGTAAAAATTGGTAACAAAAACTTATTTAGACGCTTATTGGTAACAAAATCGTAATTGTAATAATTATATAAAAAGGCTAACATAAAATATTAGTATTTGATAAAAAAATATCCGAATTATTAATATCCAACATTTACTTCCTTTTTTTACGTTTATTCGAAAATTTGTATATTTTTATTGCATTTTCGAATCATGACCAAGCCACTTACCTTAACTCTTCATACATGTAAAACCATAAATGCCAAAACGGTGAAGGATAAAATGAATTCCCCTCGATTTTAAAGTATGGTTTAAAATATGAAACATTCGCAATCAATCAAGCCAATACGAAGTGTGTATTTGTAATTAAAAACAAAAAACTCACAGAAAAAGAAAATAATTATTTTCCTCATTTTATTTTGCACATTTATTAAGATAATAATTTGTCAAAGAATAACAAAAAAAATTAACACGTCTTAATTTTTCAGCGTAGATTTATCAATTCGAACACCGAACTTAATAAGTTTAATGGCGTAGTCTATATTATTGTCATTTCTCAAAATGGATAGCGAAATTTGGAATCAGTTGTCCCCTACTATTGTGCATTATGTTGAAATTCTTGTCAGACAAGGACAAGTTGGAATTGGTGCCGGAAATATCTATATCAAAGATGTGTTTTCCAGGTAAAAAAAAAAAAAAAAAACAATACACCTGATTTTCGCTTTAATTTTTCAATGAATTATTCTGAAAAAAAAATGGGGAAAATTATTTTACGGATAAAAGCTAATTTAAATTGACCGTGTTAATAATGATAAATAATTTAGAATATTATCTTGATGTTCACTGATTTTTACGTAAAAACTTAAGTCCGCTCATTTGGGGATAAAACTTTGGTAATCTCTTGGTCAGATGTAACTACTGTTTTTGTTTATCTGAGCCGGATAATGAAATTATTTTTTTTTTCCATGAAGATTTTTTTATTATCTTCGTCGATCGCTGAAGGTAATGATGAAATGTATTTTAATTATAACAAAACTAACAGAAGCCATCGAGAATGTTAATTGAGATTTTTTTTTTTAAATAAAAAAAAATGGGGATGTTGATACTTTTTAAAGTTTTATTTGACAGTTTGTTGGCTTGGGTGTCCAACATTAAACGCGATCTTGTCACATCACGTCTGAGTGGGTAAATAATAAATACTTATTTGATTGTTTATGCCTACAAAATAAAAAATATTTTCCTGTCTTTAATTAATAAGCGTCCCCCCCCAACATCTCTTTATTATAAATTTTATGATAAAAAGTGAACTTTAATTACCAATTATTTCATTTAAAAACAAAAAAAAAAAGTATTTTTTCTTCTGTGTTTTCAGCTGTCCAAGTATTGCATTACCACCAAAGGGAGATCGTTTTAAAGTAGCCTTACCTTATGGTGGATGTTCTGTTACTTGTAAGTATTTTATTTTAAGAATTGCATAATAAATAATTTGAGAAAGAAAAATACAGCAACTTCTTAATCTTAATCAGTTTTTAAAGAAAGGTCCGCAGTATTACTTAAAAAAAAAACAAAAAAAAAACTAACATCATCAATAATAGACTTTGAATGACGACGAAAAATAAAAATAAAATGATAATATAAAATGAAATGGTTAAACAACAAGCAGCAACAGACCAACTGTTAAAAATTTGAATAAGAAAAGGAAGTACCGCCACTGTTCTCTATAGAATTATTAGACCATGATGAAAAAATCCCCCAAAACTTAAAAATAAAAACAGTTTTATCGCCACAAAATCTTTGCTATTAAATAAATATTTATTAAGATTATTATCTTAAGAAAGACCAAAGGATTTTTTTATTATTAAATTATATTTTTGAATTTTTTTAACCTTTTTAGAAGTTTTGCAATTTTGGTTTAAATATTTCTTTCTTTCTTTATTTTTTTTTTTTTTTTTCGATAGTGTTTTTAAAGGAATTAAATTATTTTAGAAATTTTTTTTTGTTGTTGTAGAAAATTCTGGTAAAAAAAATATTTTTTTTTTTTTTTTTTTTACATCTGTTACCCCCCACTTATTTACCTTTCTGAAATTTTGAGATAATTATTAAATTTATATATTAGTTAAATAAAAGCAGAAAAGCTTGGAGAAAATTTAAATTATCAATTTTCCTTTTATAAAATAGGACCACCAGTTACCAAAAAATCTGCTCTTAATTGTAAAATAAAACATGCAATAAAACTAACAGTGTAACCCGGATATAAGAGAGTTGTCGGGACCGGAGAAGAAGTCTCTTATATCCGGGTTTCTCTTATATCCGAGTTTGGTCTATTTTGTTTAGGTAAGTATGGGCTCTAATTTGGGACCAGAGAAAATCTCTCTTATATCCGGGTTACACTGTAGTATTTAAAAGCTTTTAATTGCTTTTATGAATAATATATATGGATATCATTGTATTGTCTTAAAAAAAGTTTTTCAATGTATAAAGAATTTTTACAAGAATTGTTTTCATTTTCCTTTTATTTTAATTAGAGTAATTTATAATTTTTTAAATAAATTTCTGTATTACTTTGTCCCAGTTAGGTGATATTGTTATTAAGTAAAAACTTTATTTACTAATCATAAATGGAAAAACTTAGTACACTTCATTGATCCCCAATATTTTAAAAAGAATTTTGAAATTTTTTTTTGTGTGTATAAGCCTCCTGGTTTTTGTAAATACAGACGTCCATACATGACATTATCAGATAATAAGAGCAATAACAATAGTAAATTTCAATCTAAGGTATATAAAATTCAATAAAACATTAGATTATGGAAAATATTTTCCTAAATTTTTAAGATTACTTGGTAGTTAAAAATTATATAAAAAACAAGTGCCCATATTATATTCAAGTAAATCACCATAGAAAAAAATTAGATAAATTTTCATTTGTCAGTCAAGCTGTCAAAACCTTAAATAAACTGTACCACCGTGTTAAAAAATGCATTTCTGCAATATTTTAAATTTAAAGTAATATGTTTCAAATCAGATCAATTAAAATTTAAATTGGCTAATATTCCTCAAATGAAGTTTCAGAAAAGTATATTTTATTTTTGAAAGATTTTTTAATAGAGAAGATTATGTTGTCATGAAAAATGGCACTAAAATCAGTAATGTTTAGCAATTTCAAAATGTAAACTCCTTCCACACAATTTAAATTAGCTTTGAAATATAGCAAAGTATTTTGCTTATTGAAAATATTAAACTTAATCTATTAGGTTGAAATTAAAACTAAACTAAAAGCTTCAAGAAAGATTTTTTCCATAAAAATTAATTTTAAACCTTAGGTTTAAATCTATCACAAATAAATCGCAAATCTATGAAGGTATATAGATTTGAACTAATGTGCTCAATTATCACTTAATAGGTAGGATTAGGAAAGCAGTAGTGATTTATTGCCCACTTAGTAAGCAGATGAGGGCTAAGCTCTTTTTTTTACAGTTTTACCAATTATCACCAGCTTCTTAAACTGTATTTTATTTTTCACACAAAACAGTTGAATTAAATTTTCTAAGCAACAATGAGTAAATTAATATCCTTTTCTAATAAAAAAAAAAACAAACATATAGTTATTTTTTTATATTCAATATTATTTTGTCATTGTTGTTTAGAATTGTTTTTTCAATACTAATTTTGATATTGTTGCTTAAGAAATTTAATTCAATTTTTAGGGTTATGTAACCCTAAAAATTGAATTATATTTCTTAAATAACAATGACAAAATATTAGCATCATGCTTGAATTAAAGACCCTAACCTGGCCATAGAAAATTTAATTCAATTCTTTGATTAAAATAAAAAAAAATTATGCCAGTGTTTAATCTTCATGCCTGCAAAAAAACAGTGGCAAAATGACAGTTATTCTCTTGACAGCACTATTATAAATATGTAATTGGGTTGAAACTGTAGACTTGTCCTTTTCTACCTATCACCCCTAGTAACAGAACAGTCTATACCTTACGCCTACATATGGAAAACTTTTGACCAATAAAAAACCATACTAGGCAAATGATCAAATCTCATTGATTAATGACACAATAATCTGAAAGTTTCACATGCAAAACAAAATTGCGCCAAAACTTCTTTGAGCTGATTTTGGACTTTCAAAAACATATAAAAGAAAATACCAACTGACCAAAAGGGTCAGAGACGAACATCCACAGAGAAATTGCCAACATACTCCACGTCACTCGAAATCACGACTTTACCGCACAAAAGTACATCAATGCTGACTCACTTGCAATTTAAACTCGACCAACTCTGTGGACATCCGATCGCAAACCTAAAACAACTTTGCTTATCCAAAGTGAACTATGCTCACTACATTATTAAGTAAAAATCAACATTCGAACGATTCAGAAATATTACAGTCAAAGGTAGACCACTCTATAAGAACTCATTCCTAAAAACACTTAATATCGACATTTTTAATGTTAATTAACACAATTCCAGAAAGACTGTAACTGAACATACAAATACAAAAAGAGACATACCGAAACCTCAAATATCACACACACTTTGCCATAGTAACATATACCAAAATATCATGTATATATATATATTACTTTTAATTGTATATAAATGTTTGGTTGGTTTCTAAATTGAATATGTCTTGTTTTTGATTGTTTGTGGATGCAGAAAGTCACGCAACCTACACAAATTCCTTCTGATTCACTCAATTACAATTAATTAATTCTGCACATCCCCAACAAAACTACCAGAAATAGTTATTGTTGTTTTTGTTTTTATTTTCGAAGGGGAAGTGTTATTTGATTGTAACCATCCAGAAGAACCTCCAGATTTCATATTTGATGCAGATCAAAAGGGATTTGCACCTGAACTTGAGAGCATCCAGGTAAGCTGTAATCATTTTAATAACCAAACAAAATTTATTTTACTGACAATTATCTACAGTTAAAACAAAAAGGAAATCAAAATACATTTTGAAATATACTGACAGATGGTAGCTGTACAGGTGTACAATGTGCCTCTTCTGCTGTCTTAAATTCTTTTCTAATTCAATGTTTTGATTATTCCTGTTTTCTGTATGTTTCTGTTGCTTTTTGTTGTATTTTTTATCTCTTGTTTGTTTGCCCATTTCCCCCTACTGGCTACTGGGTTAATCTCTATCTATAAAAGGCAGAATGTGTGTGTAATGCATGCACAGCCGCAATTTTCGACAGATTTGCACCAAAATTTACATGCACATGCTCCAAGTTAGTGGGAAGGCCAAGATCAACTTTGCATTTCCCAATTCCTATCGATAGTGGAAATAATCGATTTTTTTCATGCTTCGACAGCAGTTTTCATGTAGTTTGTGGCCATTTTCTACTGGCCAAAGTGAGAGCCTATAGCTGGCTGCCACGAATAGGCAGGAAGATTCTATTGGCCAGTGTGAGAGGCAACAGCTGACTGGCACGAATGTTAACTAGCATGCAAAAAAAATTGATAGCTGCATTCGTCACAAGTGGGAAAAATTTAAATCTGCATGGTACTTTACTCCAATTGGCTCATTCACTTGCTTAAACTCAACGTTGATTCTGATTCCGCAGAACTGGGTTGGGTGTGAAAAAGTATTTGTTGTTAACATTCTTTTTTCATTTCTTTTTTCCAGTTACGAGTCCTTTTTTAAAGCTGATCATTTTGTGTTCATTTTGTTTAGTTCTTTTTTCGTAACAGATTTAATATTTAGTATAGAGTTTAGAAAAAATTCACAGTGTGAGATAGGCAAGAAGTAAGACATGTAGCAACATCAGCACAGCAAAGGGCACTCCTTTAAAGGCAAGGAAGGACAAAAATATTTTAAGTCAAGTGATAGCGATTGCTGTATGAGTCGTACGATTTTTGAATCAAGCATGGGCAACGCCGGGCCATGCTGCTAGTAATAAATAAGGATGCTTACCTTAAAAAAAAAAAAAAAGATTAAAAAGCAACAAATTTACATAGGAACAGAAATTAATAGCAATAGGATTTGTAAACTCTACATTAAGTTATTTTTGAGAATAAGTTTTATGCTTATATGCCAAAATATTAGGAAAATTAATGACCAAGTGGAAAAAATTTTCTTGCAATGTGTTTTGTCTTTTAGAATTTAATCAAACTAAAGTAATGTTGACGTTGATGTAAGTAAACCTGAACAGAAAAGAAATGGGATGCTGAAATTTTAAACTTAATTTTTTTTTATAATATATGTTTGAGAGTGTGTGTGTATATATATATATATATATATATATATATATATATATATATATATATATATACTTTATGAAAAACTAGGTAATCCATATGGGTAAACCTAAGGAGGATAAAATCCAGAGCAAATAATTTAAATAAAAACAGACCACATTAAGGTTCCATGTAATAAATTATTTCACCACAGCCTTTTTAAAAGGACTGTGGATCATCAGACTTTACTTCCAAACAAAAAATTAAAATAATATATATATATATTATAATTTTTTCATATAGACAAAAACAATTTACTTACAACAAAGATGCAACTTCATTTCAGTGCATTTAGTTGCACCTCGACTGGTGAGAACCAAAATGGTTATAATAAATAATTACTGGTCTACTGTTGGTATTGAGCCCTTTTTTGAATTAATGCTGTGAATGTTAGAATTTATATATTATTTTCATTCTCATTACATTCAGATATATGTGTGTGTGTGTGTGTATGTATATGGGTGCATGGCTAAGTGGTTAGAACATTTGCTTTCTGTCCATAAGACCCAGATACGAATCTCACCATGATTGATTTATCAGGAAGATGACTCCCTAATGTTATTGGACTTGATCGAGGTCAATCCCAGAGTGTGGCACCTTTGGAAAGTGCCTGAAAACCATACCATGGGTTGACCCAAGCCTTGTAAATGAAATTGGGTTGGTGGAACTCTTCTGGGCCATCAATAGCTGTGCTAGCATGAAGCCACAAGCCATCATGGCTGAGGGCTTGAGCATGCTGGTCTTGTTCAGATTGTTGATCACACTAGATAACACGCTCTCTCCCAAAAACTGTAACTAAGGTCTGCTCAGCATAGTTGCAGTATAAACCACAGGTGGGTTCTGTGGGTGTTGAGCAAACACAAATGTGCCTGAGTGAGCATCTACAATAGGGATTGGCTAGCCACTCTAGTAGACAGGTATACGAGTGGCCAGCTATTATTATACATATAAATTAGGAGATCAGCTGATCACACTACCTTAGTTTCAACCATTTGGTATTTTCAGGCAATTCGGGCTTAGCTGAAGATACCAAAAAGTTGAAACCAAGGTAGCATGATTAGCTGATCTCCTAATTTTTAAATTTAAAAGCTCTGCATGTTAAATTTTTCTTTTCTTTATACATGTATTGAGCACTTTTTAATACTGGTCTTAATTCAACTCTGATCAATAACCTTTTTTCATGTATATATATATATATATATATATATATATATATAACTTAATTAATCCATAACAATATAATATGCTAAAACTTGAAGGAGGAATTTACCTTAAATATTTTTTTAAGCATTTTACTTCAAGCAAGGCAGGAGTGCCACTAGCATGCAACCAGTTACAGAGAGTGAGAGCAAGAGTAAAGAGGGGGGTGTTTGAGGAAAGATGTAGAGAAAGACAGGGATCAGGATCAAGGCATCAGAATATGTCAATTGACATTACATTTGAAGATTATAGCTATCAGAGAAGCAAGTAGGAGAAAGGGAGTTCCACTGGCGGGAAGAAGCTGTTGGAGTAGACGAGGCAGTTACATTTAACTGTATCGACAGTGAAAGAGTGGGACCGAGATACCAACCTAGTAGCACACTTAAATTCGTGCTGTTGGGGTACCAGTGAAAGTAGCTGATTAGAGCAGTTGCCATGAAAATATTTGTAGAAAAGACAGAGGGAAGCCACATTACATGTGTGAGAAAGTGACTATAGACAAGATGCCAGATCAGGACCTATCACATTGCATATCCATCTCTGGATTTTGTCTAGCACCTCAAGATGAACAGTGGGGACACCAGGCTATATTTGGCAACAGTATTCAATGCAAGGACAAATGAGGGAATAAATAGGAGAAACCAAGTAATTTATATAAAAGATTATAAACACAAAAGGGATCTTTAACAAAACAATAGACTCAATGCATTAGTTGTCCCACCATAGTGACTATGACTGTAATTTTGATTTAAAAAAATACTATTCTAATTAAGAGAATATAGAAAGTGTTTTAATCCATAGATAATCCATGGTAGATTTGTGTCCAGGTTCCTAGAATATTTCACCTTTCTTGGCAGATCATCCATTATCATAATGTGGGATACTTAATAACAAAATTGATTTAAAAAAAAAAAAAAAAAAAAAAAAAAAAAAAAAACTAATGAAATTGGTTAGAATATATACTCAGATATATAAAAAATATATTTTAAATTAATTTTAAAAGTTTAAAATTTCAGTGTACCCTCTTGTTCACCTGCATGTGTAGTTACATCAAAATAAACCTAACTTTAGTACAGTGAAATCCTAAAGGATAAAATGTGTCACACAAAAAAAAAAAATTTCCACTTTGTCTTTAATTTTCCTACCATTTTTCTGGTATACAAAAATTTATATATTTTTCCCATACTGAAATATGTTAAGATTAAGCAAAAACAGTAGAGGTTAATTTTGACACCTGAAGTGGCATTATGAACACCAATCTAGGCTGTTCACACAAGGTGATACCAAGCATAGCAGGGTGATGTTACTGCTTGTTCTGTTCCATAGTTCAAGTACATGGAGCTCATCCCACTTAAGGGACAATAGACTAGTGGATTAAGACATTGGTTCACAAATTTGGTGATGTAGTGATGTAATGGAATAACCTAGCACCCCCTATGAGTGACTACACTATAGGTAGCAACTACCTATAAGTATCCATAAGGCAACAGACTGTGAGACTTGCTGGAATCTGTTCCAGCAAGACAGTCGGACTCTCTGCCCGAAGGCAGAGAGGAACCCAGACAATGTTCTGCTGAAGAGCAGTCTCGTTCGGGGAGGTTCTGTTTTTACAGTTTCTACAGGCATTTTTTGACCGAGCCTATGGGCTTGGAAAACCCACATAAAACTCGGCCTTGTGCCACATCTTTCCCTCGTTGGTGGGGGGGAGTAAATATTGACTTGCTGGGATCCGTTGAGTATGACTCTGACTTACTCAAGAACTATTCGACCTTCCAAACAGCAGTACTCACTACTGGTTTTACAATAACCTTTATTTAGTTATCCACCATGTTGTTCCAGTGATATTCCTATTAGCGCGGAATATAACACACAGTAATTGTGAGTTCAATCACTGGGTCAGGTAGAGCACACTTGGAATCAGTAGAAACAAGGCAAACAGTAGTAAAACTATAAACTAGACAAGATATCCTGAGACATGGACAGTAGAACAGGAACAGTCTACCCTCATAGATTAAATAAAGGTTTCAATTTGGAATTTGGTTACCCGGATCAATATACACCTGATGAAGACTAGTGGGCATAATGGCCGAAACGTTGTGATAACAACAACAACAAACATAAGAACAATAGTCCAAATGTAAATAGTGTAAATAACAATAATAAAAATCGCATTATACTCTTCAATGCTTTTTTTAAATATATTGATTAATTTTTATTTTAGATTGTTCTATTGAAATAATTATCAATTTCTTTTTACAGTCTTTGATTAACTGGGACCATCGGAAGCCATCAGCACTTTTACTGGTACTGCAAGAACTTCTTGAAAAATATCGGCGCTACCAACAACAGCTGGTAGAAACAAACTATAGACTCAAGTTTGAATATGAATCTCTTTTGGAACAGACAGACATCAAACCTGAAGAAGTGGAAATGCATGTCTCAAAGATGGAGGTGAAATATTTTACTTTTAAAAATGATCATATTTGATAGGCATATAAAGACTCACCCCTATTTACATTTAATATTACAGTATTGTGCATTTAGGCTAGGTACAAGTACTGAGTGTCTACAGTGCCTGGGTATATATTATCTTACCAGATACCTCAACTTCGAATATAAGACTTCTCCCTATTTACATTTAATAATACAGTATCGTGCATTTAGGCTAAACAGTGAGCATGCATGCAGACATTTGGCACTTTTGAAACATTACCTAAATGATATATGCTATATCTAATCTGAAAGTAGACAGTCTCAGGATTTGGGAACTGACCTTAACTTTGTTCTTAGTATTTGTCAAGTTCTTCTTCTTTCACCCTTGACCCCAGAAAGAGTCATTGGAGCATCAACCTGTTGAGATGTCCACTATTCTCTTCCATCTGTCACAGTTGTGTGCCAGAGTCTGGATGACCATGAATGATTTCTTAGTGTGCTCATCATGTGGCATGTCTTGGGTGTTTTCACCTGGCAGAGTCCATACCTCTCCAGATTAGACCACAGCCAATGTCCTCCAACTTAGTGGCTCGCCTTGGTCGCAAACACATGGCCATTGTAGTTCATCTGAGCAACTCTTCTGCCCTGGTTGGGGACCTCCCTTTACGAGGTCCTTCACCCAGTTGTGCCGTGTTAACATCACACCCTCACATGAATTTAGCCCACCAGCTGAAACAGTTTACTAGGGCATGGCAATTTGGAGCCAACAAGTGAGAGATTTAGATGGTTGAGGATCACTAATTCCCATCTACTCGAAGGTACAAGCATCAAAGGTACTACCTCTATCCAGAGACCACTATTCCCATATATATATATTTTACACTGGATGTCAGAGTGAACAGTTAGTCATCAAATGTACCACTTTAAGAAATATCAATAAATAAGAAAAAAATAAAAGTATAAAATTATCATTAAATTGTGTATAGAGGCAGCAATTTTTCAACAACATGCCTGCCACATACTCAATTCCAGCAAAATCCTTGTTGAAAACACAACTATACTTAAACATGGAAACAATAAAGAAAAATTTTAAATTCTTGAAGCTTATATACATAAAACAGTTGAAACCTAACCTGAACAAAATAAACTATGAAATCTCCACAAATATTCTTAAATGTCTATAATTGGTAACAGAAGCCATTGGTTTATACCAATGGCTTCCCATACTTAATACTTCTCGAATGCACTCTCGCATGGTCATGTGTGACGTCACAAGCTGCGACGCGATTTTCACTTCCGCGTCTCGTATATACAAGTTTGTTGTTGCTTTGAAATTTTCAAGCAGCAAGGGTGGACTATTATTGTGGTTTCGTCTGTCAGTTGTTTGATTTATTGAAATTGTGATCTTTGATAATGGCTTATGTAAGCCGAAAGCTTAGATTGGATTTAAATATGTATCAATATGGTGATTTATTTCAACGATAATGCGATTAAGCTTATCAGACAATATGAAAGGAACTTCATAAAATAAATAGACAAAATTTGTCTATATTATTTAATAAAACATGCATTAATTATCATTAAATATATGAGAACATTTATGTTTTATTATTTTTGTTGTTAAAACTTGACTATTCTGAGCCAATAAAAAATAAATAAAAACTCAAAATGCTTTTCCAACAAATTTGAAAATGTCCTTGTTTAAACAAAAATCTTACATTACAGTCAATAAATAAGAAAAGGATAAAAGAATAAAATTATAGACAAATGTTGGTTAAAAAAAAAAGTTTGAATAATAAATGATAAGGAAGGAAATCACCAATATTGAATAGTTAGAGATAAACAAAACAAATTTAACGACTAGTAATGCCTTTCCTACAATTTTGAAAGTTACGTTCTCATTCACAAAAAGAGAAATGCTACATTTATAAAATACATTATTTACATTATTCAAACTGTTATCCTAATCTTCATTGCTATATTCACAACATTTCGGCCATTGTACACTCCAGCCTTCATCAGATGATTGGAATTTCAAACCTAATCCTTTATTTCATCCATTAAGGTAGATTGTTCTAGTTCCACGTGCCAAAATGTTGTGAATAAATGATGAGGATTCAAGTAATGTAAATAATGTAAGTAAACATAATATCTTATCTCAGTGATATAGACAGTTATAAAATACAGTAGAATTATTCATGCCAATGTATAAGCAATTTAACAATTGGTATTGAATGTTCTTAATATAATACTTAGTGAGACCATAATAAATTAAACTTACTAAATAGCTTATTTTAAAAAAAATAAAACAAAATGTATACTGCAGCTTATCTTAAAAATAAACAAATATGTATTTTAATAATTAAAGATTATAAGTACATAATAATATAAAAAAATACATTAAAAAAAATAACAAAAAATCTAAGAATAAGTGGATTAAAATAATTATGACTTCCCTTTTTAAAATACAACATCACTTTGAGCAATGAAAAGACATGTCCATTCACATCAGCGTCTGAAGTTATGATTGTTAAAATTAATTAAAACTTGCCATGTTTAATCATTCATTTTTAGATGATCAGTTCTGAATAGTTACTTTTTCCGTTTTTTTTTTTCTTGAGGAAAGTCTTTTTTTTTTTTTTTTTTTTGTTTCTGCCATTTTGAATAACACTGAGCAAAAATGCCAGAGACAAAATCTTTTTTTTTTTTTTTTAAGTGTAAATACCCAAGCATTAAAACAATTTAAATTTGTAAAATATAAAAAAAAATTGTTCTTGGGGATATATTTAAAATGTACTCAGTTCCTTTTATATGTTAAATTGATCATTAGCTGCTTTTGGCACCAAATATCAGTTTTTGACATAACTTTCATTGTATTTATCAGAAAATCATGATCTAGAACAGATGTTCTCAACCAGGGTCCATACAAACCCTTGGGAGGGGTCCATGTAACATTACTGGGGTCCACAGTAATATTTAATGGTCTATAGAGCAATTTCACTTTGGAACGATCGTTACAACTGACAATTGGAATTTCTACATTTCTCTACACCATAATAAAATACTAAAAATAGAAAAACAACTCTAAAACTAGCAGAAAATGCAATCAAGTGATGTAATTTAGTGTCCCTTTTACTCTACTGGATGTTTTGATTTTAAAAGTTTAATAAAAAATGAGAAGGATATATTAAGGAAGGATTATATATATATATATAAAGGAAAATTATATAAAGATTATAATACATACATATAATAAATAATAATATTAATTTTAAATATTGATATAATAAAATATTAATATAAAATATTAATAATAAAATTAATTTAATATATAAATTATATTTGGATTATATATAAAAGAAAAATGAACAGTATCAACCTCTTCAGCAGCAAGGGCAATTTCCAGCAAAATCATCCACTCTGAGGGCCTATATATCTACTAGTGTACATAAATGTTCCATAGAATTTAGTTGTTAAATACAAGTTTATTTTCATTAAATTAGTTTTACTTCAAAATAAAACATATACAGTTACTATTTCTATAAAACAATTCCTAAAACTGCCTATTAGTAAAAAATAAAATAAGCCATTTTTTTCATTGAATGGTTATTTGGTTATACCAAAAAAAGTAAAAGTGGTCCATGGGTAAAAAGAAAGGTTGAGAATCACTGCTCTAGATCTTTATGACTATATTGTTTTTGTTTTTTTTTTTGGAGGGGGGGGGACATTTTTGGCACTGAACTGGAACACCCCCTCCAAGTCTAAAAGGGTTAAATGCAAAATTTAAGTTCATTTCAAAGATTTTGGTTCTTCACTATAGACTAAACTTTCTAGACTTAAACCTCTATTTTTTTAATATATAAATATTAGCCTCCCAAATACCTCAACTTCTCATATAAGTCTTCTCCTATTTGTATTTTATATTACAGTATTATGACATTAGACTAGGTAAAGGTATTGGTAGTCTACATCATCTTAGTAAACCATAATATAACAGATACTTTAACTTTATATTGAAGACATGGGAGATATTTTTAAACGAATGTTTTGAAGGGTAATGTGGGGGTCATATATGCCATCAAATACAGTATTTTATCTCCTTTTTTCACCTGTTTTTACTTTTATTACCTGTTTTATTCTTTGATCAAAATAGCCTTTTTATTTATTAATTTAACTGATTAAAGTAGGGTTGTAAATATACAATGACAGTTATTTTCATAATTTATATTCATTAAAATAATTTAGTACAGCACAAGTAGTTGGAGACTATAAAGTTCGTTTTGTGCCACGTAAAATGACAGCAATTACTAAAACCATATATATAGATTAAACAGGAAAATTTCTATAGTATATTTAGTATTTGAACAGATATCAGAACTATTAGTAATACTAATAATTAGTTGAATACTTTTGCTTTTATTTTAGCCTAATTTAATGCTTACATTTAGTCTCAAAATTATTTTACCATTGCATCATTAAATTCTCTCCACACATCTAGGTTCTGTGCACATTTCAAATTGAAAGAAATAAAAATGCTATTATGTAATTATATCATTATCCATTTAAAGCAAGCCATGAAGGTCATTCAGAAGACAAGGAATAAATGAAAATTGTTGCAGTAATATTTGTGTTTAAAAGTGTAATTTGATTTGCAGACTTAATTTTACTTAAAATCTGATCAAATTTCTACATTCAATCTGGATCTTCTACATTGAAAATCAAGAAAAAATTGATTATGAATATCCACAAATTAATGAAAGTCTAACTGACACAATAGAGTGATTACATGCATAATGTAAGTGCATTTCTAATAACTTTATTATAAAAATCAACTGATATTCAGAAAGGATTGTCAGTGTTTTTATATATATATATATATATATATATATATATATATAATGTCGTGGTGGATAAAAATGTTGTCAACTAAATTATGCAAAAATGAAAATAATACTGACACCTCATTTTAACAGATATATTTACCAAAATTACATAAAAATATCTTGAAATACTAAAGAGTAAATTTATTCAATAAAATCACCATTGGCTTCAACGATGACCTCCAGATCACTTTGGAATCTCCTGCATCTCTTCTGGACAAACCCCTTATTTAAGTTGGTGGATGCTGCCATAATCCTTGCCAGTTCATTTCTGGTGTTACAAGGAGTTTTGTTAATCTCTCACTCAACTGCCCCCCCCCATGCATAATAATCAAGGGAGTTTGTGGAGTTAGGTAGCCAGATGTAAGGGGTGATGTGGTTGCAGAAATTGTCTGACAACCATGGCTGAGTTCTTCTACTTGTGTGGCATGAAGCAGAGTCCTGTTGTCAGACATAATCTTCCAGAAGCCATCCTCTTGACTCAGGGCAACACTACCTCCTCAAGGCACTTGATGTAGGCCCCCATATTGAATCTGAGGCTCTCAACAACAAATTTGGGAGTTCTTTTCTTATCAGAACAATCAGTGAGTTTTCTGAGCTGCCGTACCTTTGTAATCACCATTAGACTCATCCAACTCTTTCCAAATCCTCTGCACTGTCCTCAGATTGACACCCAAACACTCTGAAATGTTCATATTAGAGTTTCTGGTGTGAATGCTAAGCAGTACAGCATGCCGTTTCCAAATTTCTGGCAGTGTGCATTGCATCATGACGCTCTTTTTCTCACAAACAATGCCCAACTCACCCTACTATATTGTGCAGTTGACAAAATCAAAATAATGTGCCTGCACAAAATTAAAAATATAAAATGGTGACAGTTTAACCTGTATAGCTTGGCAGTTATTTCCTAACTTTGAAAAATATTAAGATGTGATCTACATCAACTTTTTTCATATTGATTTTAACCCATTGCTTTTATTCTTTTCCTGTCTCTCTATTACTGACTTAGCAAATAAATAAATAATTTAGCTACTGAATTATGACTAAGTGCAGGGCCAGTGCTAGGGTCCCCCTCCCCCCTCTCTGCCTTAATGACTAAGTGCAGGGTCCCAGTGCTTAATGACTAAGTACCCCCCTCTCTGCCTTAATGACTAAGTGCAGGGCCAGTGCTAGGGTCCCCCCTCTCTGCCTTAATGACTAAGTGCAGGGCCAGTGCTAGGGTCCCCCCCTGCCTTAATGACTAAGTGCAGGGCCAGTGCTGGGGTCCCCCCCTCTCTGCCTTAATGACTAAGTGCAGGGCCAGTGCTGGGTCCCCCTGCCTTAATGACTAAGTGCAGGGCCAGTGCTAGGGTCCCCCTCTCTGCCTTAATGACTAAGTGCAGGGCCAGTGCTAGGGTCCCCCTCTCTACCTTAATGACTAAGTGCAGGGCCAGTGCTAGGGTCCCCCCCCTCTCTGCCTTAATGACTAAGTGGGGCCAGTGCTAGGGTCCCCTCTCTGCCTTAATGACCTGCAGGGCCAGTGCTAGGGTCCCCCCCTCTGCCTTAATGACTAAGTGCAGGGCCAGTGCTAGGGTCCCCTCCCTCTCTGCCTTAATGACTAAGTGCAGGGCCAGTGCTAGGGTCCCTCCCTCTCTGCCTTAATGACTAAGTGCAGGGCCAGTGCTAGTCCCCCCCCTCTGCCTTAATGACTAAGTGCAGGGCCAGTGCTAGGGTCCCCTCCCTCTCTGCCTTAATGACTAAGTGCAGGGCCAGTGCTAGGGTCCCCCTCTGCCTTAATCTACTACATCTCAATTTTCATAAGGTTGTAAAATACAGATTTTATTGTAGCCTAATTAAAAATCATATGCAATTCAACTAGAAAAATTGAAAATAAAATGTATCTAAATGCAAATTAGAGATATGTCATCACAGATCATTCCATCTTAAATAAATCAACAATGTTTTGTGGCGGTTTTAAACATCAACTTGAAAATTTTCTTGTTTAAAAAGTTGAATAATTTAACGCATTCATCATTATGGATAAAAAAAAACAGTGAATTTTATATGATGTTTTTTAGAGACTTAGTATGAGCAAAACAGATTCACTAATTTACACGGAAAAAAAAGATCTCAAAATGACATCAAAATACATGAAAATTTTTCATCCTTAAATTTTCAGTTGTGCTTAATTTAATTTGTAACGGATATAAATGTAAGTAGAAAAAAAGCAAATGTTAATAAGATAGCGAGAGTCAGAAAGCACTGCTCGGGACCCCCAATCAGCACGCCCTCTCCTGTATTGGGGTTCAGGGATAGTACGCACTGGCACTGATTATGTGATCAACATCAAATTTATGTTGGTATCATATTCTGTATATTATTTTATATAATGTAGCTTCTCTAGTTGTTAATTTCTTGAGACTAGCATTCTCATTGTTCTTAATGTCACATTTCAATCTTTCTTTGGTATCTATTCTGTGATTATAACACCCTTCTTTCTTTCTTTCTTTTTTTCCACCGTTTCAGAACAATGGTATTGGTCCAGTTCATTTTCTAATCAAAATGTCAGTAGATTTTTCTCGGATACCTTCTTATCTGACAAAGGTATGTCTTAAGTATTTTCTAGTATTTCTTAAATATTTCCACAGGGGAAGAACTCAACGAATCACCATCAACTCCTAGAAATGCTTTTTATTGATCTTTTGTAAATCCTTAACAAAATCACTTCATTTTGTTTTATCTTTAGCTTTTCTTGTTAACTTGAATCTGTGGGTTGCCCCACTTGACTTTGCCAAAAAAGCCCATTAGGCGATGCTATTTAAGTCAAAAGACAAACTTATCCTCCAAGCCGTAGTAGATGATAGATAAGAATGTCACTGTGGGCATGTTTGTTTTCCCATACTACTGACTACTGAACTCTCACAAAACACTTGTATCACACACATTCATTCACACACACACATTCTTAATTTTTTTTTAAGTTTTAATGTCTTTTCTTTTACTTTCAATTGTGTACACATTAGTGTAATTTCTTTGTAGTAATACATTCATTGTCATTTTATTTAAATTCCGTAGTTTGTGTTCCTTATTTTTACCCAGACTCAAATGTGTCCGCCAAATATTGTTTGCAAAACAAATGCACCAGGAGCCATTAAATATTCACTAAATAACATCCACACCTCGCAACCAAAGAAGCAGAGCATGCAACAAACCCATAGTTGAAGGTTTTGTAAAGTGTGAACCCAACTGTAAAAATAAATATATAACCACACCTCATAAAAGCAATGATTCCTGCAACAAATCCAATCAGTTGGTTTATTCTGTCCTCAATTTTAACTATAGGAAAAACAGTCTCCTCACAGATACTGAGAGAGAAATGGAAAGAGAGAGGGATGCAGATATTAAAAGAGAAAGAGGGATGCAGAGATTAAAAGAGAAAGAGGGATGCAGAGAGTAAAAGAGAAAGAGGGATGCAGAGAGTAAAAGAGAAAGAGGGATGCAGAGAGTAAAAGAGAAAGAGGGATGCAGATATTAAGAGAATGAGGAGCATGGAGAGTAAAAGAGAATGAGGAGCATGGAGAGTAAAAGAGAATGAGGGGTATGGAGAGTAAAAAAGAAAGAGAGGGTATAGAGAGTAAAAGAGAGAGGTACGTAGAGAGTAAAAGTGAAAGAAAGAGCAGGACATAGAGAGACAAAAAAGAGTGTGACACAGGGATTGGAGCAGGAGTCATCATGGATAAAGGCAGTTGTTTGTAGCATGTTACTACAGAGTAACATAAATTTAAAAAAAATATTTTGCAAGTACAATGTACAAAACAAGCCAAGTATACAATCATCTATGTATTAATACACTTGTAACTATGTATAGTGAATATCACAAATACTGAGAGGGAAACAAAGAAAGAGAAACATAAAGAGTAAAAGAGTGAGAGTGACATAGAAAGACAAAAAGAGTGCTATACAAAGAGGGATTGGAGGTGTTATCTTAAAGGCAGTTATTTTTAGTGAGGGGTTACATTGTGTTTTGGGACCTATTGATCTGTTGTTGACAAATTTGTCCTTGAACTGCAAGTGACCTTTTGAAATTAAAATCTTTTTTATACAATTATAATCATTTTGTAATATAATAAAAATAGATGATATCCTTATAATCAAAAATCCTATTAGACCCAGACTGTGTTGAGTGTCCGAGAGGGAAACAGAAAGAGAGAGGGAGGGACATAGTAAAACCAAAAGAGAGAGAGAGAGAGAGATGTAGAGAGGAAAAAAGAAAGGGACTGAAAGGGAGGTCACCTTAGTTAAAGGCAGTTGTTTGTAGTGAGAAGTTAAATCATGTTTCAGGACCTAATGATCTGTTGCGGACTTTTCAGTATTTTTTAAAAGAGACTACATTACTTTTCTTATATCTTGGAATAGTCATGGGTTAAAAAGTACAAAGTGCAGCATTAAAATTTACATGGGTTCTACAAGTTACTAATGATCTGTTGAGGGAAAATTTGTCCCTGAACTGAAAGTAAACTTTTGAAATTAGTCTATTTTTTTTTATTTTAAATCTTATCTTCAGAATTTATTACAGACTGAGGGAAGTAATTCTGTTAATGCTATCTTGGGCATCACTTTACAATTAATTTCTATTACGAATCAAGAGAGATTTAGAGAGTCAAAAAACAAGTGTTACACTGTGAAGAATTGGAGGTGGGATCATCTTAGATAAAGGCAGTTGTTTGTAGTGAGATGTTAAATCTTGTTTTGTGACCTAACGATCTGTTGCAGACATTTCAGTATTTTTTTTTTCTTCTAATGATCTGGGAATGGTCATGTTTTGAAAAGTACAGAGTGCGGCATTAAAAAATTTCTTAGTAAATCCATGTAATTTTCACATGTCCTGCTAATATAACACCTGTAAGAAATGATGGAATAATTTACATTAGAACTATGTTCAACCTTCTGTCTGGGATGAAAGTATGGTATCTGTTCTTCATATCTCTCTCTCAACGAGATTTGAGGGATACCTGGTCCTGGCGATTCTACTCCTGCAGCAGCACCTCCCTCATTACAGCAGTCACTGGGACTAGGCAATTTTTAGATTTGCTGATGGCAACTCCACATTTAAAACAACTTTGTCTCATCTTGCCACCATAGGAATGCGTGCTTCTGTCTTTGGACATTTTGCAGAAAAGCTTTGAGGAATCCTTGTTCCCATGGATTCCAACCCTGAAGCAGCACCTTCCTCATGCCAGCATGACAATGGCCGCAGGAAATTGATAATTTTTATCCTTGCTTCATATGTATGCATATGGAACCACACATTTGAAAGCAGCCTCGTGTCATCTTACCTTTTTGTGGTGGTGGGTAATGATGCCTTCTGGTCATGATCAAAGTGTAGTATCTGTGTTTCTTCTCTGACATGTTCCTGTAATAGAATGCAGTGTTGTGTTCCTGCTTTCAAGTACTTCATGACGAAACAATTAGAGATGTCTGGTGGGTTTTATACATTGGGTGCTATTTGTCAAAAATGATCTTTAATAAGGCTTTGAAATATGGCAATTTTTGTGTCTACCTAACATCCTCGACCAATCATAGCCTTTCTTACTCCCAATAAAATATCACTACTTTGGTTGACAGGTGGATACTATGTTCTTCATGGGTAAAGTAGACAGTTGTATGTTGTGGATACAGTCTTTTGACTCCTTTTGAATTATACCCCAGTATTTTTGAATTTGGACTTGTAAAACTGACTTTATGACTCCAGGTTACTAATTTCATATCTGACAACTGCTGTTTTCTCCACAGTCTGAAACAAGGAAAAGTTTGAAAATAGCCAGTTTTGTGAATGTGTTTAGTTATGTGCTGATTACTGCCACTACGTAATAAAACTCAGGAGAATTTTTTTTTGTTTCTTTTTTTAAAAAGTAAATAAAGTATAATAAAGTACATGACAATTACATAGGATTTGATATGTCATCAAAACAGACGCATAGAGCATTTTTAAAAAAAAGACTATCAGAATTAAAAAAAAAAAAAAACCTTTTTAACATTACTTGTCATGACTATCAGAATCAATAAAACCACTTTTCTTCATCTTCCAAGATATGTATTATTTTATTATTCATAGGATGACCCTGGAGAGGACAGTGCCGTTTTGTTGGTAATGTTTCCATACCCAGGTGCCTCAACTGCTAATCCACAACTGTACTTATCCCCACGAGTTGAAAAGTAAGTTTATAAATCCTGCAAATGACTTTGGTTAGTAACAGCTGTATTTTTACTTACAAAGTAAATATAGATTTTTTTTTTAAATAAGTAACCCAAACTTTGGCCTACAGTGTGTGTATGTCTGTATATAATAAATTAATGGATTTATTTCTAATCTGCCATTTTTATTCCTTCAAATGTTATTTTTATTTGGATACCAATGTTTGAAATAGACTTTTTTTTTTTATTTGTGTTTATTTTAAACAATGGGTATTATATCTACCAGTCTGGCTTCTTGAGAAAACTTAATAAAGAGCACATTTTCTTTATAAAGTTTTATCAGGTTTGCAGGCCCATAGACATGATACACATTGTTTACAATAGGAAAAAACATGCTATTTCAAACACAGGTATAATATTGTGTATTTGGGCATGTGGCTGAGTAGTTAGAACATTCGCTTTCTGACCATGAGACTCAGGTTCAAATCATGCTATTTCAAACACAGGTTAATTTGTATTTGGGCATGTCAGTAGAATTCGTTTCTGACCATGAGACTCTTCAAATCTCAGGTTGATTTGTCAGGAATGTCCCATCCCAGCATGCAGCACCTTTGGAAAGTGCCTGAAAAACCATACCACAGGTTAACCCAAGCTTGTAAGTGAAATTGGGTAAGCAAAACCTTTGGGGGCCATCAATGGCTGTGTTAGCACAAATTCACAAGTCATTGTGACTGAGGGTTTGAGCATGCTGTAACTAAAGTCTGCTCAACATAGTTGTAGCATAACCCACCTGGTAGGCTCTTTGGGTGTTGAACAAACACAAAATGTGTCTTAGCAAACATCTGCACTAGGGATTAGCTAGCTGTCCTAGTAAACAGGTATCCTCAAATACAAGTGGTCAGCCATTATTATATTATTATTTGGGTAGTAATCCCTCTTTTACATCTTTAATGAAACTTGTATAAAAGTGGGATTACTACCTAAATAAACAATTATTAAATTATGTGACCCAGCAGCCAGCAAGAAAAGTAATCATAGTACCTAGTCAATCATTTTTAATGAAACTTATATACAGACAAACCTCTCATCAACGGACTAATAAGAGGGATGGCTGGTCCATTAAAGTCAATTGTCCGTAGATGGGATGCAATTATTTTTGAGTTATAAAACCACTATAGTAACTACCAGTAGTTATGATCGTAATGCAAATGCTATAAACATATATATATGGCATAAATAAATATATATTTAATATAGATATATTAATCAAAACAACAAAAATAATAGATTTCTCACAGCTACTTTCTCACGCACATGCTAATGTATTGTACTTTATATACTGTACACTCATCTTTGTTTACAACTGAAAGGCCAACCACCACCACCAAGTCACTTTGAGAATTAATATGTCTTGTTACGCTAAGCCCCCAATTTTTTTTTTTTTTCCTGCTTAACTTTTTTATTTTGCCCACTGCAACCGAAGTCCATTGATGGCGGGGTCCATAGATGAAAGGTTTGTCTTTGTGTGTGTGTGTAATTTTTATATATATATATATATATATATATATATATAATTATGCTATAGCTATTACCAATCAATAAAAGATCATTATATCTTTTTGCATTGAAAATGCTTCAAGAGTTTTATTTTGCTATTTCAGTGCCTTGGGAGGTTCTGCCAACCTAAGAATTCCTCCATTCCCAAATGGAGGAGTTCTTATTGACTATGTGCCAAAAGTAAACCAATTATTGAAGAACAAAGTAAGGAGAATTTTTTTTCTAGAATTTTTTATTCATTCTCCTGCCTTTATTTATTCTTCCCTTCTTAACATTCTGAAACAGTTACAGCAGAACTATTTGTTTCTTAGTTTTAAAATATAGTGTTTCTGATAGTTTCAGTAACCTTCTTAACACTCTGTAGGTAACTTTCTTTACTGAGCAAAATCTTCCACAGTTCATTTTTTACCCATTTTTGCCCTACTATAAAATTCTGCCTTCCATCTGTACTTACATGGTGAAATAAGAATTGTTCTACTGATGTACTCCTGTGAAAAAAATTTAGCTTAATCTCTAATATAATATGAAATATATTAAGAAGTTTTAATGACTTAACTGTAAAATTGAAATTTATATGAACGGTCAAAATTACCTTCCTGTTTTATTTTTGCACTGTTTTTAGGACGGGATTCCCCCCCCCCCTTGTTTAGGTTGGTCTTATCTAATAATTATTAATTCCATTAGTATTATCTCTCATTTATGACTTAATGGCATTGCATTTATAATTATTTTTCTCTTATTTGAAGCCTGCATCTTCATATATACAATGTTAAAATGGGCTTCTTGCCCAATTGTACTCAAGACAGAAAACCCAACAAACTTTGAATCATCATAACTCAGTTGCTAATTGAGCTAACAAAATAAATTTGGTACTATTTTTTATGTTTCATCAAGCTTTATATGCCTACATGAAAAGCTTTTAGAAATATTGAAGAAAAAATAGTTTGGGATACTGTCATGGGTCCTTAACCTATAACTACAGAATGAACTCTTTCTAACACTATGTATGCTACGCCTCTCAAGCGAGAGGGTGAAATCGAGTCAAGCCAATAGTAGTTCACTCCAAACCAGACTGACAGTCATACTAACATCTTCCACATCTTGTATTATAATTTTGTGTAATATACCTTCGTTATTTCTACTCTTGTGTTCGTGTTCTTCCTTGGTCCTAACCTGGACCATAACAGATACCTACTTCCAGGTAATTCCAATTGCCAAACAGTAGTTTGTTTGAATGAAGCTTTTGTGATGTCATATCCTGTTATGGCAACATACTATTATATGTGCCTTATTATTTAAACCAGTATGTTTATCTTGGTTGTTCATATGTCAGTGTTTGTTCTCTTCAAAGTTTTGAACAGAATTCTTTTTTCACTCCACAGGCGCAGATTGTTCTCATTCTATTTCCAATACTTAAGGAACATTTCATATCCATAAAAACTTGTTGCAGTGTGTGACTCTAGATGGACTAAAAGCAGTTGCAAACAAAATTTACACATGTAAATCATGGTTCGTCATTGTAGAGGTGTATGGATATTCAAAGTTGTGTGTTGGTGCATTATAGGTGTATGCATATTTACATATAAACAATTAATGTAGAAACAACAAAAACTTGAGTTCCTACTTCAGACCGTTTATTCTTTATAGTAACTGTAGGGAAACAAAGTTCTCAATGTCTCTTGGGTATGTCTGTTTTCTTTTTCTGCTCCAAAAGTAATTTAGGGTAAGTAAGGATAAGAATGGTTATAATAGTCAAGCTTAAGTCAGCTTTGCGTTGAGTTGGAATGACCAAATTAAAATTTGTTCCTACAGTCAAAGACAAAATTATTTGTACACCAATCAATTTTTAATATTTTTATCCATTTCTCAGATTCTAGTGCCCATATGATGCCAGGTTTTTATATGTTAATAAGCACAAAAACAAAAATGTTTTTCTTTTTCATGTATTCTTTCACACTCAGTAACCTCTTGCGCCTTAGTGGCTTTATTCCTTGCTTGGACTGAAATGGTTTAAAAATAAAGTTGATACTTAAATATTTTTTGCTAGATGAATTTTCTTTTTTTTTTCTTCTTAGGAGATCATGGAGACTTCTGTTTTCAATATATATTTAATTTTTTTTTCTTTCAGGTCGAACAAGTTGTACAAGGTTATGAAAAGAGGAAGGAGTATATTGCAGCATTTTTAAGTCATTTTGCAAGGTGGGTTAACAAAATTTGATATTTGAAAATTTTACAGTTAGAATTACATTTCAAAATTCCCTTAACCAATTGGAAGTGGTTAGCAAGCTTTCTTTTATATGTCGCTTTATTCAGACAGTGATTCAAAATAGTCTGCAGACGGTGATGAAGGCAGCAAAAGAAATTATTATTCTAGCCCAAATGATGAGCTATTGCAAGATAAATTTCTTTGTACACACAACCCAGCCCAGAGATTGAAATCACAATTACTGTCACTAAATTCATGAACCAACAATTTAATCCACTAGGTTATTGTTCTGTGGGACAATCCCTGTGCCAAGCTGTGTACTTCGGTATAGAGGAAACAGGGCGAGCAATAACTGATCAGTACTAAAAATAAGAACTAGGCAAGATATCCCTAGACATGGCCAGTGGAATTAGAAGAGTCTATCCTATAGATTAAATAAAGGGTTCATTTCAGAATATCAGGTATGTTACCCAGATCAACATAGACTTGATGAAAGCTGGAGGACAATAGTTTGCATGTAAATAGTGTAAATTATTGAAATTACTTTGGTTGCCAAAATGCTACGGTGTTGCCACATGAAATGGCATCAGTTTTGGTTCCTAAAGTTAAAACTCTTAATCACTATAAAAAAAAAAAGGATTGTAACTTTTAACAACTAGAAGTGAGATTAAAGAGGAACTCAGACAGCATCTGTTGGTAGTACCATTAGTACCAACTATACTGTAAGATTATTAAAAAAAAGGAAGAATAAAGACCAGTTTTACAAATAAAATAATTCTGTGCTAAAATGAAGAATGAAACCATAATCATGATTGTAAACACAGTACTAGATTGGCTGCAAGGTCTCATCATCTCACAGTTGAAAATGGCTAGATGTAACCATAAGTTCTATGCTAACCTTTTCTTCTCGCAATAAGGTCACTAAGACACAATGATTTATGGAGTATGAAAGAATATGTGAAAAAGACAAACATTATTATGGAGAGATAAATATAAAATAACAAGAATTAAGAAAATAGAAGATAACGATTGACATGACATTTAAATTTTTGATCATTAAAGATAACAGGAAAGCAAGAAGCCAGAAGAAAGTTCCACAAGTGAAAAGTGCAGAACTGTTAGCATAGAACTTATGGTTGCATCTAGCCATTTCAACAGCAAAATGATGACACCTAGGTACCAATCTAGTACCACAGTTAGATTCGTAAAGTCGAAATAACACTGGGGAATTTTTATTCAAATAATTACTATGAAAATATTTGTAGAAAAAGCACAGGGAACCTACATTACAGCAGTGACTGAAGCTGAGATGCCAGGTCAAGACCAGTAACATCGCAGATTGTTCTTTGGATTTTACCAAGAATCTCTAAATACAAAAACCGGAACACCAGACTAGATGTGACCGCAATATTCAAAGGATGGTTGAATGGTAGACTTATAAATGTGTAAAATAGATTCTAGCAAGAAAAAATTATCTCGTACAACAAGGGGAACCAACCTTCCTAGCAAGCAGAGCAGACAATTGATTCAATATGATTTTTCCACTTCATGTCAGTGGAAAATGTTAGCCTGAGAAGATGCAATGAGTCACTCTACTGGAGGTTAGAATCAGCCATATGCAGATGAAAGGCAAAAAAGGTTCTCTAAGATGATTAAAAGAGAGCAGTTTCATATTGGAGGAGTTAAAATTAGAATAAAATAAAACTAAAATTAAATAAATTTATTTGACTTAAGATTATAAGATTGACAGCACTCTTATTTTTTTTTTTTTAAATATGCAGATCCCTTTTGGAATATGATGCTGAAGGATTTTCAAGGATTTCTTTCCTCTTCGAATGGAATGATTTCTTCTTCATCTTTCAAGGTAAATCTCATCATTTGTATTAAAAGAAATTTTACTTATTTTTTTTTTTTCTTTCTCTCCGTTCTACCATTCTTTAAGTTTCTCATTAAATTCTATAAACACTACTTTTACTATTAGACATTTACATTAAATTCTATCCACTACTTTTACTATTAGTAAAAATTCAATTAGGTCTTAGAATAAAAATTACTATATGTCATATTAAACCCCTTCCTATGTACATTTATAGTATTATGAATTTAGGATAAATACAAGCACTGGTAATCTATGGAATCTGGGTAAATATTAGTTTACCCAATACTTCAACTTTGCTTATAAGACTTCCTTGATATGCATTTAATATTACATGATTAGGATAGGTACAAGCACTGGTAGTGTACAGTATCTGCGTAAATGTTGTCTTACGAAATACATCAACTTTGTATATTAAAACAATAAAAAAAATATCAGTATATTTTCCTCTGTTCCTTCTTTAAATAATTTTAGAATATTTTAAACTTAATCCACAGTTAAATTTAAAATTTGTAATTTTTATTTTTTAACTTTATAGTAAAATTAAAAATGAATCAGAATGATTTCTAATTTAGTCTAATGTTAACATTAAATTGTATCTAAGTTTTTTGAATTATCATATACTTGTATTTTGATTGGCCATTGTAGTTTATGTAACAATGTTTCCGCTATTGAAGGGAGTTTGGTTGGTTTTGAACTTTTTAAAACTCTTTATTCTGCAATCAACACCATCATTTGACAAGATACCAGAAGTGTTGAAACAAAATAGCTATTTTTGTAGTGGTTTTTATAACATGTCTATGTTATAATTTTTGAATAAATACTATATATATATATATATATATATATATATATATATATATATATAGCAACTTAGTTTCATGGTTTTACTAACTCATCAGGCATGAACTCGTGAATGAAGGCTTATTACAGTTGTTTTTTTAAAAACAACTGTAATAACATACTGGATCTCTTAGGAAGAATACTAAATTAAAAGCAGTTTCAAAGCTCAAAGTTAATATAAACTTAATATATTATTGGGGCGTAAAATCAAAATGTAAAGTGTGAGTAGGGGGCTATTGTTAAAAAAAAAAAATGCAAGCTTAAAAGTTAAATAAGAAAAGAGGAACACTGTAGCTTGTTAAGTATTAATATATTGTTAAATGGGGGTAATCAATATGTAACCTAAAATATGTAAATAGCATGTAATATTTGGATAATTAATCTATCTAGAACTAAAATACTTTAGGAGTGTTTTTTTTTTTCTGTGATTACAAGCTAGCATACAGACGTAGGTATATGTATATTTTTTAATATATATCTCTTAGCTCTGTCTAACCACATAGAGTACTGTTTTGTTTACACCTTGTATTAAATTAAGTAAATATTTATTCGTTTATCTGTGTATGCATGCTAATGCATGTATATGCAGTTGCTAATCTCTATTTATTTGGTTTATATCCACACACACACACATATATATATATATATATAAAAAAGTGAACATTGAAGTCAACACTCAGAGGCGACGGGCTGTTTCATGCTGGACACAATCATCAGGCAGCCTGATGATTGCGTCCCAGCATGAAAAACAGCCAGTTGCCTGAGTGTTGACTTCAAATGTTGGCTTTATATTTATATTTACATATGCTTTATCGCTGATATTTAGCACTTTATCCCATAGCACACCTTAAAACTATATTTTTTCATATATATTTGGGCATGTGGACCAGTGGTTAGAATGTTCATTTTCTTCTCACCATGGTCAATTTATCAGAGAGGTGATTTCTTGATGTTATTGGTCTGGGGGAGGTGATCTCATTATGCAGCACCTTTGGAAAAGTACCTGAAAACCATAACACAGGCTTGAAGGGGGGGGAATGGCTAGACGGAACTCTTTGGGTAGCTGTTGATGGTTGTGCTAGCATGAAGTCACAAGTCATCATGACTGAGGCTTTGAGCATGCTGGCATTGTTCAGACTGTTGGTCATGTTAGATATAACACTTTCTCCCAGAAACTGTAACTAGGGTCTGCTCAGCATAGTTGCAGTATAAACCACAGGTGGGCTCTGTGGGTGTTGAATAAACACAAATGTGCCTGAGCAGGCGTCTGCAAATGGAGATTGACTAGTCGCCCTAGTTGACTGGCATTTTGGGATATGAGTTGCCAGCCATTTTATTTTATATAATTTTGTAATTGCTTGTAAAAAAATTTTTTTTTTTTTTTTTTTTTTTTGAAAGATGCATAAACAACAATAATAACTTGAAATCTGTAAAGATTAGTGTTTATAAATTTGAGAACCATTACTGTTCCACATTTTGTTCAGGCAGCTGAACTCCATCTTTGTGTTGTTGATGTTGATACCACATTTCAGCTGATCAATTCTACAGCCTTCCTCAACTTTTTTTTTTTTTTTTTTTTTTTTTTAGCTGAATTATCCTTGTACTTTCCTCGAGAACAACCTGTGCTAACATTTCAATCCATTTACCACGAATCTAAAGGAAAACCTTACACAGAATCCAGAAAGGATTATCCTTACAGCCCCAGGTGGAGCGGCAATGAAATGGCAGAGAGAGCCAAGTAAGTTTTCAATTTTCTATTGACATTTTGTAAACTGCAATATATTTTCTGCAGGTTCTTTAAAAATAACCTAGTCACAGGTAGGGTAAAAACAAAACAAAAAAAAAACAAATCTTTTTTTTTTTTTTCTTATCCTTTCACCTTGAGCAAGGCAATAAAGCCACAAAGACACAAGGGTTTAATGAGATTGAAAGAATCTGAGAAAATGTTATTGGGTAAGACAATAGAAGAACAGGATTCAAAAAGACAGGAGATGGAGATTGATGTTGCATTTAAATTTTTTACGATTGTAGTTAACATGGAAGCAAGAAGCCAGAAGTGCACTCCACAGGTGAGAAGTGCAAGAGAAGAAACTGTTAGAATAGAAATTATGGTTACATCTAGCAATATCAACAGAAAAATGATGAGACCGATCTACCAATTTAGTATTACGCTTAAATTCAAGAAGTCGAAGTACCAAAGCATGCTGGCCTTGTTCAGATTGTTGATCACGCTAGATAACCCGCTCTCTCCCAGAAACTGTAACTCAGGTCAGCTCAATATAGTTGCAGTATAAACTGCCTGGTGGGCTCCGTGGGTGTTGAACAAACACATATATGCTTGAGCAGGTGTCTGAAAATGGGGATTGGCTAGCCACCGTAGTAGGTGGACATTATCAGACCAAATGCTACAAAAATATTTATAGAAGTTATGGCAGTAGGAAAGTGATTGATATTAAGTCAGGAAGTATAAAATTGTAGATTCTTCTTTGGATTTTTTTCAACAATCTCAAAATACAACCAGACCAGATGTGACAACAATATTTGACGCACAGACAAATGGTAGACTTATAAAAGATTCTGTGAGAAAAATTCTTCAGCACAATACAGTGAGGCAATTTTCCTAATAGCGAACTTGGCAATCAATTCAATATAATTGTTCGTATCAGTGGAAAAACTTAGACAAAGAAGCTGCAATAATTATTTTGATCTAAAAGATTAAATGTATCAATTTGCCACATAACCCAAAATATGTATAGTGATTTTCTAAGTATAGCTTAGATCTGGCACAAGGCCAAAAGTATGGGGCACCCAGTGAGGATTGAACTCACTATTCAGTCATAATTTTCATATATTTATTTACTCTCCTGTTCCCTTTCGGTCAAGTGGGTGACCGCTTGGAAGACCATATCTCACAGACTCTATTGCTGGTCATAAAACATGAAACACTTAAGATCAAGATAAAATCTCACACTGTAAAATCTCATAATGTGGGTGTCCCATTGATAGTGTCACATTGTAAGGCTCACAAAAAAAAAAACAATTTTCTTTTAAGAAATTTTCATTAAAGCCAGTTGCTTTCATAAAAGGGAAGACAGTGAAATATGAGATTCAGGTGAGTATAGATATTTCTGTATGTTTGTGTTGGAGTGATTTGAATCATTCTAAAGAACAGGAAAAACTATGGATGTTATCTGTTTTAATTATTATTGGGACCAGGAAAAGCCTTACAATGTTACAAGTTTTCCAACGCAGTGTTTACAGATTAGAAAATTATAATTTTGAATTCACATTGTATTGATTCATGATGGTGCTGTTATGTCGTACATACAGCCTGCAAAAGAGATTGATTGCTGATTTGTGAATCCATCATTAAATATATTTAAAACTCTAGTTCTCAAGCTGAAAAACTTAATTTCGTTTTGGATTTTTTTGTTTTATAATCTTTTATTTGGCTTCTTTTTTTTTCAATTGATGCTATATATTAGATGTATGTTATTTAGAAGTAATACCCACAAACTAGTAGGGATATCAAAGATTTATAAACTATATTGATTGATATCAATTGGAACGGCACTTTGGTCTGATAGATGGCAAGTTATGTAAGAGGTTAGTAGTATTCGCAATGTATAAATTTGATGATTTTTTTTTTTATCTACAAGAGTCTCTTAATAAGCTTCAGGGGCACTTTGATGTGGTTTAATGGTTAACAAGCTTGTCTTGCTAGATCAATTACAACTGAAAAGTGAGTTCAATCCTCACTGGGTGCTCCACATTTTCGGCTTTGTGCCACATCTAAGCTAAGCTTAGAAAATCATTTGCCACAATTTTGTAATTTTTACAAAATAAATATCCTCTTAATAAGCATGAGAATTTGTAAGTGACATTGAATTTGTTTAATGGATATTTTAGGGGATTGGTAGTGTTATTAGTAACAATAAGATTATAGGCTTTTTACTTTTTTCTAGTAGATAATTAGTCTTATATAGGTTTACCATAACTAATACAAGAGCTGTGCTATAACCCATTAATGACCACCATACCATCTGTAGAATAGTCAGCACTAATAGGTTATAGGTAGAAACTTATAATCAATACAGGATTTTAAAAAAATATTTTTATTTTTTATAAACTGATAACTGATACTAAATTTTTATTTCTGATACTAGATTTTAATTTTTACTACTAATATTAAATTTTTATTTTCATTTTTATAATAACAGATTTTTATTTTTATAATCAATACCAAATTTAATGGTGTATATTAATGTGTTAATAACTGTTTCATCCTCTTTATAATTCTATTGCATTTGGTTGTGACAAAATGGATCTATTATTATTGAGTTTTTTTCACTGAAATATTAATAATGTATTCTAAAATTGTAAACCATTCTCATTTGCCAAACACAGAACACATAAAACACTAAGTTTACAAAGTAAATGATTTTGTTTACAATAATTGTTTTCTACTTTATTCAAACTCTCTTCTTTCCAATACCTGTTTACTGTCATTCATTTTGTTTTTTCTTTTCTTTTTCTCCAGAATTTTTATATTGGACAGCATTGGTGCTTTTCAGAAATCTTCCTTAAACAGTGGAACTTTCTAGTCAAGGACAAAGACAGCATAAGGGAAAAAAAAATCATTTCTTCCATTTATTATAAGACTTGAAAATTTGACGCATAATTCAAAAATTGAAATCTCAGGTCTTTGAGTTACTGGATTTAGCTGGGAATTGATTTTAAAAGTGTTATTGAGGTTTATTTTCACCATAAATGAATAATAAAAAAAATCTAAAAATATTGATAAAATTACTAGATACATTAAACCTGCAAATTTTTAAGAGGTATATAAAGTTATCTAATTTAAAATAAATATATATGTGTATGTATGTGTGTGTGTTTGTGTGTGTGTCAGTTAATCCAAAAATAAAAATTTTAATTTGATACAAAATTTTACAATATTTCCTATTTTAAATTAAAAAATGTTCAAAAGGTATGTGTACATAGTGTGATGGCTATTTGCACAAAAAGTGGAATTGGTAAGCCGATTTCAAATTCTGTCATCCACTTCTGCACTAACACCTTTGGAAAAGGTATGAATTCATCTCTTTTCCTCCTCATACAATTAAAATAGTGGGGTAGATTTGGCTCTTTAACTTTGGACAGCAACCAATCTAAGAGAAGGAAATAAAATTCCAAACCATGAAAATGGCAAGATAGAAACAACCCAACTGTCTTTCCTAAGAAGTCCTGGCAATTCACAGATGACAAAGAAAAAGATTCTGTGGAGAAACCTGATAACCTATATCTTGAAGGCACATGGTGTTTTAAATAACCTCATTCACGGAAATGGGAAACTACTTCAATGTTTTTCCCAAGAAAATCATGGCAATTCCTAGATAACAAAATAAAGGTGTCTGTGGAGAGACATAATCACCTAAATCTTGAAGGGACTTGGTATTTTAAATAAAATCATCCAGGTAAGTTGGGGAAATGATTCAGCTATCTTTCCAAAGAAGTCATAATAACTCAGAGATAATAAAGAAAACAGAATCTGTGGAGAGCCATAATCACCTGTCTTCTGGATGGAATTGGCATTTTAAAAACAAATGTTCCAAAAAATACATCATTTAACTGACTGAAAGATGTCTGATTTGAGTATCCTTGTTAAAACTTAAAAACAATTCACTCCTTAATATTCAAAATAGATTTTAATCCATATATTTACCTTCTAATCATAATTCCCATTTAATTGAGGAGTTGAGCTAATTAAATAATAAAAATAATTTGTAAAAAAATAAAAGGCTTAATTTGGAAAATATTTTATTGACAAAATTTTAAGAACACTTAATGATTTAAGATAATTCTATTTTAAAGAATGGGTGGGGACATATCTTTTTTGTCTGCAATTCTGCTAATAATTTAGAAATGAATCCTTTCGATGAATTTTCCATTGCAAACGTTTCTTGAACTGGTAATTAAACACTGTCTCTGATATTCAGAGGACAAATGGACTCATCCTACATCTGTATACAGACAATCCTAAAATGAATGTCCATTTATTAGTGGCACAACACAAAGGCATTACAACTGCAAGACTGATGCTCATTTAAATAATAATGCTTCTAGAAAACCAAGCTTCACTGTATTTTCAAAACAATTGTTGTTACCATCAACTCTAAACCTGGAGACATTTTGTCTGGAAAAAAGAAAAACACACCTTGAAGGACAGTTTATAAAACTGATTGGTTTGAAATTTGAGTAGTTTTTACAGATTTGGCAAAAAGAACCAATAGACTGTACTCTCATTGAAAAAGCTAGTTAACCCTTTCATCCTTATCGGATATATATCAGTTCCCCCCACCCCAATATTTGTTAATAATACAAGTTGTTTATTTTTTCTGTAAATAATCCCAGTTGCTTTTTTTGCATTATCTGCTGGGAATTTTTTTTTCTCCACTCCTAAAAAAGCTTTGTTTAAAAACACATTGAGTTTAAAATGTTGCCTTTGTTGAAAGTCTCATGAATTCATTAATAAAAAAAAATTCACAAAATGGTTTGCACAAAATACAAATTAAAAGGGTTAAAAGTTATGACAACTTTTTTTTTTGTGTGTGTGTGTATATATATATATATATATATATATATATATATATATATATATATACATACACACTCACACACAAGTTTCATTGAAGATGTCTGACAAGGTAAGCAATTAAGCTTTTTATTCAGTTTCAAGAGGGATTGCAGCCCAAATTTTACTGAAATTTTTCCAGATCAGCGTTCCGTTTCAGTTGTCTGTTTTGATTAGTCTTACTCTTATGTCCATCATCTTTTCATGTTGAATTAAATATAGTCTAATGTTAATTATGTTTTATGAATATGTCCTGAAGATGGCCTACTAGACCGAAACGTCCGACGTTGACATTATTAATTTTGATATATTACTTCTCTTCATTTTCTTCTGCTTTAACTTGCATATATTATTATTTTTTTTTCTTTTCCTTTTATGGAAATTTTTCTATGTTTCTTTCTTTTCCTTTTATGGTAATTCTTCTTATGTCATCTTAAATTTTATATGAGATAATATAGTTTTAAGGTATGCTATATTTATGAGTTAAAGTATTCAATATCAGGGATAGAGCGTATGTTAATATAAAAGTGGACATTGAAGTCAACTCCCAGAGGCAATAGTCTTTTTCATGCTAAACACAATCATTTGTTATATATATATATATATATATATATATATATATATATATAATTATTTATTCAAAAATTATAATATAAATATGTTATAAAATCACTACAAAAATAGCCATTTTGTTTCAACACTTCTGGTGTCTTATCAAGTGATGGTGTTGAATATAGAATAAAGGGAAAAAATAAAAATAGTCTGTTCCATGCTAAACACTATATATATAATAAAAACGTTAATGGTCGAAGTCGAATTAGACCAGGAAACAGTAGTATTAAAAAGTGATCAGTACACATATAGAAAGATAAAAATTTAACATGTAGAGCTTTTAAGTACAAAAAATTAGATCAGCCAATTCCACTACCTTGGTTTTCAAAGGTTTCAACCTTTCGGTATCTTCAGTTGATTTTGGTCAAGTGATTTCCTAACACCTTATTTTTATTTAAAAATAAAAAAAAATTCATGAACATTATAAAAAAAATAAATAAATAAATGAATAAGCACACAATGTGAGCAGGAGTGGGAAAAGCAAGTGTATTGGAAATGTATTAATGGGGGATTAAATAAAATATACATACTTTCTTTTCATCCCACTTCATATGAACTCAAAAGTATGGCATAATTTCCAATATCTCATTTTTTGGTTTGGAAATGTTATAGCTAATTTTTCTTGTTGACAGGGTTGCAGATATTACTATGATTATTGTAAAGTTTTGCTTCTTTTTTCTTTTTTCTTTTTCTTTTCTTTTTTTTTGATTTTCCAGTTTACAATTGGATCTTTTTATTTTTCTTTTAATTTCCACACATGGTTGACTAGTAGAATTTCTAAGACTTTCTAGCTTAAAAGGTGACTTGTGATTGTACCACCTCTTCTTAAAGTTACCCTCAGTACACTCTATGTATATTTTTCCTGGCCATTTGTATCTATTACTTCTACTGTGTAAATTACTGCTTCAGTTTTGCAAACTCCATCTAATGGATCTCTACTTTTATTTCTACAATTGCATGTTTCACTGTTAACAATGTTTCATTGCACGTTAGTTTTGAAATTTCTGGTGTTTTGTCTTTTTACTGTGGTTTATAAATTATTAGTACAACTGTAGCTTAATTTAACTGTGTTTTTATTAAATATTTTATGTAATTCAGAATTTTGGGGGAAGTGTTTATTAATTTGAAAAATATTTTCTCTATTTTACATTTGACCTCTAAGTTAAAAGGGGTGGGGGTTAAACCAAATAATATTTTTTATTCCTTGAATTGTTCTTCATTTGTTGTTTTACTTGAGGTTTAAATTCCAGTTTGGTTTTATGCCACTCTTCTTTTAAAACCCTTTCATATTCTTTCATTTTATCTTTGAAAATTATTTTACTAGAGGAATTTCTAGATAACCTGAACTCTGTTCTTTTGGGGATTTGCTTTATTATACTAGATAATGCTAGGATTGTTAGATGTAACATTCACATGTTTTAATATTGTGTTATGTTTCCAGTTTGTAGATTTAATTCTACATCCAAATATTTGACAATTTTCTGATTCATTTCGACTTCTATTTCAAAGTCAAGGCTTTTGAAGAGTTTGAAAAGCGCTTTTCTTACATTGCCATTAATTCTTCTGTTGTCTGGCACTATCATCAGTCCATCATCCCTATACCATGGTTGTTTATATGTACAATTTTGTTGATATCATATAAATTGATATTATATAAAATATGTAGGCCTATTAATTCTGAAACCCTAGCACCATCAAATGAACCCTATGGTACATCAAAGCCATACTTTTTTTTATTTTTAATCCAGGCTTATCCATTGTGGAATAAAATTGATTTATGAAATCACCTGACAATACCAAAAGGTTGAAACCAAGGTAGCAGAATTGGCTGATCTCCTTATTTTATATATATATATAAATCCACCCAGATTATATACCAATGGATCGATTACCAGTACTATATATATATATATATATATAAGCAAATGTAAATGGATATAGATCCGACAGAATGAAGAAAAATTTGGAAAAAACAAACAAAAAATCCTTACATGCAATTAAACAACATAATTGCATGTAAGGATTTTTGTTTGTTTTTTTCCAAATTTTTCTTTTTATATATATATATATATATATATATATATATACACTTTTTCTTTAATCTGACATTTTTAATTCTTTAAACGTTATTTTTAGTGGGTACCCTTATCTGAGTAGTCATTCCATTTATTTTTGTCTACCGGCCTGAATATTTGAGAAATCTTATTAAAAAAATGCATTTTCTGGCAGGAATCAAACCTTTCTTCATCCTTTACCAGAGAAACCATTGTTAAGCCTGACATGCTTTTAACTTGACTCAACCATAATGGGTGTTGCTGATCAAGCAAGGATGAATACTACCTTTAAACACAATCTTTC